ATCCTATCTTTCTCCGTTCTATCCTATCTTTCTCCGTTCTACCCTATCTTTCTCCGTCCTAACCTATCTTTCTCTGTCCTACCCTATCTTTCTCCGTCCTACGCTATCTTTCTCCGTTCTATCCTATCTTTCTCCGCCCTACCCTATATTTCTCCGGTCTATCGTATTTTTCTCCGTCCTACGCAATCTTTCTCCGTCCTATCCTATCTTTCTCCGTCCTACCCTATCTTTCTCGGTTTTATCCTATCTTTCTCCGTCCTATCCTATCTTTCTCCGTTCTATCCTATCTTTCTCCGTCCAATTCTATCTTTCTCCGCCCTACCCTATCTTTCTCCGTCCTGTCCTATCTTTCTTCTTTCTATCCTATCTTTCGCCGTCCTATCCTATCTTTCTCCGTTCTATCCTATCTTTCTCCGTTATATCCTTTCTTTCTCCGTCCTATCCTATCTTTCTCTGTTTTATCCTATCTTTCTCCGTCCTACCCTATCTTTCTCTGTCATATCCTATCTTTCTCAGTCCTATCCTATCTTTCTCCGTTCTACCCCATCTTTCTCCGTCCTACCCTATCTTTCTCTGTTTTATCCTATCTTTCTCCGTCCTACCCTATCTTTCTCCGTTCTACCCTATCTTTCTCCTCCTATCCTATCTTTCTCCGTTCTATCCTATCTTCTCCGTCCTATCCTATCTTTCTCCGTTCTATCCTATCTTTCTCCGTTCTACCCTATCTTTCTCCTCCTATCCTATCTTTCTCCGTTCTATCCTATCTTTCTCCGTCCTATCCTATCTTTCTCTGTTCTATCCTATCTTTCTCCGTCCTACCCTATCTTTCTCCGTCTTATCCTATCTTTCTCCGTTCTATTCTATCTTTCTCCGTCCCATTCTATCTTCTATCTTCTTCGTCCTATCCTATCTTTCTCCGTCCTACACTATCTTTCTCCGTCCTATCCTATCTTTCTCCGTTCTATTCTATCTTTCTCCGTCCCATTCTATCTTCTATCTTCTTCGTCCTATCCTATCTTTCTCTGTTCTATCGGAGATCAGATATATTTCCAATCTCCAATAGTCATTTCAATGCTTTCAGTAATGAAGTACCATTCAATAATTACCAATCGTTCTCTATATATCCATCTCTCTCTAGCTTTCCCCTGTTCGTTCATTAATCTTCTTTTTTTCTTTTTCTTGGACGCTTCCTTTTTATTTTTCTCTTGCAGTGAGACCCATAAAACTGTGAAATATAAGAAGACGACTTTTCAGCTGAAGTTTAATTTTTATCGTGAAATAAAGAGATTGTGAAGTGTATCAGAACCATTTCATTTTGGAAGATGATTTTCAAGCCATATACTGGTAAAATTATTTGCTTTGTAACAACATCAAATAAATGTAAAAGGAATTGAGTCTTTGCCACAAACTCAAATTTTCTAACCTATTTACAGCAAATAAATGTAAAAGGAATTGAGTCTTTGCCACATACTCAAATTTTCTAATCTATTTATCTTTTCTACTTGATAGTTTAAATCTTTGATATTTTTTGATCTTAAAGGATTCATAGATTGCAATATCCAAGGATTGTAAGGCAAGGAAAGTTATTTCAGAAGTGTACACATCCTTTGTACTGCAGTGTACTGTCTCTGGGCGGTAATGTAAACACAAGACGGATGTCGAAGCCTGAAATGGGATCCATCTTTCACATAAAAATCGATGAAATATTCTGGTCATAGGAAACTATTATGTGAATTATCAAAATCTTCAAAATTTAATGCTTTTAACCTCCTCGGATACTAAACGAACACTGATGCATCTATTCTTGTTTACAAATTCCGCCCAAAGAGAACTGGTTTCAATATGTACGCAGAGTATACACGACCGCAATAAACTTTCCTTGCCTTACATTCTTGGCAATATCCAAAGTCTGCGACATTGGGTTCCAAAGATAAAGGGATTACAAAATCTGAGTTTGTGGCAAAGTCTCAATTCCTTTCTAAAATGTTGGCTCTCTCTCTCTTATTATGTTAGCTTCATTTCCTATCCCTGCCTTTTAAACTATTTTTCCATTTCTCCTTTTATTCTTAATGTTTCTTTCTGATTCAAGGAACTGGATTACTTTCACTAAACCTAATTTTATCATTTTGTCATTTCAACAGCTGAAATATATTATACTTTATAGGCTATTAGGGCGTTTTGTGCCTGTCTTCTATTTCAATTTTTTTTGTGGCTTTATCTCTGAGCAAGCATCTTCTCTTTGTACAGTATAAAACAAAAACAAACAAAAAAATTTGCGGATTTCATAATATTTTTTCGCACATTTTCAAATTTTACAAAAATAAAAAACTTTTTAAAATTTTGATCATTCATAAACCTTCCCTGGGGTCACGTAAGGTCCCATACAAAATTGGGGCCCGATCGGTTTAGCTTGTTGACGTTTATTGGATACAAACAAACAGACACCCAGACAAGCTAAATTTATATATAGATTTCAAACTATGAATTCTAAAGGTAAATAGTTTAAAATATCAAAGGTTTAAGTCAGGTTTCAAAGAAAAATTGGAGTTTGTGGCAAGTCATCATATAGTATTTCTTTTAAACATTCTGTATATATTTAGCTTAAATTTGTTTTAAATAATTGTGATTATAGATTTGCACACAATACTTCGATAATCTAATGTTTCCTCTCTCTTTGCTTCATTGACGGGTTTCCTCTGTAAATCAGTCTCCAGGTCCGTCTCAGATCTCCGGAGAAATGTTTCTCTCCGTCCCATGAGGTTTAGTTCAGATACATCCTTATTCCTCTCCGTATACTCTTTAATACGCAGGTTGTACAAGAAAACTTGAGCTGTCACAAGGACTCCTATCTATATATAAATTTGGCTTGTCTGTTTGTCTGTCTGTCTGTTTGTTTGTTTGTTTGTTTGTATCCAATAAACGTCAAAACGGCTGAACCGATCGGGCCCAAATTTTTTGTGGGACATCTAGGGACTCCAGGGAAGGTTTATGAATCATCAAAATTTCAAATATTTGTCTCCATCCAAATTCGATCGTCATTAAATTTTTAAAAATTTTGAAAATCCGCGAAATTTTTTGTGAAAATCCGCGAATTATTTTTGTTTTGTTTTACGATGTACACAAAGAGAACATGTTCACAATTAATTTAGGAGATGGGCGCGAAGCGCCCTCTAAGGCTAGAAAGAAGGGCGCGAAGCGCCTTGAATTTCTAGTTTTGTTAAAATTAATTTGGTTCCGTGCGAAGCCTTTCCAAAAGCTGTTTTTAGCTTGAAAACTTATATCTTAATTAGACCGTAACCTTTATAAACCAACCAAAACTATATCTAAATATTACTCCCCGCTATCTAAGCATATAATTGTGTAATTTACTATTCCAAATCCAGAAAATCGTACCTCATAGTTTTTCACCATGTTGAATAACCGGCCTATAGCTATATTCAAAGAGAATAGAATATATTTTAAAGTAGAATTTACTAGAAAAAAGTGTAAAACGGCCATTTTGATTTTTGTTGTACTATTTCCATACTGCAGGCGTACTTCACATATTTGGGCCCTGGAATATCATTTTATAGAAAATCTAAAATTAGTATTAAAAGAAAACCAAATTATAAAATAGGCTCGTTTCATAATTGACCAATGATCATTTTACATAGACTCTATTTACAAACGATGATTTTCCGTTATAACTATAAATCAAATGATGTTTTTTATTCACCTAATTCATATTATAAAGTTTATTTAACAGCTTTAAATTCGAAATTGAAATGGAAAGTCTAGGAAACATACTGTATTAATGCACTCTACTGCATATAATTTGTGAACATTTACATGATTTGTACACTTTGAACTCTCTTTCAGGCTGAAAAGGACTGAAAAAATTTATACCAAGAGATTTCTTAAATTCCACTCTAATATATATTCTACTCTCTTTGGCTATATTGCTTCCAGGGTTTGGTAAGGAGATGTTCTGTCATTAACTTTGAAAAATCTAAATAGTTACAATTTCTTAAAGCGCGGAATTGATTTTAAAAAAGTTCGGAAACCTTGCTCCTCCATGTTATCTTTGTTCCATAGATAAATATGTTAAAAGATAAATCAGAACAAGTTTTATAATGTACATGATAGAAATTTTTTTAACCTCAGAGTGCAGTAAAAGAGGATCTAATTGTCCAGTGCATGGTTCATAGATTGTACGCGCAACAATATTACAAATGATGGTTATTTTACTGATTGTTTAATATGATTATAAACAAGCATGATGGAATTTAGATGTGTTTATTAAATTATCTATTTCTTTATTGTTAAATACGTTTTTTCTGTAATTCAAAGGACTACAAACGTAATTTCGGGTCTGTCTTTGAGAACGATTTTTGGACCCCCTCCCCCCTCACTCCTCCTATCAATTTTGTTCATGACCACTTTTTTCAGCAAAATTATTATTATTTATTTTTTATTATTTTAGGGTTAGGTTAGGTTAAGGCAATTTTTGGGCCAAGCGCTGCGGCTAGGGCGGACTAGGGGACCAAGCGCTACGGCTAGAACAGGATAGAGGGCCAAGCGCCGTGGCTAGGACAGGCTATGGGGCCGAGCGCCGTGGCTAGGACAGGCTATGGGGCTGGGCACTGCGGCCACATGACCAATTATATCTACGCGTTACATATGAGATCCATGTACAAAATTGATAAGAGCAGGGTGGGGTGGATGGAGGGGGGGGGGGGAGGTTCAAAAATCGTTTTCTAGGAAACTACCCGTGATTTCAAGTGAACTTCCCCATTTATAAGTAAAAACCTTCATCTGAGCAGAGATGAGGAAAATAGTGTCTTTCTGCTATTTTAAAAAATGTGAATCTTTTTCTTGCACAAATCACTTTTTAGCATAGAGACACGCATATAGAAAATAATTACTTTGGCGATAGATAAAAAATATAACTCTAATCGTTAAAGGGTCACTTGAAATTACGTCTACAGTCTTTTTAAATAACTTATATTAAGTATTGTACATTAATTTTAATAAACCAATTTCTCCATTTGCCGTAAATTTTAAACAATTCCTATGATTTAATTCAATGATAAATCATAGTTAGATTTAAAATGATTGGTGCTCTCTTTGAAGCAGTCTCAGGTGGGATTTTTATCATAGATATAAATTACAAATTTCTTACTGCACAAACTAGTATTTTCTAACACCTATATATGTACAACCTGATGGTTATATTTTCAACCTTTTGATCTAACAGAATTCATAGTTTGAAACATCAATAATATATGGGTAGCAAATATAAAGGGATTAAAAATAAGTGTTGAAATAAGTCAATTTCCTTGTATGTATATGGTAGTATTGAGGGATATAGAACTCGGAATGAAAAAAAGTACCGATTGAATCTTAATTTAGTTACATATGATTTTTTATATTTTGAGCATCCTCTTCACGGGCATCCGTAGTACATTTGAATTTCCGAGCTGGGTCAACCTTTCCGGTCCCAGTGTGTACTGTATCGCCCGGACATTGGGCAAATAAAGCAGACACTCAATTGGTCTAGCCGGTGCAACAAGGTTGACGCGGTCAGACTTTAGGTTGAATTTACTTTTACTAAAGCGTCAGGGGTGCGGGTCTTTAACTATTAAGTCAAATTTACTCTCTCTGAATTCTTCAATCAGCTGTTTATCCAACAATATCTTAATCCGAAGATTAATAATCTTTAGACTTCTTCAATCAACTATTAGGTTTCAGTTTTAAGGAGGCTGTACAGTGTACAGTGAACATGCCCGAATTAATCAGTTTTAATGTTGTGAATAATGATGTATTTTATGAATATAATCTCAATTTTCTAAATAAGACTTTTAGGCCTTTTAACGGCATTATATAAAAGATTCATATGAATTTAAGCTCTAAATCTAAGTTTGACATATCATACGTTTACACTATCAGGTTGAAAAGATATAGGAATTAGAAAATTTGAGTTTGTGACAAAAAACCAGTTCCTTTGGCCTAAAATCAAAAGAAGATAAAGATGATGTTTCGCAAGAAAGACACACCAGGAACCCTTTATCTTTGTTTAAAATAAGTGTACTGCATTTTCTGGGAGAGAAGTAAACAATCAGTGCTGCTTAGTTTTGCTTTCATTCCTCCCGGAAACTGCAAAGGACAATTTTGTAAACAAAGACTACTAATAATGTACTGCACTAGGTGTACGGGGCTGGTTCAGATCAAAACACAAGCTAACTATAGATACTCCACAGGTAATAGTAAAATTAATAAAATTAGGAAACATATTAGTGTCAAAAACGTTAAACCTTTCATTGTTCTAAATTTTGTATGTTCTGAACTTATGTGTATCAACAAGTTTTAAGATATTTTAATTAAAGAAGTTCAAAAAGAATTTTCAATGGTGCCTGCTATATAGGCTGCTTAACCTTGCTGCATCGGTATATAATATATTAATGAAACATAAAGAAAATATGATATGATATATTGATGAAACATAAAGAAAATATGATATGATATATTGATGAAACATAAAGAAAATATGATATGATATATTGATGAAACATAAAGGCAATATAAAGAAATCTCAGCAATTTTCATGCTCACCTATGCGTACTAAATAAATCCTGAAGCTATGACCATAGGTTTTTAAGTATCCGATCGAAAATGAATAGATTGTCATAATCAAAGGAAACTTTTGTGAATTAGAATAATTTCAAGTGACCCTCCATGTATACAGTGACATGTCCGATTCACAACGGTACTCTTTAAACCTTCGTCAAATCAAGGATGAATGCCAAGAATTGGAAAATTTGTATGTAAACATTCACCACCTTTTAACTACTTTATCTTCATCATTTTCCCCTTTTTCTTCGGATAGCTTAGTTTAGAGTATATCACACTAAACTAAGCTAGTGAGGTTGGTCAAAAAGGGCCTATGATAGGTACTGTAAGAAGGTAAGAAGTCTGGCCGCGCCATCAAAGTTGAAACCAAGCTGGTAAAGAATAGGGTTGGGCCGGTACTTGCAGTGCATCACAAAGCTGGTTCAAGGGGTCCGGTCCGGTTCGAATTCAAATTGACCCTAGTCCACCGTGGTAATACTAATAATAATAATGATAGAGGTTTAAAGGGAATCGTTGTGAATCGCACATTGTCCTAATTAAATAGAGGGGTAAATAAAATCCCTTTAATTAACTTTAAATTGGAATGTAATGCTGTTGGCCTAGCCCTGGGCTGTATAAAATATATGTTAAATCTAGAATAAATCATACAATACAATCAGGAACAGAAATTGGGGTATTTTCAAAACAAGAAAAAAACTTCAAAACAAAAACTGTAATACAAAATTGTTTAACGGTATTCCCTTTACAAGTACAATGTGTAACGAATATTTAAGTATCAAGATTGTTTGTTGTGGTAATTTTAATTAATCCTTCATCCATGCTAGTTCACTACAGTACCCTTTAAACCTTTATCTACTCAATACTGTTCACGTGTAGGAGGATTCACAACAGTACCCTTTAAACCTTTATCTGTTCACGTGTAGGAGGATTCACAACAGTACCCTTTAAACCTTTATCTACCCAATACTGTTCACGTGTAGGAGGATTCACAACAGTACCCTTTAAACCTTTATCTACCCAATACTGTTCACGTGAGGAGATTTCATCGTTTTTATATAATTCTTCATAATTTCTCCATTGTTTCTGTTGCATAAATCTTAAAGTCACTTTTATAGAGAAACCACAATTGAATAATAAACCTAAAAAACCTACATGACTTCTTTATTGTTTTAAGGGTACCGTTGTCAATCGAAGATGCCACACTATAAATAAAAGGACACTTAAAATTACGTCTCTGATAATACCTTGAATACTTGAAAAATGTTTAATGAAAATTACGATTAAGTTTCTAACCCCGGAGTTGGTCCCTCTCCTGATTAAGATTGTAGAACTAAGTGGTAAAGTTGTAAAAAAGCTGATAAATGATGTTTGTGGAAGTAGTGGAACTAGTGGAACATTGGAACAGTAGAACAAGGAGAACAAGGAGACTAATCAATCCAGATTTCATCAATTTGTCCTCCATCGACCCTGAATCTTTTTCAGTGTAGCAACTTTTAGAAAAGCTTGAAATTCATGGCATTTCGCGCCCTAATTTTAGCAGAGTGACATTTAGAGCAAGCTCTATTATTTAGAAATACAAAGAAATTCATAGCGCTTTACTCATCACTTAAAGAACTAAGAATTCATTAGTCTTCGCTCCCCTCATTATTAATGCTAGGAATTTAGGGCGCTTTGCTTCCTTCTTTATTAAGTTAAGGATAATTTTGCTCCCTTTCTTATAAAGCTAGGAACTTAGGAAGCTTTTTTCACCGCTGTATGTAAGAAAGAAATTCAAGAAACTGCTCCCCTCTTAATAAAAGCTAGGAATTCAGGACACTTTGCTCCACTCTTTATAAAAACTAGGAAGGGACACTTTGCTCCACTCTTTATAAAAGCTAGGAACTAGGGACACTTTGCTCCACTCTTTATAAAAGCTAGGAACTAGGGACACTTTGCTCCACTTTTTATAAAAGCTAGGAACTAGGGACACTTTGCTCCACTCTTTATAAAAACTAGGAATTAAAAACAGTTTTCTCCACTCTTTTTAAAAGCTAGGAATTAGGGACACTTTGCTCCACTATTTAAGAAGACTAGGAATTAACGACGCTTTGCTCTACTCTATATGTAAGAAAGAAATTATGGACGCTGCACTTTGCTACCCTTTTTAAAAAGCTTCTGAACGCTTTGCTTCCCCCCACCCTTTCAAAAAGCAAGAGATTATTTTTTTGCGTTGTTTCATTTCTTATAAAAGAAATATAATTAATGAGAACTATCATTATTAAAAAACACTGTTTAACTGTAAGGTCCAATTTGAATTTTCGTCAAATAAGAATAATTTTACGATAAACTCTCCAACTTATGTTTGGTTAAAAACAACATTTTTAAATGGGAAGATTCCCTTTCAACTATCTTTACAACAGTTCTTGCTAACCATAGTAGTAGCAGCAAATCCTATAAAATTTAAATAAAATGGAGTGCAAGAGTGAAGTTCTTTGTAATGTAAATATCCTTTCAATTTTATAAAAACGATTGAGAAATGTTTGAACTTTATTAGAAACGTGATGGAATCAATATGGTCCACACATTTAGTTCAATTCAGAGCCAATTCTAATATATCTTCAACCAATATCTGCCAAACTAGAAATATATATATTCTCTAATTAAACATTGATTTGGCATGCTCTACACATTGTATAGTGTACAGTGTACATATGCCGTACATACACTTTACATACACTATAACGTACCTTTCTGTACAGTATACACCGCTGAGTGTAGGGTTTAACCCTATCCCGATTGGGCTATTTTGTCGATTAAAGATGGGGGGGGGGGTTGTTTTCCACCCCTATGATTTTGCCCTTTAAGTTGATATAGGGGAGTATGAAACATGTCCCTAGTCCAACTTTTCAAGGCCTGCTTATTAAAAAAAAGTGGACCTCTAACTTTAATGGTTAGAGTGAAAGGGAGGATTTTTAAAAAGTTCAGAAAGTATGTAGAAAAAATTTTTGAAAATAATTTTTTACTTTTATATTAAATATTAACATAAGACACATGTTATTATATCCATTTTTCAAGCCTTTTCAAAAAAAGTGAAGAAGTAAGCCATTTTTAATTTGTTCAGAATAAACCACAGGGGGGGGGGGGGTTGGAAAACACCCCCCCTAACCGTGATTGGGTTAAGCTGTTAAACAAAAAAGTACGAATTGTATACATCGCCAAAAATCTTTTTAGTATCATTGTGTGTTGTGCTTAAGCTATACTTTGAACTAAAAGTTTTTACAAAATACCTAAAGGTTTAAAATTTTCTTTTATTTTTTGGTCAAAAGTGTTACCCTCCTCTCCCCCATCTTAATATAGGAGTAAGTGTCTCTCAATATACAATTAGAGTGTTTCTAATGTATCCTTGTATATAAAGACACTTGTGTACTCGGATAATATACGGTTTCCTTTCTTATATTTAAAGGGACTGTCGTCGAGATTACAAGTGACCCTACATAACCATTAAAAGAGGTTCAATTCACAACGTTACCCTTGAAACCTGACCCTGACCAAAAGTGTTAAATTCTGATAATTTCCCCAGTGAAAATGAAAATAAACAGTTTGAAAAACAATATCATTGGCATCTAATTAATACTTGATCGACAAAGATTTAATGGGTACCGTTGTAAATAATAAATGCGACTCAACCAATGGTCACTTCAAATTACGTTTACAGTCCCTTTAATCAACCTTCATTTTTTACTATAGCTGGGTTGAAGAGATGTCAACGTTTTGCTTTTTTTCTTATTTTAGCTTTCGTTACGATAGTGTTCATAAAAAGTATAAACGTTTGAAACGTTACGTTCCACATTATGACATTTTATGGGATAGACCAACGTTACGTAATAAATTTTCTGCGCTTGAATACCATATACAACGTTGAGCTTTAATAAATGTTGTTAAGCAAAATAAAGTTCCCTTTCGCTTATGCATTGAAAAAGCTTTAGTATAATATAACTACAATTTTTTAACGTTCCACTTTCATGCAAGGTAAATATTTTCAGAGACCTTACGTTACACTTTCACTTGGTTTGAAAACTACAAGGTGAAAAAGGTAAAAAAAACGTCATTTAGACAAAGTTCTGCACGTTGCAATGCATTTCAGTGCAAAGAATATTTTTTGTTGACGCAACGTTTTATCATAATAAATCTTTAATAACTTTAGAATTTTTTTTCTAAAACGGTGCTTTTTTTAGTTTACAATTTATCGATTCGTTATTGTGATAAACTTTGTTCGGTACATAATTTACAACTGTTTTTTTTCGTTTCGTTTCTAAGAATAATAAGTTTTCTATTCCATTCTAAGTTTCATAACAATCTATTGATGAATAAAACCTAACACGCATTTTCCAATTGATAAATTTTAATAAGTATCTACATTTTTAGATTTTTCAACATAAAATATGAACCTTTCCAACTGAAGTTATGATTTCAAATAGTCAAATAAACATGAAACACAGCAATTGTGTTGTTTCTTAACTCTCATCTTCCTCTTCCAGAGTTTTTGGGGGATTCATTGAACAATGGCAAATCAAAACATTTAATATCACAGAAACATTAATAATATTCGAATCCTTATTTCTTTCCCACCAGATGGTTTAAACCTTTCATATTTTAATTCCAAAAATCACCATTTCAATATCAAAGGTCTACGACATCGGGTAGCAAAGAGAGATTACAAATTAGAGTGTGTGGCACGAACTCATTTCCTGTAAATTTTAAATGAAAAACAATTAGTCTTTCCATTAGTCTTTGCTGTCATATTCATCAGTCATCTCTAACATTAATAGACGAGAGACGTACTGAAACGTTTTGATTTGCAGAATTATTGTTACACTTTTGAAATTAAAACTCAGCCCTCATAACCTTACGTTTAATAAACAACATTTTCATCAAACGTTAGACTAATCAATTTAGTTTTCAGAGAAAAGTTATGAAACTTTTTGATTTACAGAATTACATTTTTTTAGTGTTAATCGTTACACTCTTCAAATTTATAATCTGTATAAAAACTTTCGTTTCCTGATTATTTAATTAATAAACCGTTTCTGAAACGTTGAACTTTTCATTATAATACTAGGGAAAACGTTTCAAAACGTTTTCATAAACAGAAATTCATTTTTCAGTTACAACGTTACACTTTTTAAAACTTGAACTTTGAAATAGAAATCCTTTCGTTACGATGTGCAATCAAATCACAATTGATTTTTCAAACGTTGTACTTTCAAGCTCCCCATTAAAGCAAAACGTTTGTTTACGTTATGGTCAAAAATGTTGCAATTACTAGATAAATACCGCTTCGTTTCCTTAAAACGCTTACATTAGGTGTATGTTCGTCTAATGTTTACGTTTAACGTTAAAATAAGGTAAAAGCACCTACATCTTTAACGTTGAATGTTCACGTTGTCTAGACTATATCCAAACGTTTCCTATTATTGTAACGTAACGTACAAAAACGATTTTACGTTACGTTGCATTATGGTTGACATCTCTATTAGGTTGAATCTTTTGGTTTGTACATGAATAATTATCTATAAATGCAACTGTCTTGTCTTATTAAACTGGACAATATGTTTTTGCCGAGATTTTTACTTATTCGGGTTTGAGGTTTAAATTCAAGAGATTAAATTTCCTTAGTTTAAACCGAAACCAAACAAGTATTAGTTACAATCACATTAAAAATCATATCTATACAAGATAAAATGATAACACGTTACACAAGAAGGTTGGACTTACCACAAACTCAACTCAAACTCTTTTTATCCCTATATCTTGGCAACCTGATGCTGTAAACCTTTGAAATTTCAAACTTGGTTTATTTTATCTAACAGAAGAAAAAAAAAGTTTATTGGATATAGTGGAAACACCTTAGTTTTCAAATTCAGTAATCATTTATTTGAGTTCTCAATGCTAATTACAAAATGATCGGTAAATATTTGTGAAAATCCAAGAAAGTACTGGTGGAAACCTATGATTTTTTTTTGGGAAGAAAAGTCAAATTCTTTGCATTGAAACAAAAAAAACAGAAAGTTAAATTTAAAGTAAACTTTTTTGATAAAAATAATCTCAAAATTGAATAAAATTTATTTATTATTTTATTATTATTTATTTAAATTTTCCTGTTTATTTTTCTCTCATTATTTCATCTTTATATTATCCTCCCAATTAATACAGTCTAGCTTTCACAAGTTTATCAATAGCGTCCTATTATTGACCTCTTTTAAGACTGATTAATTTTAACATTTATTTTGAAGTATTAAGTTACTGTTCTATGAATGACCTCCTATACCTTTTATACTCTAGGCTAGATTACAGTCTGACGTGACCATCCTGTTATTAACCTCCTACTAAACTGTCTACCTATACTTTTATACTTTAGGCTAGATTAGTGTCTGAAGTGACCATCCTGTTATTAACCTCCTACTAAACTGTCTACCTATACTTCTATACTTCAGACTAGATTACTGTCTGTAGTGGCCGTCCTGTTATTAACCTCCTACTAAACTGTCTACTTATATACTTTTATACTTTAGGCTCGATTACAGTCTGAAGTGACCGTCCTATTATTAACCTCCTACTAAACTGTCTACTTATACTTTTATACTTTAGGCTCGATTACAGTCTGAAGTGACCGTCCTGTTATTAACCTCCTATACTAAACTGTCTACTTATAAACTTCTATACTTTAGGCTAGATTACAGTCTGAAGTGACCATCCTATTATTAACCTCCTACTAAACTGTCTACTTATACTTCTATACTTTAGGCTAGATTACAGTCTGAAGTGACCGTCCTATTATTAACCTCTCTGTCTGCGCTGACTGCTTGTAAACAATACCTGGGAGATCCAATACACTGTATTTTTGATGGAAGGTAAATTAAAGATGTGAATTTAAGAAAAAAAGCTGGAAAAAGTATAAAGGTGATTAATATTCTCATCCATTTTATTCATATTTTATTTAGGAGCGGTGTAAAAATAGAAGCAATTGATGCTTTCTGCTGGATACATTCTACATCTCCACTAGAACCTAATCTTATCTCCAGACTTTCAAACCTTTCTCCCTCCCCTTCCCATCTTACTAGGTTAGTTTCAGACTTTCAAACCTTTCCCTTCCCATCTTACTAGGTTAGTTTCAGACTTTCAAACCTTTCTCCCTCCCCTTCCCATCTTACTAGGTTAGTTTCAGACTTTCAAATCTTTCCCCCTCCCTTTTCATCTTACTAGGTTAGTTTCAGACTTTCAAACCTTTCTCCCTCCCCTTCCCATCTTACTAGGTTAGTTTCAGACTTTCAAACCTTTCTCCCTCCCCTTCCCATCTTACTAGGTTAGTTTCAGACTTTCAAACCTTTCTCCCTCCCCTTCCCATCTTACTAGGTTAGTTTCAGACTTTCAAACCTTTCTCCCTCCCCTTCCCATCTTACTAGGTTAGTTTCAGACTTTCAAACCTTTCTCCCTCCCCTTCCCATCTTACTAGGTTAGTTTCAGACTTTCAAACCTTTCTCCCTCCCCTTCCCATCTTACTAGGTTAGTTTCAGACTTTCAAATCTTTCCCCCTCCCTTTTCATCTTACTAGGTTAGTTTCAGACTTTCAAACCTTTCTCCCTCCCCTTCCCATCTTACTAGGTTAGTTTCAGACGTTCAAACCTTTTTCCTTCCCTTTTCATCTTACTATGGTATGGGATTATATCAATACGATGAAGACGACTTTCGGTTATAATATTAGTTGATATCAAGCTGTTGTTGAACAGCATGGAATCACATAAACATAAAAGTCAAGAGAAGCTGTCGATGAAAAAAGCTTCTCTTGGATTACTTGTAAACTTGTATGTATTTCGAATAAAGCTTGTTAACGATCAAAATTAAATCAAAAAGTCGTCTTCATTTTATTGATATAATCATATTGATGTAACCTGTGTAGGTTATGTTTAGACTTTCAAACCCTTCTTCTCTCCTTCTCATGTTATTAGGTTATTTTTAGACTTTAAACCATTCCCACTCCCCTTATCGTATTACTTGTTTAGATAAGACTTTCAACATGTTCCCTTTCCATTCCAATCTGACTTGGTAACTTATTTCATTTAAAAAAAAATTCTTTAGACTGTGCTCATCGCATCAGAATCCTCCTCTTGATACTTCTTTCTACCAATGGGTTCATGTTTTTCTTATTCTCCAGGTACTTATTACAGCAGGGTTAAGTTCATGTCCTACTTCTCTCAACAGTTAATATATATCCAAGTACTCTGAACTATAGGGAGTACATTTATGTATTCTGCAGGCACTCTTTTCACAGGTTTATATTTTCATGATTCTTCAGGTACTTATTAGAGTAAGGAAGAACAGGTTTATATTTCTCGATTCTCCAGATACTCTTTACAGCAAGGAAGAACAGGTTTACATTTTCCTGATTATCCAGGTACTCTTTACAGCAAGAAAAACATGTTTATATTTTTCCGATTCTCCAGGTACTCTTTACAGCAATTGGAAGAACAGGTTTATATTTTCCTGATTCTCCAGGTACTCTTTACAGTAAGGAAGAACAGGTTTATATTTCCCGATTCTCCAGGTATTCTTTACAGCAAGGAAGAACAGGTTTATTTTTCTCGATTCTCCAGGTACTCTTTACAGGAAGGAAGAACAGGCTTACATTTCTCGATTCTCCAGGTATTCTTTACAGCAAGGAAGAACAGGTTTATTTTTCTCGATTCTCTAGGTACTCTTTACAGTAAGGAAGAACAGGCTTACATTTTCCTAATTTTCCATGCACTCTTTACAGTTAGGAAGAACAAGTTTATATTTTTCCGATTCTCCAGGTACTCTTTACAGTATTTCTGATTCTCTAGGTACTCTTTACGGTAAGAAAAAGCACATTAATATTTTCCTGATTCTCTAGGTACTTTTTACAGTAAGAAAGAACCAAATAGGTTATCAAGTACAATAGGTGGCAACAGAAATCAACCAAATATACATGACGTCACAAGTGACAAATATAACAAGTAAAAAAAATTCTCACAGCAGTTGACTTTTTTTCCAAGATTAAATAAAAAATGTATAACAGAAAATAAAGAACAAATTAAATTGCACATATTTTATTGTAAGATAAAAACTTTTTTTTGTAAAATCATCACTGTTATTAATAATTTTGTCGGACACAAAAACTGAGAATTGTCATTGTGACGTAAAAATACAGCTGTACTGAGAGTGCTCAAATTTTACCTTGCCATCTATTGTAGTACTAGAAGCTATTTGGTTATATTTCCCCAATACTCCAGGTACAATACTATGCTTTTAGGAAATATTGCTCTTTAGATCTCTTGAGCCATCCCAGTTTTGTGTTTTGTAGATAAACTTTTACTTAATAGATAGCAATACAATCAATATGATTCAGATCACTTAATTTCAAGCTATTTTTTATTTCATTTTTTATTTTTCCATCTAAAAATTTATTATTTCAAATACTGTACTTACATCATGATGATACTGTTTAAACTCTTATTTTACTCTAATGACCTTATTGCTACCAATTAAAATTGGTCAGAATTGAAAAAATGTTAAAGCCTGAAACTGACGTTAATAAGTCTATAAAGTATAGAGAAAAAGTATATTTACAGTATAAACCACTTATGATCGATACTAATAATTTGTATAAAGCCAAAGCTCTCTGACAGATTCTCCGCCTTTCTTCCGCCTCATATGACGGATTAACCTTTCTGTGTTCGGTTCTTCATGAGGGCTACAACTCCATTTTGGCTTTAGCCTGGCAAATCTTATTTCCTGCTCCCTTGTGGATCAAGCCTATTGGCCTGAATTTAAATAGAAATCGGGGTCAACGGTGGCTTGGCTTTTCCATGCCTTGAAACATGCGTTGGAAACATGTTTTCTAGGATGGCATCTTTTAACGGACAAATCTGAATACACTAAACACGAGGCAACTTGAAATCCGCACCACTTTCTGTCCGACCTATAGCTATATACAAAGGAGCTAATAGCTGTCATGCTTATAGGCCGGACTACTTGCAATCTGAGCTTAACTCCGGTCCATTTGAGGACTGAAGGGGTTACATCAATGTTCTGTAGCTAGAGACACTTTTACTTAATAGATTAAAATACAATCAATACGATTCAGATCAAGTAATTTCAAGCTATTTTTTATTTCACCTTATATTTTTCCAGCTGAAACTTTATTATTTCAAATACAAATCATGATGATACTGTTTGAAGTCTTATTTTACTCTAATGACCTTATGATTGCAGTTTAATAATATTTTAATCCAGGCAATTATATTTCTGGTTCCAAGTCGACTGTGGTCTGGACTTGAAGGGGGTAGGGTCAGAAGTCTTTGTTTGATCGAGGTAATTTATGTTCTTTTATGCTTTACTTTTTGTGGCACCTCACAGGGAAGGTTTCTGCATGGTCAAAATTTTTAAAAAATTGCCTTCCAAAATTTTTAAAAATTGCCTTCCAAAATTTTTAAAGATTACCTTCCAAAAATTTTTAAATCCACCAAAAAATCGATAAATTTGCGAATTTCTTTATTGTTTAATAAGTAAACAAGAGACAAAGTAAAGAGCGAAATTTGACACAAAACGCCCTAGAAGCCTAGTTAATATTAAATGAATAAATAGATAAAATTCTAACAAAACTTCGCCGGTGGCCGAATTTAAAGAATTTGAGCGGCGGTTTAAATTTAAGCCGCGGCTTAAATATGGTTGGTTCCACTTAAAATGGTATCAAATGTTTCAAGATTTAAGCCGGCGCTTAATTTAAACCGGGTTTTGGCAGATTTAAACCGCGGCTCAAATTCTTTAAGTTCCATCTCAGGTCTCACACAAATTTTGTCTCTGTCAGGGTTAGCAAAGTTAGCTCAATTCTTGCAAATAATATATATAAATAAATAGAAGTGCCTTGTTACATATATATATATATATATATAAATTGATCTAGATGTGTTCTACCCTTTTTGTATTCGAAAAGTGGAATGAGTCTTTTAAGAAAAACTGTAATTTAGTTTTCCGTAATCATCTTGTTTATCTATTAAACCATTCCAAAGTTAAACAAGTGTAAACAGTGATAATGTTTTTGGTCACCAAAACCAGAGTACTATTCTTTTAAGAAAAAATCGATGGAAGTAAGTAGGTTCGAAATAACTATCATGAAATTATCTGTTTCAGGTCGAGATAACTATCATGAAATTATCTGTTTCAGGTTCTAGATAACTATCATAAAATTATCTGTTTCAGGGTCGAGATAACTATCATGAAATTATCTGTTTTAGATTTGAGATAACTATCATAAAATTATCTATTACAGGTTCGAGATAACTATCATAAAATTATCTATTACAGGTTCGTGATAACTATCATGAAATTATCTATTTCAGGTTCGAGATAACTATCATGTAATTATCTATTTAAGGTTCGGAATAACTATCATGAAATTCTCTATTTCAGGTTCGGGATAACTATCATGAAATTATCTATTTCAGGTTCGGGATAACTATCATGCAATTATCTATTTCAGGTTCGGGATAACTATCAAGAAATTATCTATTTCAGGTTCGGGATAACTATCAAGAAACAGGTTCGAGATAACTATCATGAAATTATCTATTTCAGGTTCGAGATAACTATCATGCAATTATCTATTACAGGTTCGAGATAACTATCATGAAATTATCTATTACAGGTTCGAGATAACTATCATGAAATTATCTGTTTCAGGTTCGAGATAACTATCATGAAATTATGTATTACAGGTTCGAGATAACTATCATGAAATTGAAAGATGGAGAGTTTCTATCGAGGAAGGTCTGACATGAGATATAAATTATTAATTTTTATGGGACTAAGAATTTTCTTAATTTTTTTTAGGCTCTGAATGAAATCATTTTATAAAAAGACTATTTACTTTCCTCTACTATAGCTTTCTAATCAACATATCTTTGCAACCTGAGCCCGTGATTTAAAAAAAATCAGTGAAAGAAGAAGCAAGACTAAGCTGCCATCTAGACTAATTTAAGACTTGAGCTTAGGGACTAATTTTTCACAGTACAAGGTTGGGTTTCATTTTGCATTTAATGGATTTTCATTGGTTGAAATGGAAAGGGAAAGGGAAATGGAATCAGAATAGTATAATAAGTATAAGGGCTGTGACAGTGGTCGATCACATCATCACACAAGCTGTTGTCAGATGATTCTTAAGTCGGGTCTAAGATAAGCCTTAAAGGGACTGTAAAGGAAAAATGAAAGGGGGTATAGGCTGAAAGCTAATCACTTTAGCTCTTGGTCGAGACCCATGAAAGTTTTATCTGATGTTCATGTCTCAAGAAATTGATATAAAACTGTGTTAAAATTATACGAAAGTTCATATATGTAAAATTGAGAAAATCTTAAACTTAAATCACGTGACCAGAACTATCACCAATGGCAGAGCAGTATACTGGTCACGTGTCTCCGCTTGTATTACGTGACCACTTTACTGCACTGCCATTGGTGGAATTTCTGGTCAAGTAATACGGACGTATAAATTATATTATGAATGAAATCTATTAAAAATAGAAATAACAAATATAGAAGTAAACCTAATTTACACTTAGCTTTCTCTGGGATATCATCGTTTTCAGATTGGTTGCGTATTTGCTGAATTTGATCTTTCTAAACCTACTACTTTTATACAAAAATGTATATAAATATAAATTTTCGTATAAATTTGACAAAGTTATATTTCAATTTCTCGAGATAGGAACATCAGATATGACTTACATGAGTCGCGATCGAGAGCTAAAGTGATTAGCTTTCAGCCTATACCCCCTTTCATTTTTCCTTTACAGTCCCTATAAACCACGGTTTTAGGAATTAAGATCTGGGTTGAAGTATTTAAATCTCGGGCTCTTATATAGTAGACTTTTAATATTTCAAGCAGATTATCTAAGTTAGAAATATCAAAACTTTGGCCTTCAGATTGCAAAGATATAGAAATTAATGTTTCAGAGTTCGAGGCGAGGAATCGTTTTTTAAATTATTAAAATAAGATATTTATGTATACCAACCTCCAGGCCTTTGTGTACACCTTGCATCAGAATAATTGGTATCTTCTCAAATATCTGATAGTTGAATTATCCCATATCATCGCTCTGCTCTCAGTTATACATCTCACAGATCTCTTTCTCTCAGTAGAAGGACAGAAGTTTTTATCTATAAAAACCTAAGTGAAATAATGGAATAAGCTGAAGTAAAAATATACCATTTAACTCCAGGGCAGAAAAAGTTTGGGCTGTTAAGTAAAATAGACAAAAGTTTTTATTTAGCAGTTTAAATATGCGGTGGATCGAGGGTTTTCAGAATAATATAGTTTAAAAATATCAATAATATTATTTATTAGATAGGGGGCCCTAAAGCCTCGCATATTTTTTGGTTGATATGGTTTGTTTTCTTTAAAAAATTGATCTAAACCAATTTAAACTTTTTGGGGAGTTAACATGTTTTTGTTTTTGACCGGACAGGATTCAATTATGTTTATTTTTACGATTTTAAAAATTCTGCAATAAAAACTGCGAAATTGTTGCTGTTGTGTTCTTTTTGTGGGAAATGTTCAGTTCAAAGGTCCTTGTGCTCAAAAACCAAGAACGGATTATAACTATTGGATACTGTGGTAGTCTAGTTTAGTTATATTTGAATGAAGCAGTAAGAGATTATATATTTAATCCTCTTTAACTCCGTTGAAGCACTTAACTCTTAAGTCTTGGTATAATATCTGTCATAACAAACACAATCTACGCTGCGTCAATGATAAAATTAATAGAGAAATAACAAAACTGAGTTTTTGACACAAACCATAATTTTCTAATTCCTTTATCTTTGCAAGCTGATGTCCTTGACATTTGAAATTTCAGGCCATAATTTCTGTTAGATCAAATAGTCTAGAATATTTACACCATCTGGTTGCAAAGATATATGAAATAGAAAATTTGAATTTGTGGCAAAAACTCAATTCCTTGGTTAAAGTTTTGATGACATACTTTAAATCAACTCTAACCCAATGGGAAAGTTGTAGATACATGTTAAAATAGCTTTAATCGATTCAGAATCAAAGCTTTCCCTCAAAATCTCAAATTTTCGGGAATCCACCTTTTTGAAACATTTTTCTTATATTCAAAATAATAAGCTTCGTACTGCATGTATTACACATTTGGATACATTGATACATTATAACCCATAACTTCATCTTTTTTGCATTTACATTCTTTTTTATTTAATAAATATAATATAAACATAATAATGTGTCTAAACTTTTTAGTTGACATTATTAACGATAAAACATGATTTATCTTTAAATTACACATGTCAGTTCAAAGACAGGACATTTTTAAAGATAGGACAGTTAATAGACAGGATGTTACATGACATAAAATGCCCTATATATGAAATGTCCAGCTATGATTTTGTTATCTTTGAAATGTCTTTTTATGAAATGTCGCATGTCACGGCATTAGCCACGCTAGTTTGAGTATACATGCTTCCACGAATCCACTGTGGAAACTTTAAGTGTAGGATTGTTGTCGGCAAGGAACAAGATTCTGACGATGAACAGATAGACAAAGGAATAACCCTCAAATCAAAATCGATAATGCAGAAAACTCTTTATTTCCTAAAAAAAATGAAATGAATAATGATAAATAATTATTACAATGGTTTACGAATTTATAATGAAAAGATTCTTACGATCTATTTGAGTATCTGTGGGTTAAACTGTCGGGGAGTCCTAAGACGTTTTTTTATACATTAAAACTTCTGAAAAGAGTGACAATTAAATGTTAAGGAGAGTCATTAATTCTTTATATGAAAATATTCTTTGCTTAACTTTGAAGTGGTTCATAATTAATAAAAGTGTTTATATTCCGTTGTCGGAGAACAAAGAGAGGCGGGCTGAAATTGTTTGGTTTGGTTTCTCGTCTCCGAGAGGAGCTTTTAGGTTGAAGACGACATTACATGGAGGGGGGGGGGGGTCTTGAAGTTAATGGTTGACAAGGATATATTAGGGAATAATGCAACTGTATTCCTTCCTGCAGAGATTATATTTCTTCCTTTACAGGGATAGTCTCCGAAACATGAAAAAATATATATATACTTTCGTTTTCTGCCTGTTTGTTTGTATGCACTGATCGGGCCCTATATTTTTGTGGCAACTTACATGACCCTACGGAAGGTTTATGGACAGTCAAATTTAAAATGTCGACATATATCTTATTTTGAAAATTCATGAAAAGAGAAAATTCCAGTAAAATTTTAGTTTTTTTTGAAGAATGGAGAAAACATTGAATAGCAACCAGCTAAAAGTTAGAAAAGGGGCAATAAAAGGCTAGTTTTATGAATAACGTTATTCTAAAAATCAAATAAGAGAAATTTTTTAATTATAATTTCCCTTTTTTTTTCTTCATAATCTTACCTAAATTTGCTTACCAACTGCATTCTAGTTCCGTTCTTATATCATTAAATATCCGAAACATTGCGTTATACTTCGCTGCAGGGAGAGTACTTACATGTCTTATTCGTCCAAATCTAATCTATCCAGATAATCTCTTTTCCTGTATTTTCTCTTTGATTATGAATAATATATGTCCTTTACACACTACATATTATATATAGAGTTTTAATCTCTGGTTGTCCGTTTGTTTGTATGTGTTAACTTATGAGCACCTTGACCAATTTGCCTCAAATTTTGATTTTGAATTACTGGAATGTTCTTGTTTTGGTCTTGAGAGTCGAAGTTGAGTGGATCGACCTTAAAAGCAAAAATTTAGTTTCCAGGCTAAAATCGACTTATATGCGAATGAACGGCGGGAGTATGAGTAACCCTGTCAACGCTTGGTTCCCAAGCTAGTATAATATATACTTAATAAGTTATTTAACACATATTATTTACACTAAATTGCAAAGGCATGAAACAAAAATGAAAAAAATCTAATCTTTTCTGACCTAGGAACTCTTGTATTGTGGATATGGAGATCAATGCTTGATCTTAATCTTTTGTTAATCTGCAGATTTATTTATTCAAAATACCGCACGGTAAGGAGCTTTGATCAGGGGAGGAATTGGGATTAGGAAGATTATGTAAGAGATTTAGCATTGAAACTGAACTTAAGCAGTGTTATATCGAAATCAGACGATTCAATTGATTTTCTGTTGAAAAAAATGAAAGAAATGTAGAACAAATGTTTATGAAAAGATAAATAAACTTTTTCCCATTATTTTTTAGAACTTTTATTGTTTTTGTAATGATCGCAGGAGATAAGAAAGATCAATTATATTGAATATATTTCATAAGTATTAACATAGTAAATTCATTAAATACATTGAATAGCTATTCTAGATTCTAGATTCTAGATTCTAGGTTCTAGATTCTAGATTCTAGGTTCCAGATTCTAGGTTCTTGATTCTAGGTTCTAGATTCTAGGTCCTAGATTCTTCTAGGTTCTAAATTCTAGGTTCTAGATTCTAGGTTCTATATTCTAGATTCTAGGTTCTAGATTCTAGGTTCTAGATTCTAGGTTCTAGATTCTAGGTTCTAGATTCTGTTCTAGATTCTAAGTTCTAGATTACAGGTTCTTGATTTTAGATTCTATGTTCTAGATTCTGGGTTCTATATTCTAAACTCTAAATTCTAGGTCTTAGATTCTAGATTCTAGATTCTAGGTTCTAGGCTTTAGATTTCTAGATTCTAGATTCTATATCCTTGATTTGAAAATGACACAAATCTCTTGTTGAGCAAGTTTATTGGCAATCTTTCGTCCCTTGGATAGACGAGAAAATATATTGTTAATTAATCGAGAATTCATGGATCAGGGGAAACTCAGAATGGGGAAGGGGGGCTGAATTCGGTGGATGAGTAGAAATAAAAGAAAATAGGGAAAAAAATGAGAAAACGAAGGCGGGGGATTAAAAGAAGAAATTATTCCTGTGCTTGGAAGAAAGGAAAATTAAAGGGAGAAGGATGGTTGAAGACACAGAGAGAGGGTTGTTAAGGCAGAAGGGGGTGCATGTTGGACCGCGTCGGAGGGATTGGAAGGAGGGGTTAGTGTTGCAAGTTGGTTTATGGGGACCTGAGGGGTTGGAAGTGGGAGAAGGGGGTTAATATTGAACCTGGGGGGACGGAAGGGGTATAATGGGTGGTTGATGCTGCATGCATGTTGGAAGGAAGTAATTACAAATATAAAAATAATATTTCTATGAATTGCACATAGAGAACTGAAGGAAATGTGTTGCAGGAGGACATTTTGCTTTTATTTCTTTTTCTTCTGTAAAATCATGAGTTGACGGAGAAAAATTAGCCACACGGTTTTATATTAGTTTTATGCATGTATACACACGGTTTTATATTAGTTTTATGCATGTATTCACACGGTTTTATATTAGTTTTATGCATGTATTCACACGCAGCTTGAACCTTTTAATGATAAATGTTTTACGTTGTCCCTGCCCCCCCCCCTTCGATCCTTGCATCCATGCCTCGCACCCCCTCTTAATAAATAATGTAGTATATTCCTAGGGAACAATTTTTGGACCCCGCCCCCCGGGCCCCCTTCCCTCCTATCAGTTTTGTACATGGATCTTAAATGTAATACATGTGGCCGCAACGCTCAGCCCCTTAGCCTGTCCTAGCCGCAGCGCTCGGCCCAGAAAGTGGATCTTAACTTAATCTAACCCGTAGCCGCAGCGCTCGGCCCAGAAAGTGTCTTAACCTAACCTAACCTAACCCTAAATNCAAAAATCGTTCTCTAGGACAGACCCAATAATGCTCGTATTTTACATATGTTTATTTTTAGAGTTAAAAAAAAAGTTTACCGTACGAAGGCTCAAAGTAAATAAAGGAATTTTTGTTCAAAACTACAAAAAAATAAAAAATTATCCTGCTTTCTTCCAATCTACGATATTTTAGTTTTCTTGGGCCGCTTGAAATAAAGGCATTGAAAACACATGATGTCCGATATTAAAGTAATCCTCTTTGAGTGCATCGCCATTCTTCCCGGCCAGGTTGACCAACCTGTCGGTGGTCATATATGAGAGAAGCCTTCGAAATAATGACTTTGTAAAAATCCAGGGAGGGGTACACCCCCCTAATTTCACTCAGGGCGGGTTATAGACTGTCACCCCCCCCCCTGAAATCGCCTATGTCAGAGACATCTAGATGTATTTTGATATCATTTTGATATGTGTATCCCGAATAAACTGCAAACTTGTAAAATCCAGTTTTAAATCAAAATTAAATTGTAATATGGCTGTCATCTTGGATTCCCTCAAGCACAGTGCACAATGAATGCTGTTGTGGACAGTCCAATATCTAGGATTCAAGAAAACTGTAGCAAATACAATTTTTAAATAAGAAAATCATAGTTTCTATATTTCTAGAAAAATGTATGATTTGGTACGGACAATGTGCGTGATTGTCTATTTGTCCAATTTGTCCAGAATGAATGGTCTATTTGTCAAATCACCCAAGGGCCAAGATGTCTAGAATAATCAAGATGTCTAGTGTAGTTGTTTATTAGTCCCAAATGTCTGGAATGAATTGCGTAGTTGTCTAATTGTCCAATATGTCTAGAATGAATAGTATAGTTGTCTAATTGTCCAATATGTCTAGAATAAATGATGTAATTGTCTAATTGTCCATGTCAAGATATCTAATTGTCCAATATTTCTAGAATGAATAGTATAGTTGTCTAATTGTCCAAGATGTCTAGAATAAATGGTGTCTATAAATTAATCCAAAGTATCGCTAGATTTGGCAAACTGAAACTCAGCAATTACAGTAATTAAGATTTTCAAGATTTTTGTAATTCTTCTTTATTCTTCATAAATTAAAGGTAGGCACGGCAACCTGATCTAAGAGGGGTACAAAGGACAAATAAAAGTTTTGGATTACATGGATTCTAATTTAGTCTTTTTGATAAAAGACCCGAGTTCTTGCCCAAAAAAACTTTCTATTGACTTTAAAACCTGATGGTGTAAACCTTTGATATCCAAACTTTGACTCTTTGATTTAACAGAATACAAAGCTTGAATTATCCAAAATTCTACGACATCTGGTTGCAGAGATAAAGGGTTTTAAAGATTTGTGGAAAGAACTTAGTTGCTTTAGAATCGTACAATGCAGTGCTTAAAGATTAAAGAATTATGTATGTATAAGTACAGGCCGATGACTCAGTTTAATCATTATATCACAATTTTAACAAGAAATTTCCTGGTATTATCAATATTTAATATATTTATAGATTTAAAAGATACAGAGAATGTAGATCATTAAAAACTCACATGAAACAAACATCTTATATATAATACACGCTTAATTTCATTGTTTAATTGACGTTTAAAAATGCAAAGACGACGTCAGCTGAACCAATTTAAATTTTTATTTTATTTGATAAAAACAAGATCCATGGAGAATACAAATTTTGTTTATACAGCATTGAACAATGTATAATTAAAATATTTAATATTTAATAAATTATTTAGTTATATATTATACAGAACCAGGCTCTACCCCATGGATGAAAATTGAACATTGAAGATAGAAGAAAATATAATAAAGGGAGGGGGCGACTCATCATATAATTAAAGGGACTGTTACGTAATTTCAAGTGACCCTCCCCGTTTAAATCATCATCCCCCATTCTCATTTCTAATCTTTTATCTAGTCTTTTATCAAAGGAACTATGATTAAGATATCTTTGTTTTTCAATCTGAAAATTGACAGAAAAATGACGATATTTTCCTAATTGTTGCCTCAAATGAAGGTGTAAATGGTAGCATTTATTTGGGGGGGGGGGTTCCACTTGAAATTGCGTCTACAGTCCCTTTTACCCTTTAAAAATTTGTAAAATTTGTCATTATTTTCCTTTTTCAGGCATGTTTTATAAACTGGGGATTGATACTATCGGATATTTCATTATGCCAGCAGAGCAGAGGCTTCAACTACCCTCACCTATATGCCAGGTATACAGGGTGTTTCGATAAACATGAACCTTCAGATATCCTCACCTTTATGTCAGGTATACCGGGTGGTTCAATAAACATGAACCTTCAGCTATCCTCGCCTATATGTCAGGTGTACAGGGTGGTTCAATAAACATGAACCTTCGACTACCCTCACCTATATGCCAGGTAGACAGGGTGTTTCAATAAACATGGATCTTCAACTACCCTCACCTATATGCCAGGTAGGGTGGTTCAATAAACATGAACCTTCAACTACCCTCACCAATATCAGGTATTCAGGGTGGTTTAATTAACATGGACCTTCAACTACCCTCACCTATATGCCAGGTAAACAGGGTGGTTCAATAAACATGAACCTTCAACTACCCTCGCCTATATGTTAGGTATGCAGGTAGGTTCAATAAACATGAACCTTCCACTAACTTCACTTATATGTCAGGTATACAGGGTGTTTCAATAAACATAAACCTTCAACTACCCTCACCTATATGCCAAAAACAAGAGACAAATTAACTTTATGTATCAGAACATAGAATTTTTAAACCACTAGGCTAAGAATATTCTCCTGGTTTTAACGAGTTATAATTCAAAACAGACAAACATAGATTACTACTTTATATATATAGATATACATTATACATAAACTATATCAATCTGAATATTCCTTCTATATATATATAGATATACATTATACATAAACTATACCAGTCTGAATATATATATATATATAGATATACATTATACATAAACTATACCAATCTGAATATATATATATATATATATATATATATATATATATAGAGAGATATACATTATACATAAACTATACCAATCTGAATATTCCTTCTATAAAGTTCTTACTTCCCTATTAACATTCTCCATATTCTCCTTATTTTATTGTCAACCATCAAAGTCCTCGATTTATTTTATCTGGGTTTTGTGTTTTTCATTTATACTTTTTATATATATATGTTTGTATGGATCTACATATTACATTATTATACTTGCTTCTGCAACATGCCTTGTTCTTTCTTTCTAAAAATTGGACAATTTTTATTTTATTTGAATCCTAAAGATTTTTATTCCCAACTGTATATATACATGTATTCCCAACTGTATCTATACATATATTCCCAACTGTATCTATACATGTATTCCCAACTGTATCTATACATGTATTCCCAACTGTATCTATACATGTATTCCCAAAAGTGTCTATCTAGGTTTTCCCAAGTGTATCTAAGGTTTCCTAGCTGTATCTATCTAGGTATTCCCAACTGTATATATCTAGGTGTTCCCAACTGTATCTATACATGTATTACCAAAAGTGTCTATCTAGGTTTTCCCAAGTGTATCTAAGGTTTCTTAGCTGTATCTAGGTACTTGTGTGTTCCCAATTGTGTCTATCTAGGTATTCCCAAGTTTATCTAAGGTTTCCTAACTGTATCTATCTGGGTATTCCCAACTGTATCTTTTTAGGTTTTCCCAACTGTATCTATTTAGGTGTTTCCAATTTTATCTAAGATACGTGTTCATAACTGTATGTATCAAGGTGTTTCCATCTGTATCTATCTAGGTGTTTCCAACTGTATGTATTAAGGTGTTCCCAACTTTATATATCTAGGTGTTTCCAACTGTATATTTCTAGGTGATCCCAAGTGTATATATCTATGTGTTCCCAACTGTATATATCTACGTGTTCACAACTGTATCTATAATCTAGGTGTTTCCAACTGTTACCTCTTGTCAGTTCCCAACTGTATCTATAATCTAGGTGTTTCCAACTGTTACCTCTTGTCAGTTCCCAACTGTATCTATCTAGGTGTAAATTATTTAGTTATATATTATACAGAACCAGGCTCTACCCCATGGATGAAAATTGAACATTGAAGATAGAAGAAAATATAATAAAGGGAGGGGATATATATATATATATATATATATTCACAACTGTATCTATAATCTAGGTGTTTACAACTGTTCATTCGTGTCAGTTCCCAACTGTATCTATAATCTAGGTGTTTCCAACTGTTACCTCTTGTCAGTTCCCAACTGGATCTCTGACTGGAACAGTAAATGTTGATCATGCGCTGTGTGTACTCAGGAACATTATTAACATTAAACTAATTTAGTTCTTAACTTCATGGATAAATATAGATTGGACATAATAAAACAACATGTCTTCCACTTAGTTTATTTCATTTCTGTTTAATTATTTTGAGTTAATCAAAATAAACCGTTTTTCGAAATTTTAATCAATTCAAAATATTAGATCAATCCATTGGAATGTGCTATCTAGTAAACATCCTGTATATGAAATGTCCTGTCTATGAAATCCTTTCCATGCAATGTCTTGTCTACGAAAAGTCCATCTATGCAATGTCCTTAATATATATTGACAAATCAGAAGGACGTATCTCTGAATATTTGAATCATTATTCTATAAATGCATGAAAAAAAATACTTATCTTCCCTTCACTCTGAGAAATGTCAAATTGTCATCTAACAAAATTTGTTGGAGCCTTATCAAAATTTAAAAACTTGCGCTACCAAGTGGAATTTTTGAAATTTTGAATTTCTGACATTTTTGAACAAAAAACAGATGTTTATATTGTTTTCCAGTTTGAATATTGTAAATGATAAAATATTCCTGATTGAATGGTTTTGGTTCTTTACTCTTCTCTTCCTGGCAGTTTTTACATTGATCAGTAGAGTTCTTACACTCCTAGTCGCACAGGTAATATATGTACTTTGTAGTCTAACTTTATTTTTTTTTAAAGATGTGAGAAACTAGATAAAATGCCCGATCTGATCAAGAATGAATTAGATACTAATGTTTATAATTTTGAAAAATTACTATTTTTAATTGTGGTTTCTCTACAAAAGTGACTTGCGCATTTCTTCTGCAGGAAAAAATATAGGAACTATTTGAGTGAAACAATTTTAAACCTAGAAAACGACCATGTCTTCTACATTATTGGAAAGATAACAGTTTCAAGGGTACCGTTGTGAATCGGGAATTGCCATCGTTGCATACAAGGGTCACTTGAAAATTCGCTCACAGTCCCTTTAATCATTATTATTTTAGATAAATGATTATTTAGATCCGAATTGCATTCCTCAAGTCTACAGATATAAGCTATGTTATGGAAGATGAGAAGGTTCTGAAGAGAGTGATAAAAAAGTGTTGGCTAGGGGACTGGTTCCTAATTACTCAGGTAGATCTAGAAAATTTTATTATCGAAGAAAAATATTGTTTTCACTTTTTATAAATTATTTCGTCGTTTATATCAAACTTTTATCTACGAATTGTTGACTCTCAATTTAAAATGAATTCTCAATGATAAATGACGAGTTTAAAAGTCAAAATGCGTTTTATTGAAAATTAAATTTGGGATTTCAACCTTCTAGGAAGTAGGGGGAAATACAAATAAGAATGAAGGTTGGGGAGGGCCTTACCCCCTTTCCTATAGTCTCGCCAATGCTTTTGTTATTGTCCCAAATTAAATCTTAACCAGAGGACTCAGATATTTCTCAAAAGGGATAATTTCACATTTCATTTTGCTCTAGCTTTGTGAAAATCACTTTTCCATTTGTAGGTGAAACGAAATCTTGATGACCGGCAGTTCACCGCTTGGATTCGTGAGGTAGATATCCGCCTTGGCGGAGAGGAAGGGAATAAGGAGAGAGGGAGGCGGAGGGATGGCGGAGAATCAAGAATGGCGCATCATCATTGGCGGGACGGAAACGGAACTACATTTCGAGAACGGAAATGTTTCGCAGTAGAGGATGCGGAAAGCAATGAAAGATAAATTTTTAATTAAAATAAATTGTTAATGTTTGCATTATACATTATACATTAGGATTTTAGGGAAAAAACACAAAATTATGGCGCGATGTTCGAATTATGCTTACAATTTATTTCACATATTATGATATTTATAAATTAGTTAATCAAAAATAAAAAGAAAGTTTCAAACAATAACCAAAAAGTTTAATTTTATTACGGTCGTTTTCAAGCCAATTAAGATAAAGATAAAGAAAGAGGGTTAATCTTGTTAAGCCAATTGTGTTAATATATACACATTTCTATACTCAGTACATTTTAATTTCTAATTTTTACAAAAACTTTAGCCAGTTTAAAATATACATCAAAAATGTGACTTTGTATAATGAATAAATTTATTATGGTTGGATGATTAAATAGAAGATCTTTTTCTGCTCCAAGGTTGGTTACTTTCGATGCTCTCGACGTCATATGGGGTATTTATCTATCTATCTTAGGAGACGACATTTTCCGTACGTTGTAGCTCATCGAGAGTAAACAACCCTATTATACAACCTTGATGTGCTCCCCCCCCCCCATTAAGTTATTCATGTATCAAAATAAAAATGAAATGAATGTGTAATATCTCCACCTCCAGCCTGAAATTAAAATGTTTTGAAATTGTTATAAAATAAAGATTAATTTATTGAAATAATATACCATTATTGAACCCTGTAAACCCTGTTGATGTAAATAAAGATGCATTTAATAAACCGTTGAAAAATATGTATATACTATATTTTGTTTTATTGATGAAACCTTGTTTTTGTTTCTTTATTTTAAATAAAAAACTTATTTACCCTAAATATTTACATGATTTTTATCTTTATTTTTTATATTTTATTGGCTTGTTTATTGCTTTCCTGAAAAAGCGTCAGAACGGCTGAACCAAATTTTTCCCAAGTTTTGTTTGAGACTAAAGAAGAATCATGGTTTACAATTGTAGGCGTGAAGCACACTGAATTTTCTAAAAGCTGCCTTTTTTGTGCGAACCAAAATGTTTGCTCCTCATTCTAAAAATTGTAATAAGACATTGATCTTCTGAAAGTGAAGAATCCCTTTAAATGGCGGGAACCAAGCGGCAATGATGCCTGAATAATGTTTGGTTGGGATCAATTCTTTATTTTCTTGAATAGAATTCCTGTTTTAAACAGAGCCTTGAATAGATATTGGGTAATCGAGGATATGGAGAAATTTGAATTTTCAAACTTTTTAGAGTTTTAAAATGCAACTTGCGCAATTTATCTAGTATTTATTATATGCACTTTTTAAACACGAAAATATAATAAAATTTTGTTAGAAAAAAGAAAGTTTTTTCATGGGCTAAGATCTTTTAATTTTGTATTCTGGGACTCTTTTTAATTTGGATATATCTGTATTCTGGGACTTTTTTTACAGGATATATCTGTATTCTGGGAATCCTTATACTTTGGATATCTCTGTATTCTGGGACTCTTTATACTTTGGATATCTCTGTATTCTGAGACTCTTTATGCTTTGGATATTTCTTTATCTTGGAACTCTCCTTTCTGGATACGACAGGTATCTAAATTCTGGAAATGACCTGTTTGTATTATAAAATTCTCTTGAGTATTTAAGAACTCGCTGTTTTCTGGAAAACTCATAATCCGAAACTCTCATTTCCTGAGTACAATCTTTATTTTGAAACTCTCTTACATTAAAAAACTCTCTAAATGTCTGGAGCTTTCTGAAAAAATTTTGAACTAGTTTATTTATTTTGTATTTTAGAACTCTCTGTATTCTGTATTCTACTGTTTTATATATCTTCTCTCTGTATTCTGTATCCTACTGTGTTATATATCTACTCTCTGCATTCTGTATTCTACAGTTTTATATATCACTCTCTGTATTCTGTATTCTACTGTGTTATATATCTTCTCTCTGTATTCTGTATTCTATATTCTACAGTTTTATATATCTACTCTCTGTATTCTTATTCTACTGTTTTATATATCTTCTCTCTGTATTCTGTATTCTACTGTTTTATAAATCTACTCTCTGTATTCTTATTCTACTGTTTTATAAATCTACTCTCTGTATTCTTATTCTACTGTTTTATATATCTTCTCTCTGTATTCTATATTCTACTGTTTTATATATCTTCTCTCTGTATTCTGTATTCTAATGTTTTATATATCTTCTCTGTGTATTCTGTATTCTACTGTTTTATATCTATCCTTTCTTACAACGGCTTACTTCCTGCTGATTAGTATGCACTGTGCACTGTATATGACTAAATGTCTCCTAGCTGTATCCTCTATTGTATCCCCTGTATCCTAAATATATCCACACAATTACTCAGAAAAATGACAAAATAAACTGAAAACAAATCAACTTTAAACTAAATTAGCTTCTTATTTTTTCCTCTTAACAACTTTCAAGTCTGACATTTCATCTAGAGAAACAAAACAAAATCATTTGTCTAAAACAATTGATTTTTTTCTATCTAGTTCAAACGCCCCTCCCCCACATATTTTCTTTCCTTTCCCAATTATACCCTCCACATTTTTCATGTAAATTTGTATACGGTAAATTTTTCCTTGATCACAATTGCGTAAGAAGCGTACGTATTTGTTGTAAAATGCGGTTTTACCAGGTAAATGCTGACTCATTTACAGATTCCATTATCGTGAAAATGCCCCTGTATGAGAAATAGATAAATATATATTTGAAATGTTGTGTTGTACAAAGACAATATATGTTTATGTTTGTTTGTTGGTAACAAATGTTTAAAAGTACCCAAGCCCCACATTCTTGTATTTCAAACTCAGTTTTACTTTTTATTCTTATTTTATGATTTTCTTTAAAACTCAACATTGTATTATTTTACATATTTTCAAATATTGTGAACATTTCAAACTATATTTTTTGATAAGTAAGTGGTACAGTGAACACCATTTATTTTAAAAGTTTGTGCAATATGTTTCGTAATGCCTCGTAATGTTCATCATCCATTTTTTTGCTATCATTCCTTTAATGGACAGGAACTTGATCACAGTCTTTATAACAAACGTTCTTGGTATCTGAAAAGCTATTTTTCTTTCAAAAATGCAATGCTAGGAAAACCCCTGACAAAAGTTTTGCAACCTTGAATTAGACCTGGCAGCCCGTTCTTTCAGTTCTTTTAATTATTTAAGTTTTTTGGTTTTATAGATGACTCACAAGTCATAAAAATCTACAATATTTGAAAAATTGCAAAATCTTGTTCTCTACAAGTTTGCTTTGATCTAATTATAAAATATTTTGACTCTGACAGAAGATGTATAAGATATTGACGGAAGAAACCGTAAACAGATGACTCCGTTCCTTTTCTTCATACCTATATCTTCTGCATACTTGCAGAGATTGCAAGAACCAAGTGCCTTGAATTAGAACCTGCTCAATCATAATGAAGATATCAGTTGCTTGAGCAAGGTTTTGTAGTTCAAAAGTTTCTGTCTCTCAAAAATATAAAACTCATAATCAAAATAAACTATTTATTGTTTATTGAACCTCTGGGGCGAAAGTATAAACATAAACTGTTCCAGCAGTAAAGCCAGCAGAAACTATTTCCATATATCCGTCTCCATCCAGATCTACTACTGCCATAGTTCCAGCAGTTGTCTCCTCAGTATCAACCATAACCTAGATTTCAGGCAGAGTTAAGACTTGTATAGTATGGTCACAAAAAATGGACCAAGTTCTACGGACCGGGTGCTATGGCTAGGTTATATTTAAGTTCAGCTCATTTGTCTCTTAAAGGGTGTTCGCGAATAATAAAAGGGGTATAGGCTTGAGGCGAAAAATAAGCGCTTTTGATTGCAACTAATATTACTTCTATCTATTGCGTCTATAAGGAGAACATTGTTAAAAACGACTCATACCGAAGAACGTAGTGTCCATACAAATTCAGAAAGATGCAACATTCAACTCGGATCGGAAACAAATCAATTTAATTCCAAAAAAACCATTCAGATATTACAAACAATAGTCATCGATTATTTTTCGACGCATTCGTAAATAGTTGATATTTCATAATATTTTGTATTTTTCATTAACTGAGAGTTACTTTTGATAACATTCATTCCTGTTTCGAGGATTTTTGATAATGAAGACGACATTTTCATATTTTCCAGGAATGTTCGAAAATCCAGCGTCAGCGAAAATTATTTTTTTTAAAAATCAAAATATTATCAAATATGAACTATATTCAAAGGCGTCGAAAAATAATCGATGACAATTGTTTTTAATATCTGATTGATTTGTTTGGAATTAAATTGATTTGTTTACGATCCGAGTTGAATGTTGCATCTTTCCGAATTTTTGTTGACGCTGCGTTCTTCGGTGTGAGTCTTTTTTAACAATTTTCTCCTTATAGACGCAACAGATAGAAGTAAGATTAGAAGCGATCAAATGCGCTTATATTTCGCCGTAAAGCTATACCCCCTTTCATTTTTCGTGAACACTCCATTTAAGAAATTTTTTTTCGTAGTTTGTTTTCCATAGCTTGTTTTGGTGCTGATTCTGTTAGGGAGATTATATGCGAAGATGTTATTGTGCTATGTTATTTAAATGCTGTGATGCAAAAATGCCGTATTGCATTCTAATGGTTCCAAGAATTTTCCCGCGTTAAAGCCAGGAAGCCTTTTTTTCTGTGCTATGAAATGATGTAATGACTATATTATACATATTAATATGTTTTGTTTTTCTATATGCAGCTATGATTTTATGATGCTATAATGTTATATATAAACACTATGATACTTTAATGCCATAACGCAATATTTTGTGCTGAATTTTGATACAATGAAGCTATGGTCTTATGATGCAATGATGCAACATGAAACTTTGATGCTATAATTCTATTTTTCCGTTAACGCCATAAAGCTTTAACACTATATGATGCAATGATGCAATGGATCCAAGATACTTTGTAACCATGCAGCTATGTTTTGTGTTGTTGATGCTATGGTGCTATGATGTGATTTTCCTAAAATGTTTTTATATAAAACTTAAATGTCATTTTACTGAGGATGAAATGATGCAACATGATGCAATGATATAAACCTGTAAATCGTATTCCCAGTTATCTAGTTCCTCTGATTTGGGGAACATAATATAGTGAACACCATCATCATCTCCAGACAGGGCTATCCACGGTTTAGGAGGGTTCCCAAGCTAAACAATATATTTTGGAGAAATTTAAAATATTGTAGAAATTCGAAATATTAGAGAAATCCAAAATAAACATTTAACGGTTAACGATTGTTGACAAAGAAAATCGATAAATTATCCTTTGCCATAAGTTCAAATTCTATATCCCTTTTTCCTTGCAACATAATGGTGTAAATCTTTGTTTACAGCTTGAAATATCTAAGGTCTCCGACATAGGGTTGCAAAAATGAAGGAATCAGAAAATTGGAGTTTGTGGCAAATATACAATTCCGTTGTGTCGAATAATCCAATTAATTTAGTGGCGAGAATCACCCAAATTTCCAATATTTTATTGAATATTTTCACAAATTATTTGTCTAGAATCGATTATCATTTAACAGCCATTTGATGTGATATACTACAATAAAACTGTAATTAATGTAATGTCAATTTTTGCTCAAGGTTTCCAATGTACTCCCAGCCTTCGCTATTCAGAGCCCAAAACTTAAGACATCGTCATGAAACCCAGTGTCGGAAACCGGGTTTTACGACTGGGATAAGGCAATTTTTTTTAAAAGAAATATTATTTTATATGGTTAGTTTTACTTGTATATTCTCTCTTATTTTCTACTTCTTGATGTAAATCTACACAAAAAGAAAACTCGGGAGTTTTGTTCATCGATACTCTTTTAAATTTCCCGCTCTGAGATTTAAGATGTATAAATTATCATGAATGGCTTTCAAGAAATATGAAAGAAATTTTAAGACTATTTAATGTTATGCAAAAATAAAAAACGTTCGAAATAATCTAAAATGCAAAGATTTATTAAGATCACAAAAAGTAAATAAGAACTAGTGGTTTTCTTTTAACGGCTTGCAAAAATACTTTTTAAATTGTCTTGTAATCAAAATAATATCAAATCTTGACTGGTGTGTCTGAAAAGTCCTAAATTACAGGATAATTTTTTACTAAATACATGTAACTTTTGAAATAGTAAATATGTGACGCTCTGCAGCAAATCCAATTCAACATATTTTGTAAAAATATCTTTGAAATAAAATTTTCTGATTATTATTTCTCCTAAAAACATGGCTGAAACCATAATCTGATTAAAAATGAGAAAGATAACAAATGCAAATAAACAGACAAACATTTCTGAATTAAACATGCCACTCTATCAATATTGGGTGACTAAAAAAATTATGAAAAATTGACAATAACAAATAAAGGTTATGTTCTCACCTCATTAAGGGTTTGTCCGTATTCCACACTAGGGTAGAAGAGACGCTGTTTCCCAGGAGTCATAGAGTTCCCGAACAGATACGGATTCGCAATAAATCCTAAGATTATATTTTAACATGATTTCCTCTGCTAGAAAGTGTCTTAGCAAATATATTTTATCCTTACATATAAAGTTGTAATCTCTTTTTGTCTGTCTGTTTATTTGTCCGATTATCACTCAGGAACCCCTGAACCGATTTGCCTGAAATTTTGATTGGGGAACTCGGGAGGCCCACGGGAATGTTCTTAGCTTGGTTTTAAGATTCTGAGTATAGTGGGTCGATCTTAATAACGAAAAATGTAGTTTCCCGGTAAAATTGTTCAATTGCGGGTAAACGGCGGAAATAACTTTTAGTGGGTTTCCAAGCTATAGTAGTCAATATACTTTGGGGTTTGTTATGACAATTTTGTTACTCAAAAGTTAAGAAAACAAAAACTTAATGGAACTGTCGACGATATTTGAAGTGTCTCCTTAATTTAAAAAGTTGCAAAGTTTAAGTTTTTTCTATCTTAAAGTTAATCATTTTTGTCGTGGTTTCTCTGTGAAAGTAAAGAAGAAATTATCAAAATTCAACACGTTTAAGTTAGAAAAACGAGAACCATTGTTGCTCAGATAAAGGTTAAAGGGTATCGCTGTAAATCGGCCAGGCCACTCTTTCAATGGTGCATGACCTCAGTTGAAATGTTTTGCAATGTCCCATGTGATGTTTGTATTCTCTTATGGAATTTTCCACGATTTAATTCAAAGTTTGAATAATATTCAGTATTCAATTTTGTGATTGTCAGATTTAGGTTATCTGCGTAATAAGAAAGAATCTCATTATCATAATATAAAAGATAGTTTTGACATCATCTGAACTCTGATAAGGATACATGCAACGAATACAATCACTTGTGTAAATAAAGAATATTTCCATACTGTGTTAGGATTGTAAACCTTAATAACATGATCATTAATCAACATTAGATGTATATAGTTTAGAAGAGTTAGTTTTCGCCAAGACAATAAAAATTTACAAAAAACCAAAAAACTTAAATTTCAGGACCCAAATATTCTAAATCTATATAAGTAGATAAGGAGCTAGCAACCCAATAAAAACTATCCATGAATTGAACAGGAGCAAACAAACCAATCTAAACTATCCATGAATTGAACAGGAGCAAGCTCCCAAACTAAACTACCCATGAATTGAACAGGAGCAAGCAAACCAATCTAAACTTGAACAGGAGCAAGCAAACCAATCTAAACTATCCATGAATTAAACAGGAGCAAACAAACCAATCTAAACTATCCATGAATTGAACAGGAGCAAGCTCCCAAACTAAACTACCCATGAATTGAACAGGAGCAAGCAAACCAATCTAAACTATCCATGAATTGAACAGGAGCAAGCTCCCAAACTAAACAACCCATGAATTGAAAAGGAGCAAGCAAACCAATCTAAACTATCCATGAATTGAACAGGAGCAAGCTCCCAAACTAAACTATCCATGAATTGAACAGGAGCAAGCAACCCAATCTAAACTATCCATGAATTAAACAGGAGCAAACAAACCAATCTAAACTATTCATGAATTAAACAGGAGCAAGCAACCCAATCTAAACTATCCATGATTTGAACAGCAGCAAGCAAACCAATCTAAACTATCCATGAATTAAACAGGAGCAAACAAACCAATCTAAACTAGCCATGATTTGAACAGCAGCAAGCAAACCAATCTAAATTATCCATGAATTAAACAGGAGCAAACAAACCAATCTAAACTATCCATGAATTGAACAGGAGCAAGCAACCCAATTTAAACTATCCATGAATTGAACAGGAGAAAGCAGCCCAATCAAACCTATCCATGAATTAAACAAGAGCAAACAACCCAATCAAAACTATTCATGAATTGAACTGGAGCAAATAAAAATCAAAACTATCCATGAATTGAACAGGAGCAAACAACCCAATCAAAACAATCCATAAATTGAACAGGAGCAAACAAAAATCAAAACTATCCATGAATTGAACAGGAACAAACAACCTAATATAACTATCCATTAATTAAACAGGAGAAAGCAACCCAATCAAAACTATCCATGAATTGAACAGGAGAAAGCACCCCAATCAAAACTATCCATGAATTGAACAGGAGAAAGCAACCCAATCAAAACTATCCATGAATTGAACAGGAGAAAGCAACCCAATCAAAACTATCCATGAATTGAACAGGAGAAAGCAGCCCAATCAAAACTATCCATGAATTAAACAGGAGCAAAAAAATCACTATAAATTATCCATGTATTGAACAGGAGCAAACAAACCAATCAAAACTATCCATGAATTGAACAGGAGAAAGCAACCCAATCAAAACTATCCATGAATTAAACAGGAGCAAACAAACCACTATAAACTATCCATGAATTGAACAGGAGCAAACAAACCAATCTAAACTATCCATGAATTGAACAGGAGCAAACAAATCAATCAAAACTATCCATGAATTAAACAGGAGCAAACAACCCAATCAAAACTATCCATGAATTGAAAAGGAGCAAACAAACCAATCTAAACTATCCATGAATTGAACAGGAGAAAACAAACCAATCTAAACTATCCATGAATTGAACAGGAGCAAACAAAACAATCTAAATTATCAATGGATTGAACAGGAGTAAACAAAACAATCTGAATTATCAATGGATTGAAAATGAGGAAAACAATCTGAATTATCTATGGATTAAACAAGAGCAAGCAACCCAATCTCAATCATTCATGGATCAAACAGGAGCAAGAACTTAACTCTGAATTTTCTATGTATCGAACATGTAGCCAGGTTACATTTTGATAAATCGAGCTGAGTCCACTAGACACGCAGGAAACATTTTAACCGATTGGGAAGATGTCGGGTAAATAATTATAGACTCTTGTTGCATGTTAGACATCGGGATGTCTGAGACTATATGTTTTTAGTGCACTGGTTGGTATCAGTGAATGATTGTGCCGGTTCGGATTATGTGAGGATTAGACTGTAGTGCAGGAGCAACACATTCTATCTAAATCATGTTCTATAAGAAATTGTTTATGTAAACCTATGTTTCTCGAGGCTGAAATCTCTTAAACTTGTAAAGTATATAATTAAATGACACGTTTAATCAAAGTTAGCCCAGGAATAACAATGGCGGATATCCCGGCCATTAAACTTTAATTGGTTCATCCATCTTCTTCAGTCCCTTGTATCTTAACAGAAACCTTGCCTCCTGCAGCAGAGAGAGAAAACAACAGCATTGTTTGTCTGTTTTTAATACCGTAAATACTACATCATCTATATATTTTTTTTGTCTGTTTTTAATACCGTAAATACTACATCATCTATATATTTTGTTTGTCTGTTTTTAATACCGTAAATACTACATCATCTTTATATTTTGTTTGTCTGTTTTTAATACCGTAAATACTACATCATCTATATATTTTGTTTGTCTGTTTTTAATACCGTAAATACTACATCATCTATATATTTTGTTTGTCTGTTTTTAATACCGTAAATACTACATCATCTATATATTTTGTTTGTCTGTTTTTGTTTGTTTCTACCTACATACAAACTTAAACAAAATTAAACAAATTAGGCCCAAAATTGTTTTAGAAGCTCATATGACCTAAGGAAAGATGTTTGGACATGTCAAAATTAAAAAATGTTTCCCATGGATAAAATGGCAAACCGTACGTTTTCTGAAAATCCAAATATTTAAACAGAAAAATTCGCGAAATTTTTTGTTTGTTGGAACAAGTTTAAAAAAGGCAACTTTAAAAGCACAAATCTCAAATTGTTTCTCTATTGGGAAAAACAGCAACTTTCTTTCTAAAATCTTATTATGGCCGTAAACTACACATTATGATTACACGTAGGGAATGCTCAGAACTAAATAAATTTTTTTATAAAATATAAAAGTTACTTTTATTTCCGGCACAGCTGCAAAAGATGAAATTATCAGTATAAATGGCCGCAAATTGATTTAAATTAATTCATTTAACATCAAATCAAAAATTATTAAGAATTGATGATGATGACGGGATCATAGTGTACAGCAACGGGAAGACTGGGTTGCTTTATCAGTATCGGAAACAGGATTCCACAATTTTGTAGATATCTCAATATTTTTTTAAGGAACATTATTTTATATGATCAGTTTTATATTTGACTTTTATTTTATTTTTTTTTAATGTAAATCAACACAAACTTGAAGAACCCCGAAATCAGTTCAACGATACTCTTTTTTTTTAATTTCTGGTTCTGAATGCGTGTAGTGTACGGCAAAACTGGGGTTGTTTACATTATAGTTATCATAATGATAATTTAGACTTTCGTAATTTACCAATTTATTTAAAATCCAAATTTTAGAAAAAGTAGTTTTTTTAAAGATTTAGATTATAAGATAAAAAAGATAAAAACTTATTAACCCACGATAAACAATGTGTTAGAAAATTCTAAATTCTAAATCTGCTATTTTTGTTTGTAAACTCACAAACTTCTGAGGTCGGAATTAATAAACAGCATAAGGCGTTGATGAACTTAGAACGGATAGTTCAACATCTTCTGAAGTATAGTTGAACTTGCTATTTATAATTCAACTACTTCTCTAGTGCAGAAAGTGTAGTTTAACTCGTCAATTAAAGTTCAACTACTTCTAGATATTCACTAAATTCTACCTCAGGTACGATTATTGACTATATAATTTAAACCTTGGCCTTATCTTTCCTAAACATTCTCTTTAATACTAAAAAGTTTAAATTTACCTGATGCCAGTGATATTCTCTTCCAACCTGAAGCATCAGTCCAATCCCCTGTCATTTCATAACCCCATAGGTTTCCTGTCTCATTACCCTTCCTGCACAATAGATATATTTCATAACCCCATAGGTTTCCTGTCTCATTACCCTTCCTGTACATTAGATATATTTCATAATCCCACAGGTTTCCTGTCTCATTACCCTTCCTTTACAATAGATATATTTCATAATCCCATAGGTTTCCTGTCTCATTACCCTTCCTGTACAATAGATATATTTCATAACCCCATAGGTTCTTATTTCCATTGCCCTTTCTGTACAATAGATATATTTCATAACCCCATAGTTTCTACACAATCTGTGATTGTTACCTTGTATCATAAGCACTAGCAATGATTTCCATCTTGCCATCATTGTTCAGATCAGCCATGTGACACTCAAACGGTTGCCCTGGAGCATCATCAACAACTACGGATCTGAAAATCAAAAGATCAAGTACAGAATGCTAATATCCATGATTTATTATAATGATCAAATATTGTGTTGGGCCCGTATAACTTCAGGTATAGGAAAACGGAATAAAAGGTACTTTAATGTTGTCAAAACACAAATACTTTTACCACTTGCTTGAATATAAACATATTAAGGGGAATTTTTTAACTTAGTGTCAAACGGTAAAAAACAGCTGACTTGTACTTTCGCCATATCTCCCATTGGCCTTTAAGAATACAAGATATGATTAAGTACGTCCTAAAGGCTGAAATGCACTTAAAAATATAAAAGTTTCAACCTTTGCACTTTGATCAAAGGAGACAGCCAAAGGCACTGAGTAATTGCCAAAATTTTCTAATCTCCAAATCTTTGTATCCGGATGGTGGAGTCCTTGGATATTTCAAACTTTGACAATATGTGCTGATAGAAATCATAGTTTGAAATATCAAAGGTCTACAAAACTAGGTTGCAGTGATATAGAGATTTGAAAAAAGATTTTGTGACTAGTAATCAGTTCTTTTTAATCGTATTTATCCTATCTAATACAAACTTGATGTTATCCGGTTTAGCCCAGGCTCCAGGAGTGTTTTCAACATAATACAACATAACTCTTTCCGACCAGAGCTCACTGGTTACAATAACACTGTATTCAACTCCATCATGTTCTAAAATCTGTTCCTCGAAGTAAACATCGGGTCCCTAAACAAAATAACGATTACAGGACATTACATTTTATTGAGTAAGCATAAATTTAATTGAAACCTTCATGCAAAGATGGTAAAGCCCGATTCACAACTGTACCCTTCATCAGATCAATGATATGGAAGATATTCTCTTTTTTCTGGGTTTAAAATCGTGTTTAATTCTGGCAATTCTTATATATTTTCCTGCAGTAAAAATTTTGTAGAGGAACCATACTTAAAAATTGGCAGTTTCTTAAATTATAAACATTAAAATATAATTAACACTTGAATCAATCATTACAATCTTTACATGGAGGGCCACTCGAAATGAAGCTTACAATCCCGTTGATAATAAACATAAAACAGCCCTAATCTTTTCAAATCAGAAAAAAATATCGTTTCTATGAGCTACTGAAACATGACATTTGGTAAATAGTTTTGAACGTCGTCTTCCATACACTGTATTCGATATTAAAGGCTGTTTGCAGTTTATTTCGTTCAAAAAATCTTTTGCTCAAGTATATTTTACTTTGAAATTTATTTTACTATAATATGACTCCTATATAATATTTTTATTATTGTCTTTGGTATTAAACAACTTAACAAATTATGGAAGAAGACATTCTAAACTATTTACCAACTGTCATGTTTCGTGGGACACCCGGTGTATTAGATTTTTTATAGCTCTAAATTCAAAAATTGAGATTTACGGGAGTAATCAGAAAATTTGAAAACAATGAATCAATTAGAAAAAATGTATTAGGCTAATTTAAAAATTTTCTTGCAGAAAATACTAGCATTTACGAGTATTATTGCGTATTATGGAGATAAAGCTTGAAGATAATCCAATATGATATGGAACACTCTGTATAAAAAGTGACTAGCGGATTTTGGCTTAAAAACTATGCAGGAAATTGTTAGAATTAAACACTTTTCAAGCTTAAAAACGACTATATTTTAATTAAGTAACTTTCAGATTTTTGCTTAAAAACTATACAGGAAGTTGTTGGAATTAAATATTTTCAAGCTTGAAAAAAGGCGATACTTTCCGCATTATTGATCAGATGAATCAGATAATGGTTTCAATGGTACCGTCGTGAATCAGGCATGCCACCTTTTTTTAAACAGATTGTCACTTGAACGAGAGTTTCTTCTGAAGGCCAAGATTTTTAAAATCTAGTAATTTTTCAGAGTGAACATCAAATACAAGAACAATCCCTTTAATTTGTGGTTTAAGTACAGTGAAACCCTTAATAAGCCATACATCGAAAGAATTCATCAAATGTCGTATTCTTCACTTTCTGATAATGGAATGTTGCAGATATTTATTTTTTTAATTAAATGATTATATGGAACTCTTTAAAACTGTTCCCGCATATTCATGGCTATTTATTTATTTTCGCAAATACTGAAATTTACGAAATAAAGAATAAAACTCATTGAAAAATTGTCAAGACGACATTTGATAAATTCTTTCGATGTATTCGTTATTAAGGTTTTTACTGTATTAGTACCTGACTGATCTGAACAAAATGTTGCCACTCCCAGTTTCCTGGTTTCTCTGGTCTAGTATCTCCAGGATTCTTGAACCAAACAAACTCTCGGATAGGATCCCCTCCGAGCAGAGGAACTCTGAACCTGGCGGTGAACGCATCAAGAAGTCCATCATTATCAACATCCTTCCAGACAACCCAGTGGTAGGACCAATCATGATCCTGGTTTGCAGCAATATCCCATGGTCCGACAGGGACTCCGCTGGAGGTATCGTAAACCTCTAGATGTCCGTTGGTTTTACCTGGGACCAGGAAACCTGAGGTCTGAACAATCCCTTCGAATCCCATAACTTCCTTAGGCAGGTAGACAGGGTAGTTGGGCCAGTAGGCTGTAGATGCTCCGCCCAGCTGCTCCAGGTTATCCGCCCAGCTGCTGACAGAGTCCAGCATCTCTCCGGGGTTCTTGATGAAGTACACAGAATCATGGAAGAATGGCAGAGCTGACAAATAGAAGTTCACATTTTTATATCTGGGTTTAGTTCTTAATCATGTTCTCTATATTTTTAACATGATTAAACTCATATATTTTTAATAAGTAATTCTTGTTAAACAAATTGCATTTTGAAACTAAACTAGTCATTATAATGAAAACTATATTATAACATTTGGAAAAATAACAAAATGATAAAATCTCATTTTGAAAATGTTAATTCGACTAATAAAGATCATAATTTGAGTTTATCAGTCATCTCCTATTCAACAGTTTTATGGGTCCCACTGTACCTGGATTAAAGGTTGTGATATATAGATAATTAGCTCCGTCCTCCTCAGTAAAAACTTCAATAAATCCGGCATTTCCGAGCTTAAACCGTCCCAGCTCCCGGGGCATCCATTGCTCTGCTAACCCTAGACAGAAGCACGAGGCTAGAGCTACAAAGAACCTCATTCTTCAGGTTCAAACAAGGAATGAGATAAACCTGTCCCAGCTTCTAGAAAGATTCATCTCTTATCTTTTTCTCTGCGTGTCAGTTACTTGCATTGACGAACATTATTATAAAAGAAAAAGATACGAACCTTCGTTTCATAATTTCAATTTACCATGTGACACCTATAATGTACCAACTTTTTAAACCTATATACATACTCCCTGTATCCTCTACTTCCTTCTCCCTGTATTCTCTACTCTCTTCTCCCTGTATCCTCTACTCTCTTCTCCTTGTATCCTCTACTCTCTTCTCCCTGTATCCTCTACTCTTTTCTCCCTGTATCCTCTACTCTCTTCTCCCTGTATCCTCTACTTCCTTCTCCCTGCATCCTTTACTCTCTTCTCCCTGTATCCTCTACTCTCTTCTCCCTGTATCCTCTAATATCTTCTCCTTGTATCCTCTACTATCTTCTCCCTGTATCCTTTACTATCTTCTCCCTGTATCCTCTACACTCTTCTCCCTGTATCCTCTACTCTCTTCTCCCTGAATCCTCTACTTCCTTCTCCCTGTATCCTCTACTCTCTTCTCCCTGTATCCTCTACTCTCTTCTCCCTGTATCCTTTACTCTCTTCTCCATGTACCCTCTACTCTCTTCTCCCTGTATCCTCTACTCTCTTCTCCATGTATCCTCTATTTATCAACCAACCTTCTCCCAATATTCTCTACTCTTTTCTCCCAATTCATCCAACCTTCTCCCTGTATTCTCTACTATTTTCTCGTAATATAATCCAACCTTCTCCCTTTATACTCTACACTCTTCTCCCTGTATCCTCTACTTCCTTCTCCCTGTATCCTCTACTTCCTTCTCCCTGTATCCTCTACTTTCTTCTCCCTGTATCCTCTATTCTCTTCTACCTGTATCCTCTACTCTTTTCTCCCAATATCATCCAACATTATCTCTTTTCTCCCTATTATTATCCAACCTTCTCTGTGTCCTCTATTCTTTTCTCGTAATATCATCCAACCTTCTCCTTGTATTCTCTAATCTTTTCTCCCAATATCATCCAACCTTCTCCCTGTATCCTCTACTATTTTCTTCCAATATCATCCAACCTTCTTCCTAGGTATCCTTTACTCTTTTCTCGCAATATCATCCAAACTTCTCCCTGATATCATCTACTCTTTTCTTCCAATATCATCCAACCTTTCCTTGTATTCTCTACTCTTTACTCCCAATATCACCCAACCTTCTCCCTGTATACTTTACTCTTTATCCCAATATCACCTAACCTTTTCCCTGTATCCTCTTCTCCCTTCTCCCTATATCCTCTACTCTCATCTAACCTTCTCCCTAGATATCCTTTACTCTTTTCTCCCAATATCATCCAACCTTTTCCAGCTGTATTCTCTACTCCCTTCTCCCTGTATCCTGGCTACTCTTTCGATCTCTTCTCTCTGTATTCTCAACTCCATTCTCCCCTTATCTTCAGTATCAAGGATACTCTCAGAAACTCTCTCGCTTCTCCCTGTATCCTCTACTCCAAATTGGCCCTTTATCCTGGCGGTATAGTGTATTTTTCGACCTCCACATATCCGCCATATACTCCACTTCTGACCTACGCCAAATCCGCTATACTACACATCCGACCTACTAGCACGTGGTATTACAGCTGCTATATGGACTTGTGGTCGCAGCGCCCGGCCCCCTAGCCTGTCCTAGCCGCGGCGCTAGGCCCAGTAATTGTCTTAACCTAACCTAACCCTCAAATAATACTAAAATAAACAGCTGGCGTAGGTCCGATATTGCAGTAGGTCGGAAAGTTAGTAGGTCACAAATTCAGTAGGGGGGATGTTGCGTATAGACGATGTAGCTACAATCTTCTCCCTTTATCGGCCTCTACTTCCTTCTCCAGGCAACTTTTTTCTCACAATATGTATATCTGATCCAACCTGAACCCATGTATCATCTCCTTTCTTTTCTCATCTGATTCTTCGTTATTTGATTCCTTTTCCATTTTCTATTGCATTTTAATTTTATCAAGTTGTTATTTTTATTTAAATGTACACAAGTCGTCTTTTCTGTTTGTATGCAATAACCTAAAGTATATTATCTAAACGCTAACGGAGCATTCGCGCTCAGACGGAAAACAACTTTTTTCTACGAAACACAATCTTCTTTATATTGCTAAATCATAATGTAAGGGCGTTGCACAATAGCTTTGTTTGCCTTGTATTTTGTTTCGTTTTTTTGAAACCCCCGTAAAATATTGCACTGTCCTAGCAACAGCGCTTGACTCCGAGATGGCCTGGTCTCAAAAAAACATAGATTTTTACCCTCTTTTCCTCTTATTTTTTTTACGCTCTAGAGACGCAGTACTGTGCACTTGTGTAGTCATACAATGATTATTGTATATTAAACTTTTTAGCAAAAACTTACGCTCTGAAGGTAAAAGTTATTTTTACGTTAAAATATTTAACTTTATTTAAGAATGACAACTAGCTATGATCCACCTTCTTGGGCTGGGAAACCACTGGGTGGTCTACATCTTGACGTCCTGAAGGTAAAATTTGAACTGGTTCTGTTGACAGTTTATTTAGGAATTGCAAAGGCGATGTTAGGAAAATCCATAAACTTGTTTCGTTTAAAACAATACCTAACTAAAAATTGTACAGAAGCTAATATAAATATTTAGAAACATAATCACATATGTATATATATTTTCTTATTATTGAGGCTGGCCATAGGCGATAAGCCATTTCGTAATTTTAAAGCAATTTTTCAACTATCTTCCATAATTGCCATACATTTTGTGCGTTTTTTCCTTGCGTTTTGTCTCTAATATATATCGGTATTTTCCTAGAAAACGATTTTTAGACCCCCCCTTCTCCCTGGGCCATCCCCCCTCCCCTCCTATCAATTTTGTACTTGGGTCTTAATGAAAGACATGTGGTCGCAGCGCTCGGCCCCCTAGCCTGTCCTAGCCGCAGCGCTCGGCCCAGAACATGTCATAACTTAACCTAACCCGTGGCCGCAGCGCTCGTCCCAGAAAGTGTCTTAACCTAACCTAACCCTAATAAATACTAATTTAATTGAAAATTGTTGAAAAAGTGGTCATGCACAAAATTGATAGGAGGGGGGGGGGGGGGATCCAAAAATCGTTCTCTAGGACGGACCCTATATATAAATGTCCTTTTTATATATATTATTAGAACCATTTTAAATGTAAAATATTTTTTTACTAAAGTATTTAAGAAGATTATTTAATTTGTTGTTTAGGATGGAAAGCTAATTCAGAAGTTAATGATTGACGATAAGAAATGTTATCTTTTCGGTCGGAACCCGCAGCTCAACGATTTTTGTATTGGTAAGAAAAACAATCATTTTGATAAGTTTATACAATTATCTAACTGTTTGTCTTATCTGTTGCCATACTTGTATCAATACAAAACTTCTGAACGGCGAAATGGTTTCGATTCTTTTCTTTGGGACACGATTTGGCCCAGGGTTGGTTAATAAGACCGATAAAAAAAGCATGATCAAAAAACGTTTTGGTCAACTATTTTTATGCTCTTATCTGCTCTTTATTATTGATCATGGTTCCTTTTCTCGAGTACATGCTGCTCTTATCTGTTCTCTTTTCTATATCATGGTTCTTGTTCTTGAGTACATGCTGCTCTTATCTGTTCTCTTTTCTATATCATGGTTCCTGTTCTTCAGTACATGCTGCTCTTATCTGTTCTCTTTTCTAGATCATGGTTCCTGTTCTTAGTACATGCTGCTCTTATCTGTTCTATATTCTAGATCATGGTTCCTGTTCTTGAGTACATACTGCTCTTATCTGTTCTATATTCTAGATCATGGTTCCTGTTCTCGAGTACATATTGCTCTTATCTGTTCTTTATTCTAGATCATGGTTCCTGTTCTCGAATACATACTGCTCTTATCTGTTCTATATTCTAGATCATGGTTCCTGTTCTCGAGTACATGCTTCTCTTATGTGTTCTCTATTCTAGATCATGGTTCCTGTTCTTGAGTACATGCTGCTCTTATCTGTTCTCTATTCTAGATCATGGTTCTTGTTCTCGAGTACATGCTGCTCTTATCTGTTTTATATTCGAGATCATGGTTCCTGTACTTGAGTACATGCTGCTCTTATCTGTTCTGTATTCTAGATCATGGTTCCTGTTCTCGAGTACATGCTGCTCTTATCTATTCTATATTCTAGATCATTGTTCCGGTTCTCGAGTACATACTGCTCTTATCTGTTCTATATTCTAGATCATGGTTCCTGTTCTCGAGTTCATGCTGCTCTTATCTGGCATAAACATCTGGAAAGAAGCTTTTTAGTGGACTTGGGCAGCAGTAAGTGCTGTTATTTATTACCCACCCCCTCAAAAATTAAAGTTTGTTTGTAAAAAACTATTAACCGCATTTTTATCTGATCCCTCTATTTTTCACATTTTTGGGTTGTTATGGTACTTTACTGTCCCTTGGGATGCCTAAATAAATATCCCTACGAGTCTACACTATTTGAGTTTTCACTACTTCCCCTTTTCCTTAGTATAATTTAAAATATTTCAGCTCACGGAACTTTTATCGGAAATTTCCGAATAGAATCAAACAAACCTACTCAGCTTCCAGTAGATTCTACATTCAGGTAAACAGTTCTAGTCAAACTAGAGCCCGGCTGGGGTAGAAATATTGAAACTAATTACTAGAAAACTTCTGGAAATTTTTCTTTACCAAAGATTACCAAGACCAATTTTGCCTACAAAACATCCACAAAATTTATTATCCTGAGTAAAGCCGCTGTACTGAAAGAGACTCGTCATTTAACTTAAACTTAAAATTTTTGAAATCTCCCAACACATCGATTCAATCGACAAACTCAAATTTTCTTGAACTTTTTATTATTGCATAGCTTTTAGACCTTTTGATATTTTTTTTATTTATATTCGAATATAAAAGTACTTCTCGAGGTAATTAGTTGATAAACAAATATTAATCATCTTTAGATAGAAATTAATAGTTGTTGGTTTTTAGGTTTGGAGAATCATCGAGAAGATATATTATAAGAGAAAGGCCAAAGGTAATTTTAGATCTTTTTATCTTTTAAAATGTTATTATTGGGATATCTTTTCGCTTTACGCGTATACAGTTAGGAAACTATGGTGGCTGAGCCCCAACCCCCTCCTGGAAAAAAATAACTTTAATTTTTACCCTAGAATTTGCACCGGCCAATTATGGACGAGCTGGAAAAGACTGGAAGTGAGCTGGACGGCGGCGGTCTTCTTGGACTTCCGGAAACTGAAAATGAGTTGGATAACCTGACCGAGTACAATACTGCACAGAATAGGTCAGTATAACAAAGTATTTTCAATCCAAAGTATAAATTGTGCTCTATATCTCGGGTTGGACTCCAGGTCGCAGCTACACGGTGTGTTGCTGAAAGTAGTCTAGAGGTTACAACGTTACCTTTCAGATTTACACTTAATTTGATTGATATAAATGATCCCTTTTCGGGTTTTAAAAAAATGATCTACAGGATTTTTTTTCACACTTGAAAAATAGTTTCGTTTTCCAGGCACCATTTTCAAAATAATTTCCCCCCTGCGATGAGTGTCAAAAATCTTTCAAGGGTTAATATCGCTAAAATGGTGGGACAAACAAAAATCAATGAAATTTACTATAAACCTACCCGCAACATAAACCAAATCTTCATACATCACCCTAAAAATATTATTATTAATAATAAAAAGATTTGAAAAGGGACCCAAACAATCGACATGGAACCCCCATGTGCATCTACACGTGGCCTCAAATCAATTCGGCTAAAGAACAATATTTAACGCCCGTGCAATAGTGATACATCACCCCCTCCCCCGGGATAAATCCAAAATATTTACACCTTTAGGAACTTCTTGAACAATATGACTGTTCTAGGCGTATCTCTATGATGGGTATACCTAAAGACGACGGTTTGAACCGCCGGCGGAAGATCCGAATTACGTTTAATGAGGAGGAGGAGGTGATCAACCCCGAGGATATTGATCCTAGCATCGGCAGGTTCAGGAATATGGTCTTCACAACAGTTATACCAACTAAACCAAGGTTAGTTTGATGTTCATGTTTTTTTCATTTAAAGGAATAAACGCTATATGGTTTATGTGCAGGTACAAATTTTCAGTTCAACCAGAAGTAAAGATTGAACTTTTCGGGGGGGGGGGGGTAAAAAGCACATGTTTGCTGAAAATATCAATTTTGTCATTCGCTTTGATGATTTTTAATGAAAAAATTTACATCGATTTTATTTTGAGCTTTTTAATAAGAAAGGATACAAATAATACCCATAATTTTTTTGTAATTTAAAAACGAGGAGGAATTTATTTTCCAATTATGATTTTTATTTTATTTTAAAGGTTTTAATTACAAAATATTTTAAAATTATCATTAATTACTTTTTAATTTGTTGTGTTCAGGAAAGCCCAGGATCTAGGTTTAGGATTAGAGGTGCAAGATGAGTTCTCAGCTAAAATCAAGGAAAGCAACCAACATCCTCAATCTGTACCAGGTTTAAGCATACAGAAGAAAGAATGTTTTTTTTTAAAGTCACTCCATTCCCGCCCCCCCCCCCCCTTTGAAAACATTTTTTCTCCCAGAAGTTAGGTATGTTTGAAAGGTTTAATTCGCTCCATGGGGAAAAAATGATTTTTAGGGCAAAATGAATAATTTTTTGGGGTATTCAGTATAAAAAAGGATGAAAAAACTTGTCTGTTGAATATTGATTGGACTCCAGGCCGCGATCTGCACGGTGGTGTGTAGTCCCCTGATTCCTGAAGGAAGTCTGGGGTTCCACATTGGGTTCCCTTTCAGATTTTCACTTCGTTGGATTTGATTTCCAATTTTGATTTTTTCCCCTTAGATCTTCAAAAATTAATTGCCCACCCAGGGGGGGTTATTCTTAAAAATATACATCCCTGGACAGGAGAAAATATCCACCTCTAGGTACCATAACTAACACAGAGGTTATTTAAACAAACAAAAAATATCTTTTAAAAAATTTCCTTTCTCAACTGAGCAGTCTTATGAAATTACTTATACTGTCCCTTTATAAATTTGAATGATTATAATGATAATAATATATAATTAAAAATGCTCTTAACAATTTTCGAAGAATTTTTGTAATTTCTTTTTTATTTGTCAATAGATTTTTTCAATCAGAATAGTCAAAATATTTTCCAATTGATTTCTGAAGAAAAAATATTTTTCACAAAAAAATGTTTTGCTGTTTTTTTTTATGTGCCAAAAAATATTGTTGACTAATGATTAAATTTCAATATATTTTTTCCTAAAACAAACCCTGTAACAATTTAGTTGTGTAAAACAACACTTATCTCGGTTTTTCCCAGGGTTGTATGATGATCTTGAGACTGGAGCATTTAGCCGTAGTTTATCCTCTTCTCTGGGTCTACCCTTACCTAACCCTGCTCCAGAGATAGATATTGGGATCAAGATTACAGGTTGGTTTATTAAACATTTATTTTCGGGTATATTTTTTAATCAATATGACTTAAAGTGACCTTTTAATTTGAAAAGGGGCGTTCCCGATTCACAACTAAGTACCTTTTAAACGATTATATAATCAATGATGTAAAAGATATGGTCGTTTTTCTAGCTTAACAAGTTGTTTTTAATTCTGACAATCTCCTCCATATTGTTTCTGTAGCAGAAATTCGCAAATCACTTAACAGTGTAAACCGCATTTGAAGTGAATAACTTATTAAGGAGAAAAGGATTGATATCTCGTGTAAATTCTCGATCGGACAAAGCTTTAAAGGAACCAATGTGAATCGGACATAGAGACTCACTTAAATTTACGTCTTTAATCCTGGGAATCATGTGTTAATGAAATAAATGCAATATTTAAAAATGAATGAAATATTAAAATGAATATTGAAGCTGAAGACTGAACAAATATTCTACACATGTCATTTGTTTTTCTAAAATGTATCCAGTCAGCGGAAACATGTTCCTAGCGTTGTATGTGCTCCATACCATGGAAGGGGGTGTACAACTGATGGCATTTGAAACAATTAACATATAAATATATATATTTAATTGACACTTACCGCAAGTGCAAATTTGTAAAGGGTATTGAGTAGCTCGGTAGAAATTAACATTTTGTAAAAAAAGAAATATGGACATAACATACACGGCATTGCATATATCATTGTTAAGCATCAAATAAACATAATCTCCAATATGTCTGGAATATTAACCCTGAGTAAAACATTTCAAACTATTGGTAGAGATCGGGCTGAAAACCCCGGATGTCGGCAAGACTTGAAACTTGAACCCATATTACTGAGCCTTAAGCCATCCCTACTAATTTGATTAGATTTGATTTGATTTGATTTGATTTGATTTGATTTGATTTGATTTGATTTGATTTGATTTGATTTGATTTGATTTGATTTGATTTGATTTGATTTGATATCCAATATCCATGTATTCTGTTAAAATAAAGAGAGATGTTAAGCGTATACGGTTATCTAGGTGTATTGGTGGGACCGTGAGGTTTAAATAAGTAGATAAATGCGGTTTTTCTCACACATATAAGTTCTTCATTGAAATGAAAAAAGAAAACTCGTGCTGAGATAACTTGTATCAATTATTTAAGATAGTAGAAAAATTAATGTTTAGAGAAGGAGTAATAAATCTGAAGATATATATCTACTATTCTAGGTTCTGTGGATATGCTACCACCTGGAGAAAAGCGTCCTCGTCCTGCCGAGGGCGGAGAAAATCCCAATGAACCCAAGAAGAAAAAATACGCCAAAGAGGCGTGGCCAGGACGGAAACCTGGTCCGGCCCAGGGACTGTTCTAGGGAAGGCGTAACATTTTCATTTTCCATCCTTTACACTTTACAGTCCACTGGAGTCAAAACCTTCTGGATACTGTTCAGGGTTCATATCTCGTTTTTTTTTACTGATGAAAAGCTAAACTTTAAACCAAACATTTTTTTGCAGATCCTCAGAAAACGTGAAAACGTTGTCCTAATCTCAAACAATGGATTACAATGTATGATATAAAATTGATTACCTCTTTTTCCCCCAGGTTAGGTGTGTCTCAATAAACATGGCAGTTAATGACGACTTGCTGAGCCTTTTTGTTGTGAACTTTTTTTTTTATCAATTCCCAAGATGTATGGCATATTTTGTACTGAAGGGTGAATAAACTTGCCAATTTGATGTCCAATTATTTTCCTTACCGGAACCATCCTAAATCATTCCTGTCATTCTAAATTTTGGGGTTTTACATTAAATTGCCACCCTTTTCTAAAATGATTAAATTTTGAATAAGAATTCAATTCAGGACTTGAGAGTGTGGACAAACTTATGAGTTCCACCTCTTTTCAACGAGTCTTGTCATTTATAGAATATCAAAGATCGAAGAGGAAAATGTCGTCATTTCATTCTCAAGTAAATTGAGACGCCCTGCCCTATGTTTACTTTTTGTTAAAACTAAAGAACTTAAACTATTTGACGATAAAGCCGAAAACTTTTAGTTCCCCTGTTATGAAATAATTTTCTTTTGTATTTAGAGCGGAATTGTGAATGTAACGAATTTATCTCACAATTTTTGTCTTGAATCTTAAATCCTGGAGATTTGTCGATATTCGTCCCTTTAAGTTATTCTCAGCTGTTTGTTTTCTATGTTCTGTTTAATATTTTCAGATTAAAGATGACAGGGTTTGGTTTACACTCAGGGTACACTAATAGCACACTCAGACTATGGCAGGTGGGTAGAATATTTTCAGTTCTCTTTAATGTCAGAGATATGTTGAATACCTGAGTCCAGTCCTGACTTTGTAAATTAATTTTGGAATCAAATATGTTATTATTAGGACGTCTCTAATAGTCTGATAGAATTTGATTTGATCTATTTTAAATAATATTACTTATTGTAAAGTTGAAATCTAAATGTGCAATCTATACAGTATACAGTATACAGAGTACAGAACCATTTCATTAAATAAATTGATTTTCAAGCTACTGGCCAGTTTTTTTTGCTTTTTAAAATCACAAATAATTGTGAAATGCATTCAATGTCATCTTTTCATTTCACAGTTTTATGGTATCGCTGTATGTTTTTTATTTTTCTTTCAGAGTTCTGGTACTGAGATACATTCACATAATTTTATGCTGCCTCTCTTCATTGTAGATGACCCAGAGGCTAGGTAACCCAAGGGTATTGATACATACATACTTAAATGCCCAAAATACATTTGCCCAAAATGCATTAGCCCAAGGACAAATTGTCCCAATGGTACATTTTCCCGACATTTACATTTGCTGTAGCCTACAAAATCCCAAAGCTAGCATACAAAGTACAAATGTAAATGTCGGGTAAATAAATTTTCGGGCAAATGTCATATTTATCCACTCCAAATATTCAAATGTCACAGATGAACTGCTAATTTTAGTTGTAATAATAAAAAATAAAATACAAGCAAAAATTATATTTTATCAGAGAGGAGATATCCAGCCTACCCGGAGTTTGCAGATACGGAGTAGTCTCTGTCCTTGAGTATCTCCGGCCTCTGGTAAAGGACGGTTTATCCTCCGTTCTTCTCTTTGGAGTTCCAAATAAGGTTCCTAAGGTAAGAATGTTTAATGTTTATTAACAAGCTGTATTGGGATCCTGGCGCTGCCCAGGTTATTCATTGTTACTCCCAGTGTTTACCAGCACTTGGTCGATTTTACCGGGAAACTAAATTTTCGTCCCATTCAACTTAGAATCTCAAAACCTAGCTAAGAACATTCATGTGGCTCTACCGAGTTCCCCAATTTTAGGCAAATCATTCAAGTGGTTCCTGAGTTAGGCTCAGACAAACAAACGGACAAACAATAAACTGATCAGATGTGAAAACTGTTGTGTATTAATCTCAGAATCAAGCATTGATCTCATCGTGCGGAAACTGGATCAATTAGATTCTTTTAGGATATCCTGGGGCCGAACGCTGCGGCTAGGATGGGCTAGGGATCCGAGCGCTGTGGCTAGAACAGGCTACAGGAGCTCCGTTGCTTAGTGAGTAGCGTCACAACTTCCAAGTCACGGAACTGAGGGTTCAAACCTTCTTCCTGAGATTGCAACTATAATTGCAACCTAGGATTGAACATCTTGCTCATGCTCCTAGCATTCTGACCGGTGATATTAAATTACAGTCGTTGTCGGAGGTCATGACGTTGAATGACATAACGTGAAAACCTGCCAACACTCAATCGGCCATGGTGATGTAATAATTGAGTAGGTTTCATGAAGTTTTCGGGTCCATGAGACAGTTGTAACAAACTTCTCTGGTGTACGAACCTTAAATCCACTCAGTTGGTGGCAAAAAGAACTTTACATCCAGTTTCCATGTCCATGTACGCTACTATGGTTATATATGGCTACTACAACAACAACAATTGAACAGGCTAGGGGACCAAGCGCTGTGACAAGGACAGACTTGGGAAGTTGCCGCTTGGGAAAATGCACAGTTGTCACTTAGGAAAAAGGTCAGTGCTTAGGATTCATTTAATTTTGATGCGGATCCGGATCCGGATCCTAAGCATTGAAAAAAGGTTTTGGGAAAGCACCTAACATCGATTTATTTACTCATGATTTGATAAGGTTTGTTAATATGATTTTTAGTTTTTGTATTTTAATATTGATATATTTTAAAATGATTGATTCATGTGTTTTTTCAAAAAAAATTCTTTCGTCAAAACAAATAATTATTTAGGATGAAGAGGGTTCTGCAGGGATGGATAAAGAAAAGAATCCAGTATTCAAGGTATAAATATTATTTAGATGTATACTTCAATGGAATTGACTCTCTGACATGGTTGTTTAGATCTGACTGTCACCGTAATTTTTATCTAAATTCCCTTATGGAATATATTTTAAGATCTGAGTTTTCTGCACAGAAGAAAGAAAATAGGAGAAGATTAAGGTTTAGATTACTCTGGATTTTAAATCTTGAGTTTAAAGGCGTTTCAGTATTATTTTTATTCTGCAACTGCCAATAATAGACATAGATTCTTAATATAATTTAAGGCGGAGATAAAAGGCCTATTTATTATATTTTCAGGCAATTAACGGAATACAGTAGGAGCTTAGTATTTACATTCTTAGGCAGTAACAGGAATAAAGATGGAGTTCCCCAGCTTAGTTGTTTATTCCTAGACAGTTAAAGGAATAAAGATGGAGCTCCCCAGCTTAGTTGTTTATTCCTAGGCAGTTAAAGGAATAAAGATGGAGTTCCCCAGCTTAGTTGTTTATACCTAGGCAGTTAAAGGAATAAAGGTAGAGTTCCCAAACTTAGTTTTTTATTCCTAGGCAGTTAAAGGAATAAAGATGGAGTTCCCCAGCTTAGTTGTTTATTCTTAGGCAGTTAAAGGAATAAAGGTGGAGTTCCCCAGCTTAGTTGTTTATTCCTAGGCAGGTAAAGGAATAAAGGTGGAGTTCCCCAGCTTAGTTGTTTATTCCTAGGCAGTTAAAGGAATAAAGGTAGAGTTCCCAAGCTTAGTTGTTTATTCCTAGGCAGATAAAGGAATAAAGGTAGAGTTCCCAAGCTTAGTTGTTTATTCCTAGGCAGATAAAGGAATAAAGGTGGAGTTCCCCTGCTTAGTTGTTTATTCCTAGGCAGATAAAGGAATACAGGTGGAGTTCCCCAGCTTAGTTGTTTATTCCTAGGCAGTTAAAGGAATAAAGGTAGAGTTCCCAAACTTAGTTGTTTATTCCTAGGCAGATAAAGGAATAAAGGTAGAGTTCCCAAGCTTAGTTGTTTATTCCTAGGCAGATAAAGGAATAAAGGTGGAGTTCTCCAGCTTAGTTGTTTATTCCTAGGCAGATAAAGGAATAAAGGTGGAGTTCCCCAGCTTAGTTGTTTATTCTTAGGCAGTTAAAGGAATAAAGGTGGAGTTCCCAAGCTTAGTTGTTTATTCCTAGGCAGATAAAGGAATAAAGGTGGAGTTCCCCAGCTTAGTTTTTTATTCCTAGGCAGTTAAAGGAATAAAGGTGGAGTTCCTCAGCTTAGTTGTTTATTCCTAGGCAGTTAAAGGAATAAAGGTGGAGCTCCCCAGCTTACTTGTTTACTTGTTAATTCCTAGCCAGTTAAAGGAATAAAGGTGGAGTTCCCCAGCTTAGTTGTTTATTCCTAGGCAGTTAAAGGAATAAAGGTGGAGTTCCTAAGCTGAGTTGTTTATTCCTAGGCAGTTAAAGGAATAAAGGCGGAGTACCAAATCCCAGTTTTATAACTATATTCCTAGGCAGTTGAAGGAATAAAAGCTGAGTTCCCAAGTTTAACCGTCGCCTGTGATGTATGTCTATGCCCATATACTTCCCATGGACATTGTGGAGTTCTTAACAAAGGTAAACATTTCTATTCGAATCTTTTTGTAAAAAAACTGTTATTTTTATCAGATGGAACAATTGATAATGTGAGGAGTCTTCCTTTGTTGGCTAGGCAAGCGCTTGCGTTTGCCGAGTGCGGAGCTGATATAGTTGCACCCTCGGATATGATGGACGGAAGGGTTGGAGCAATCAAGAAAATACTGGCAGAGAATGATCTTGCCAGGTAATAGAACCTCGTCTAATTATTCATGATTTATCAAAAAAAAAAAATTTACAAAGCCGTTGTATTTTTAGTCATACATGATTACATGATACATCTTTTATAGACGTTAATTTAATCATTTGTTCACTTCCACCCCTAACAAACTGTATCTGTTTGCCCCTTCGTTCCCCGCTGTCTAGATTTTCTACATAGATAGATTTGTTTGTTGTCTTTTTGTTGGTTTTCATAAACCAAGGAACTAAACGGATTTGTTTTGCCCAGTGCATCCGGTCCGCAAGATTTTGGCTTCCTAGATCCGTATCCGCAAAAATATGCGGACCCACGGATCCGGATCTAAGGGGTAAAATATCAACCAAAAACTGCAAAAAAAAACTTTTTACTCCTAAAACCCAACTCTGAACTTTTGAAAAAAAGAGATTGTAAAAATTTTCTCATTTCTGAATGGTTTATCAAGTTTTAGGATAAAAATAAGCGAAAAAATAAAATAAAAAATTTTAAAATTATTTTTTGTTACAAAAAATCAGTAAATCTTAACGAAATGACCTAGATCCATTTTTTTCCAGAACGGATCCAGGATTCGGATCGGGATCCGCATCAAAATTAAATGGATCCTAAGCACTGGTTTTTTTCCCATGAAAATGCTCAGTTTTTATGGTGTACGAAGAAAAACGTGTGACTACATAATCAATATTTAAAAGTTAAAAATGAGCGCCTTAAAAGCCAAATATATTATATTTGGCAACAGAAAACTAAGAAAATCAATCATTTATTTTTTAATTTGATGAAATATGTTTTTTCTTTTTCTTAGAGTAGCTGTATTGAGTTACGCCGTTAAGTTTGCGTCCTCCTTCTACGGACCATTCAGGGAAGCAGCAAAGTCGGCGCCGGCATTCGGTGACCGGAAATGTTACCAACTGCCCTCTGGATCTAGGGGACTTGCCGCGCGAGCAGCAGCGAGGGATGTATCTGAAGGAGCTGATATGTTGATGGTGAAGCCTGGAATGGCGTATTTAGACCTGGTCAGAGAAACTAAAAATGCATTCCCCAACCATCCTATGTTTATTTACCAGGTACGGTTCTACTCAGGGGTAAATAGTTTTAGNGGGGTTGCAAAGGGACACGCCGCTAAACTTTTTCACTGTTAACTTGGGTGGGCCCACTAGGACTTTTTTCATTCATATTGATACTTTTTCCCCAAAATGTATTTAATTTCCCCTAAAAATAATTTATTATTTCCAATTCAACGAAAAACTCCTTACTTTTGGGCAGTCCTTAGGATCCATATAATTTTTATGCGGTTCCGGCTCCTGGATCCGCATTGGAAAAAAATGGATCCGGATTCAGATCCAGGTCAATTCTTTAAGATTTACTGATTTTTATAACAAAAAATAATTTTCAATTTTTTTCGCTTATTTTTATCATAAAACTTGATGACCCATTAAGAAATCAGGACATTTTTATAATCTCTCTTTTTTCAAATTTTCAGATTTGGGTTTTAGGAGTAAAAAAGTTTTTTTTTGCAGTTTTTGTTTGATATTTTACCCCTTGGATCCGGATCCGGATCCAGGAAGCCAAAATTTTGCGGATCCAACCGAACCGGATCTGGATCCTAAGCACAGCTTCTGGGGAAATATGACGCTTTTCAAAGAAGGAGGAGGGCGGGGTAATTTTTCAAGGAAATATGCACCCCTGTATACAAAACCCGATGCATGATCCGGCCGGGATTCTTTTAAGACGGGAACTCCTTTTTTTATAAGGATCTGTTGTTTTTACAAAAAGCGTAATATTGCGTATGAAGGTCTCTGGAGAATATGCAATGCTGTATCACGGAGCAGCTGCTGGAGCATTCGATCTCAAGAATACGCTGCTCGAGGTCCTTACTGGAATGCGTAGGTGCGTAACAGACGAAATCCTTTTTTTTTCTGCGCTTAATACTCTTAGAAACGAAAATGTAGAATTTTTTAATGTATTTTTGATATTTTTCTTATTTTCATCTCCCTGAAGTTACAAAATAAATATTAAATTGCAAAATTTTCTCTCTTTTTATTCCCTGGTTTCCAAAAATCAGTTATTTCTTCAAAAATTTAGAAGTCAGCCAGAAAATCTCAACAAAATTGTCTTTGCAAGTTGGGGAAATGATTTTCTATGCTCATTGCCCCTCCCCCCCCATCCCCCCCTTCTTCCTTATTTTTTCTCATAAATTTTCTTAATTGAAGTCTTATTCCATTAGGTCTGGAGCTGATGTGATTATCTCCTACTTTACCCCACAGATCCTGACTTGGCTCAAGGAGTAGACAATATCTAACCTACTTTTAAACAGACTCAATGAGTGTATCTCGTTTGTTCCTTGTTTTTCTGAGAGATCAATCGATCTCTCATCGATCAAATTAAACTAATTTGTACCGCGTCGCTGAGCCGCCAATCACCAGCTCAAATTGCGCGTTGGCTAAAATTTCGAAACACTGATAAGAACTTTAAGTTAAACCAATCATTTAAATTCAGCCTCTCTGATTGCTCGATTCTTAGAAGTGTTGACCAAAAAGAGGTTGAAAGCATTAGTTTAACTCATTCAGTCTATTCAAAAGTTTATAGCTCTAGACAAATGCAATCGAGGAATTATAGTCTCTAAATTATTAAGATCTGATTTTTTTTAAAAAGTGTTATAATATCTAGCTGTGATGCAGTAAAACTATATTTGTAAGTATCTCGTAGGTTGTCATGAATTTTTGTGAAGTTCTATGAATTTTATTCATAAACTTATATTATAAAACAATGTAAATAATACTTTGTCATGTGTCTATAAACAGCGGAACAGATATTTGGCCATTTTCTTCCCTGTCTCTATCGTTGGTTTTTGTATTAATTAATTTTTAAAGAAATTGTTTTGAATACTTCATGAAATTGTTGAATATTAAAATATACTGTATTATATACTATATACATTATACATTGGGGGTCTTTCATGATATTTTTCTAATATTTATAATAATTATATTTTATAAAAATTTATAGAATTATTTTCATAGATTATAAAATTTCAGATGTCCAATGGTTCCGGGCCCAGTGGGTCCGGCCCTGCCCTTGGTAGAGACCAGGATCAGTACAAAATTGTTTCTCAATATCCTGGTTACTACCAGGGTTCAAGATTACCAGGTGTATCAGACCTCTCCGGGTACCCGGGGAGTATACCAGGGTTCCGCCCTGGACCTAGAACCTCCGCCAAATTTCCGCCAGCTTTATACAGAAATCCGAATGCACCGGATTGGCAGACAACTAAATGCAAGGTTTGAAATAAATCATTAAAAATATTTGACAAACAAACAGAAATCTCTTAACGTTTTGTTTTAGGTGACCGAGCGGGGTAAACATCTACTAGAAACCGGTTTATGGTCGGACTGTGAGTTTATCGTAGGACTACCTCCTAATTTCAAGGTTGGTTAATGGACTGTGAGTTTATCGTAGGACTACCTCCTAATTTAAGGTTGGTTAATGGACTGTGAGTTTATCGTAGGACTACCTCCTAATTTCAAGGTTGGTTAATGGACTGTGAGTTTATCGTAGGACTACCTCCTAATATCAAGGTTGGTTAATGGACTGTGAGTTTATCGTAGGACTACCTCCTAATATAAAGGTTGGTTAATGGACTGTGAGTTTATCGTAGGACTACCTCCTAATATTAAGGTTGGTTAATGGACTATGAGTTTATTGTAGGACTACCTTCTAATATAGAGGTTGGTTTAAGGACTGTCAATTTTGAGTTAAGTATCATGATTTAGGAGTTTACACTCAATAACCATTAAAAGTGGTGTTTCTAAAGACTGCCATCTTATTGCCTTTGTTTGATGTAAAACAATGATTACACCCTCCCTTTGAAACCCAAAAACCCAGGTTTAAACAAGGGGAAGAAAACCTGGGCCGATTTAACAGACGACCCCAGATGTAAATAAAATACGTATAGTGAGGGAAAGTACTGATGGGTGAAGTCGAATGTGATCCAGAACACCCCCAGCGATTCACTTTAATCGTTAGAACTGACGAGGGTCAACCCAGACCGAAATATATTTTCAATAAATGTGGAACTAACATCTACTTTTTTACTCTACAGAGGTTTGGTCCATCACCATCACCGAATTTTAAATCACTTTAATTGATTAATTAAAATGAACAATTTACATCCTGGATCAGTGCTGAAATTAATGCTTCGGGTCCAATTCCAGGTTCAGACTCTTTTAAAGCAGGGGCTTAGTCACAAATTTGTCCAAAGGGCTTATTTTTTCTTCATTCACTGCTGATCAACATAGCCGGAAATTTTTCAGCTACAAATTATTTCAGTTAAAGGAAGTGACCGGCTATGTATGGTAGTTGAACTGAGAATGTAGCATTGTGAAGAATTTTTTAAGAATTCATTTGAGACATATAAAACGCTTTAATGATGTGTAATTAATGAGTTTGAGCGCAAAGTAGACGTTCAAAATCATCCATTTTGGTGGTTACGTTTTGAGAATCGATTTTTTAAAAATTATTAAATAACGACGACGAAAAATGTAGTACAAATTCTACAATTAACTAATTAGTTGTTAAGGAACAGGTTGAGAAAATATTATTATCGAAAGTAAGTAATTTAATTTAGTAATTGGTATCTGTAATGTCTTATTGTTCACAAACTTTTTAGGTAGATTTCCTGAAATTTTTATTGAAAAGATGTCATTTGAAGAATTTTAAGAGATCGGCGACCAAATTCATAAAGAATTAGAAATTCAATATAATGATGAAAAAGAAATAATTGATTATGACATTGATTAATTGAGAATTAATTAATTAAGAAATATGTTCCTAAACATCTAATTAGTTTACTGTAGAATTTTTTTACACTTTTTGCAGGGGTGTATATAATTCCATTTCCCCCCCCCTGGGGGGTAAAGAAATCAAAGGTCACAAAAGAGGGGAAGGGGAAGGGGAAGGAAAAGGGAAGGAAAGGGAATGGTGAAAGGGTGTGTTATAGAGGATGAGGATGGGAAAGGGGATGTTGGAAGGAAAGGGGATGTGAATGGGATGATTAAGGGGAAAGAGGAAGGAAAAGGGAATAGGGGAAAAGAAAGGGTAAANCTAAAAAATAGTTCAAATGAGCAATATATTTACTCGTTTGAACTATTGTTCATTTACACTACTCACGTGGTCCCACGTGCAGTAGTTGAAATGAACAATAGTTCAAATGAACAATAGTTCAAACGGCAGTAGTCCAAATGAGATAGCATCCATGCAAATCATATACTGAAGCGTACTGTGAAAGTGTGGGATCCCTCATGAATATACTAGTTAATAATGGAAGAAACCTCACATCAAGCTTTTTCTCAAGAGAGCTTATCATAGCTTTTAATGATCCTCCTCATCATATCTTAAAGAAAAAAATCATCCCTGAAATCAGGGATGAGTCTATGAAGGAGATGACCTTTGTAAGAAAGTTGGACAACGCCAGACTTTCCAGACAGTACTCCAAACTGAAGTTTGCAGATCTGTCTGCAACTCTTGACAGCTACGGAAGAACCAAGAAAATCAGTTACATGTCCCTGTAGACTTTTTTACTGTTTAATTAAGTAAGAATAAGTAAATTTTTTTAGATGATACTATAATAAATCTAAGAAGAGTTTAATCTATGTCTTTTGAGTTGTCAAGTTTGGAGAAGGAATTCAAAAAAAATTTACGAGGGGGGGGGGGAAGAATCAAAAATATGGAACCACCCTAATGGATGATTTTAATCTCGACTTTGCGCTCAAACTCAGTAATTACACATTATTAATAAGTTTTAAATGTCTAAAATGAATCCTAAAAAATTTCTCCACAATACTACATTCTGAGTTCAACGTCCATGCAATGCCAGTCACTCACTTTAAGTATACGGATCCAAGGGTCTAATAATCCTAGGTCCTGCTAACCTACCTCAACAATATTTAGATATTCCATGTGCACAAGATGTTCCTGGCCATGTCCTCCCCTGTGTTTGAAGCAATGTTCTACGGAGGTTTGGCGGAGACTAAACGAGAGATTAAAATCTCTGATGTTCAACCTGATGCTTTCTCTTGTATGCTCGAGTATATATATACTGATGAAGTAAACCTTGCCAGGTAAATATCCTTCTTATCAATGATGCTGCTGCCGTTACAACAGACAAATACGGTTCAAGGTTCATGAATCGACTTGTGTGTAGTGTTTGTGTAATTTAGAAAACGCTGTGAATGTCAGGAATATCATGTTTCCCCGAATTTATACTGGTGGGCAAATTTTTGTTAACTTTAAAAGGCAACCTACTCAAATTAGAATTTTCCTTTGTATCTACCTAGATTCCCAACTAAAACTTGTGGCAAATCAGGTTAGAGGCTCATGAGTTATGATCGGACATACATACAGACAGACACCCAAACAGAGATTACTACTTTAAAGATATTGTTTCCCCTTATGTATATGATTACAATAAAAAAATCTGTTCTCTTTTGAGGCTTTAAGGGATATACAAAAAAAATCTTTTGCATTAATTCACTTCAAGGAAATGGAACATTTATTGTTTGTGATATCTGCTATGCTGCTAAGAAGTATATGCTCCATAACCTTGTTATTTCTAGTTTTGAGCTTGTTTGTTATATCTGCTATGCTGCTAAGAAGTATATGCTCATTGACCTTGTTATTTTAGTTTTGAGCTTGTTTGTTATATCTGCTATGCTGCTAAGAAGTATATGCTCCCTGACCTTGTTATTTCTAGTTTTGAGCTTGTTTGTGATATCTGCTATGCTGCTAAGAAGTATATGCTCATTGACCTTGTTATTTCTAGTTTAGAGGTTGTTTGTGATATCTGCTATGCTGCTAAGAAGTATATGCTCCATGACCTTGTTATTTCTAGTTTTGAGCTTGTTTGTGATATCTGCTATGCTGCTAAGAAGTATATGCTCCCTGAGCTTGTTGAAGAATGTACTAAATTTCTCTGGAGAGATCTCTACCCTAGGTGGAAAAGTTTTTAAATTTTCATATTTTTATTATTTAAAAAAATTTAAATAAAATCTTAGCTGTTTTAAAAGGGACATCTGATAAGGGTACCCCAAAAAAGACCAAGTATTTGTATGATGCAGACTGGAATGAAGTGATATTTAGTCAATAATCATACAAATTCAGGGGGGAAAAAATATTTTTGAGATCGGACCACTTTTACCGTCTGATATACTTTCCAGAAATATGCACGTAGTTGAAGTGTACATGGCTCAAAAAATATTTCTTGAATTTATCATGTTAGATATAATTTTTTTGTAATTGTCTAAAAACATTAAATCCATTGAAATTTTTAAAAAATTCAAAAATTGACTGAGTTAGGGAAAAAAACCCGTCATGAGGAAAAGTACATTTTTTTGGAGGTTTTTTGAACCTTACTCAATCAATTTTTGAAATTTTTCAAAAATTTCAATTTTAATGATGCATGACATGACAAGTTCAAGAAATATTTTATTTTTATCTATGTATGACTCTACATGGATATTTCTGAAAAGTATATCAGACGGTAAGAGTGGTCCGATCTCAAAAAAAAATCCTGAATTTGTTTGACTACATGTCACATCATTCCGGTCTTCATCATACAAATATCTCAACTTGGTCTTATTTAGGGTACCCTACTACTGACGTAAATTCAAATGACCCTCAATTTATAAGGTGGGATGTCCGATTCACAACGGTACCCTCCTGAAACTTTGTATGGTCAAGAATGAATAAGAAATCCATGATGATTATTTTCAATTTTGGTTTCACTAAATTAGTTAAAGAATTAAAATCATGTTATATACTAGAAAACAAAAATTTATTCCACATTTTTGATCTTTGTAATTAGAGGATTCCTACTTCAAACAAAGAGTCACTTATCACTTCATTTGACTCTAATATATAATATCATTAAATGACTCGCTATTCAGTGTTCTTGATATTAAATAAACATTCAAATAATTTGCAGGGGTTTATAATATATTTTCTCTTGTAAAATCAATTGATAATTTTTTAAGTAAAAAGGATGAAAAAGGATGAAAAAACTTGCCTTTTTGATGTCCAATTTATGATTTTTTTCCTAGAACATTAAAAGTAATTCTTAAAAAATATTCACCCTCCTTATTTGTTTCAGGAATGCCTGCCGTATTTATGAATTTGCCAAACTTTTTGAAGAGCCCATCCTATTAGAGAAAAGTTTACAGGTTGAAAATTAAATGAAAAGAGACTGATTACTTGACCTAAACATTAATTTTATAATCCCTTTATCTTTGCAACCTGATGTCGTAGTATTTCTGCTAGACCCAACAATTTTAATAAAAGAGTCTTCACCACCAGGTTGTAAGGTGTAAATGGAATACAAATTTGAGTTAGAGACGAGTAATCTATTCCCGAATAATATAACTGTTCTAATATAGTTTTTTTGTTTTTTTTCTAGATTATAACAAATCAAACTATTGAGATAATAAATGAACCCTCCTGGGAGGATGTAGAACAATCAACTTTACAGGTATATATATATAATATATATGTTTATATTGTGTTATTAATCGTTTTTTTTAAATATGTTTTCTCTTAGGGTCAACATTTTTCAATGTGTAAGAAAAACAACTGTTTTTAAAATTGTTCATTCTAAACATTTACTTTTCTTACATAATGCCAAATTTTGACCATTTAAGAAAATAAATGCACAAAACAAGCCAAACATAAACCAAAAACGAACGTGTTAAAACTGTTTGTTCTTTTTTTGGATTTATTGAACGATTTATTAAAGCGAACTTTTACTCCGAACCTCTATCACGAATACAGCTTTGAAGTGTGGGAAGTTCTATTCGGACCAAAACGATTAACACTTCGCTCATTGCACATAACATATAAAATTTTGATTTAAAAAAACAAACAATTTTTTTAATAGATTTTTCTGTCCCGAGATACTTTATCTGCCCCTGAAGTTTTACTATTTGATGCTATAGATAGGTAAGCTTTAATATGTAGGATCTCATCAATAGAACTCTAAAACCAACATCTATTTGATGCTATAGATAGGTAAGCTTTAATATGTAGGATCTCATCAATAGGACTCCAAAACCAACATCTATTTGATGCTATAGATAGGTAAGCTTTAATATGTAGGATCTCATCAATAGGACTCCAACACCAACATCTATTTGATGCTATAGATAGGTAAGCTTTAATATGTAGGATCTCATCAATAGAACTCCAAACCCAACATCTATTTATAAAATGTTGGATTTCCACAGAAAAAAGGGAAATATATTTACTTCAATTTCTTTTTGCTCAACATGCATATGGTGGAAAATTTAGTCTGGGAATGTTATGTTTCCCAAAAATGACTATATACTTCTTCTACTTCTTCTTCTTTAACTTGGTCAACTAAAGACTACATTATATAGATAGATGGTCAATCAATAACAATATTATGTAGATGGTCCACTAAAGACTACATTATGTAGATGGTAACTAAAGACTATATGTTATGTAGATGGTCAATCAATGACATTATTATGTAGATGGTCTACTAAAGGATATTTTATGTAGATGGACAACTAAAGACCACATTATGTTGATGGTCAACTGAAGACTATGTTATGTAGATGGTCAACTAAAGGATATTTTATATAGATGGACAACTAAAGACTACATTATTTAGATGGTCAACTAAAGACTACATTATGTAGATGGTCAACTAAAGACTATGTTGTGTAGATGGTCTACTAAAGACTATGTTGTGTAGATGGTCAAATAAAGACAATATTATGTAGATGGTCAACTAAATACTATATTACGTAGATGGTCAACTAAAGACTTTATTATGTAGATGGTCTACTAAAGACTACGTTGTGTGGATGGTCAGCTAAAGACTATATTATGTAGATGGTCAACTAAAGACTATGTTGTGTAGATAGTCAAATAAAGACAATATTATGTAGATGGTCAACTAAATACTATATTATGTAGATGGTCAATCAATGACAATATTATGTAGATGGTCTACTAAAGACTATGTTGTGTAGATGGTCTACTCAAGACTATGTTGTGTTAATGGTCTACTAAAGATTATGTTGTGTAGATGGTCTACTAAAGACTATGTTGTGTAGATGGTCAACTAAAGACAATATTATGTAGATGGTCTACTTGTAGATGGTCTACTAAAGACTATGTTGTGTAGATGGTCAACTAAAGAGTGTGAAAGACGAGGTGTAGAAGTCTCACCGGAGAAGAAAAGATTCGTTCTGGGAGAAGCACTGTTTCTAATTAGGTAATACATGTTTTTAAATATACTCTTAACCTACTCTAGGTACCTGACAATACTAACTCTAGGTACCTGACAATACTTACTCTAGGTACCAGACACTACCTACTCTAGGTACCTGACACTACCTACTCTAGGTACCTGACAATACCAACTCTAGGTACCTGACACTCTGCCTACTCTAGGTACCTGACAATACCAACTCTAGGTACCTGACACTACCTACTCTAGGTACCTGACACTATCTACTCTAGGTACCTGACACTACCAACTCGAGGTACCTGACAATATCTACTCTAGGTACCTGACAATACCAACTCTAGGTACCTGACAAAACGTACTCTAGGCACCTGACACTACTTACTCTAGGTACCTGACACTACCTACTCTAGGTACCTGACGCTACCTACTCTAGGTACCTGACAATACCTACTCTAAGTACCTGACAATACCAACTCTAGGTACCTGACAATACCTACTCTAGGTACCTGACACGACCTACTTTAGGTACCTGACACTACCTACTCTAGGTACCTGACAATACCTACTCTAGATACCTGACACTACCTGCTCTAGGTACCTGACACTAACTGCACTAGGTACCTGACACTACCTATTCTAGGTACCTGACACTACCTACTCTAGGTACCTGACACTAACTGCACTAGGAACCTGACACTACCTACTCTAGGTACCTGACACTATTTGCTCTAGGTACCTGACACTACCTAATCTAGGTACCTGACACTACCTACTCTAGGTACCTGACACTAACTGCTCTAGGTACCTGACACTACCTACTCTAGGTACTTGACACTAACTGCTCTAGGTTCCTGAGACTACCTACTCTGTTTACCTGACACTAACTGTTTACCTGACACTACCTACTCTGTTTACCTGACACTAACTGCTCTAGGTACCTGACACTACCTACTTTAGGCACCTGAAACTACCTATTCTAGGTAACTGACTCTACCTATTCTAGGTACCTGACACTAACTGCTGCTGAGTTTGCTGCCGGTCCAGCAAGATCTGGACTTCTTACACAACAGGTTTAAGTTTTAACCAAGAAATATAGAAGAGACATGAAAAGCTTTAGAATTGAGTAGCATTCCAGATTCAAAAAGGTACCTTTGAAACCTTTATCTTTATAAAAATGAGGAAGACTCGCTAACATCTGCTTTACAGAAACCATGCAGGAAATTGTTAGAAACTTACGATTAAACACTATTCAAGCTAAAGAAACGACGATATCTTTCCTAGTGTTGATGACATTGATATCGTTGTTAAACGGACATGCCCTATTTAAATGGGGGTTACTTGAAGGATGGGTTTCATCAGACAAATTTATCCTTGTTTATTGTTTAAAGAAAGACGATATTTTTACAATACAATTGATCAACTACAATTGTAGGAAAGTTTTGCTATTCTAATGAATATTTCTTGTCCTGGTTCCTGGGATTTACCTAAACATATGAACTCAATAACAGAGGTAATATATTTTCTCAGGGGTTCATGTTTAAAAAAATTAAAAGTTTTAAAATGGAAAAAAAAATATTCTAGACTTATTTGTAAGAGTGTTCAATGTTCATTGTTTATCGGGGGGTTTATACTGTATATTTTTGAGAATTATAACCTGTGGGGGAAAATGAGTGGGACATAAGAAAGCAAGTTTTTTCATTATTTTTTGATAATTTTTACCGAAAATTTATTTTTTCCCCCTAAATATCATTTATACTCACCAATTAAAAGAATAAAAACCTAACAAGTATTTGTACGGAGCTCATACATACATAACTTCTGGCGGAAAACGGGGGAATGATTTTTTCAGAAAATATACACCCCTGGAATATTGATTCTAACTGTCCCCTAGGTAAGGAAGGGTCCAAGTGTACAAGCAGCCTCTGATCTAGATCTAGGAACTAAACTCTGGTGTAAACGAGCAATGATGCAGGTTTCGTATTTAAAATAAAATTTAGAAATTCATCTAAGTTGTCAACTAGTGGCAAAGAAGTCTCTCCGACACTTCATTCGCCTTAGTATTTTTTCAGTATTTTATTATACGGTTTTTGTAGTTTTCATATTTTATTAAACATTAAGGAGCCTCATTGCTTGAACACTTCTATACTGGATTGTAGTGTCACCTTCACAGTGGATAGAGATGTTTGGATCCATGGAATAGAAGTACCAAGTCAGGTATATACAGGGTGTCCCATAAACATGGAATAGAAGTTAAGTCAGGTATATACAGGGTGTCCCATACACATTGTATAAAAGTACCAAGTCAGGTATATACAGGGTGTCCCATACACATTGTATAGAAAGAAGTACCAAGTCAGGTATATACAGGGTGTCCCATACACATGGAATAGAAGTACCAAGTCAGATATATACAGGGTGTCCCATTTACATTGTATAAAAGTACCAAGTCAGGTATATACAGGGTGTCCCAAACTATTTAGAGAGGGACATGTTTGATTCACAATGGTAGCCTTTAACCCTTTTCTGATCCAAGGATGATGGAGATATCCTTGTTTGGAGTAGACTCCTACAAGGAGAAGGATATAATGAACTCCCTAATTAGGTGACTGATATACCTGAAGGAGTACCCCTGGAAGGAGTAGAACTCCTACAAGGAGGAGGATATAATGAACTCATATCTAGGTGACTGATATACCTGAAGGAGTACCCCTGGAAGGAGTAGAACTCCTACAAGGGGAAGGATATAATGAACTACTATACTCCCATCTACTAGATGGGGAGGGAACTCGACTCACATACACACACTTCACTGCTAAGGTATATATAACATTTATTTCTTTTTAAATTCAAAATTTTTATATTATTGGGTACAGAATACAGATGATACAAAATATTTTATTTTGTATTCTTGTCATCATATTTTCATCCTTCATTCTTTATTTTCTTCTTTTGTTGACTGTCCCTTCTGGCAATTTGGAAAAAAAGATCTAATGTGTGTAAACAATACAGAGTTAATAGAAATAGTAAAGCAGGAGCCTCTCAACCTAGTTCTAAGTTAGCAGCTTGGCAACTGCTAGGACGTCCCTATTTTTTTTTCAAAATTAGCCTTAATATGATGAAAGGTGGATATTTCTCAAGGATTACTCTAGTAGTTTTTCAAATTGAGAAATTTTCTGAGGCATATTCCTTTCCGACTATATCTCCTCCTCCTGTATCGAAACAGATTTTTGAGTTAAATCAGGCCATTCCTCCTCCCCAAAAACCACCTAGTGGTCCTGGTGGCGCAGGTTTAAACAATCGATCTGTAAAAATATAAAAACCTTTATAAAAGTAAACTGGTCTAGGTAAATTGGAATTCTATGATTGAGATCTGCTTTAATAGATCTGTAAAGATACAATAATCTATATAAGTAAACTGGTTTAGGTGAATTGGAACTCTATGATTGAGATCTGCTTTAATAGATCTGTAAAGATACAAGCCAACAGGGTTTACAGGATAGGCATGGTGCTTAATAAGGTAAACTTTATCTAAACGTCTTTTAGATCCCTCTGTTACTAATATGAATAATATCATTTAAACCTGTAAGAACATTGAAGAACTTCTTTAGGTAAAATTTTTTTCATACCAGCTTCATAGTTAAAGTTTTTTCATACCACCTTCAGAGTTAAATTTTTTTCATACCACCTTCATAGTTAACAAAACAAATGATTTACTCATATTAGAGACGAGACAGATTTTTTGGTTTCGCCCAGCTGCATTTCATTGTCTGGACTTTTTTTCAATTTGTTTTAATTGATTCATTTTCTTTGAATTTGCATTACTTCTTTCCTGTCAAAGGAATTAAGTCTTTGCCAAAAACTCAAATTTTCCCATTCCTATATCTTTGCAGCCAAATGTCGCACATCTTAAATATTGCAAACTATGAATTTTTTTATATTAAATAATAAAGGTTTGAAATATCAATGGTTTACACCATCAGGTTGAATAGATATGGGGATTAGAAAACTTGAGTTTGTGTCAAAGACTCAATTCCTTTATTTATATATATATGTACTGTAGGTTGGTTGGTATCCTATGGGTGTTTGTACCCGACGCGTAAACTGTGATGGTAGTTTCTTCACCTTCTGTGTCGGTCAACCCAATGACACGCAACGGGATGGCCTTATTAGGTCAGTACTAACAAAATTGAAATTATTCTCAAATTTTTTTCTGACATTAATAAAAGTGATCAACATTTTTTAAACCAAGTGTCCCACGAAACTTTACAGTTGCAAGACGACTTGAGGTCGTCATTAATCTTTGAAGTAATTTGCGACATTTCTTTGTAAACTTAATTTCAGAAGTAGAATTCTAGGATTAATAATCACAAAATACCCCTCCCCTAGTCTTGCGATTTCCAAAATGTGGTCTACGTTTTTTGTGCTTTCAATATTACCGGAGATATTCAGCATTTTCCCAAAAAGGCAGACCACTTTTTGGAAATACCAGGACTAGAAGATTTTTTTTGGTTATTGTTTCAAGAATCATACCTGTTAAAGTAGGTTGGCGACTGAATGTTACAAAAAATCAAGGATCAAAGATCGTCTTGATTCTCTCATGTTTCGTGGGACACCCTGTTGCTAGATTTTAAGTTTCTCTTTGAGAAATGTATGCATTTTAGGGTAAAACTATCAATTAGATTTTATAAGTACCATTTGTACAAAAGCTTCTAAAATTTATTTCCCCCATGGGAAGAGATGTGAAAATTTAGTAAATATGTACTTGTAGGTCGATAATATTCTCAAGATAGCATATAAGTGAAATCTATGGTCTGGAGCAGAGATAGAGACTATTCTGAATTATCTTCAGGATTTTTAAAGAATAAATTTGCTTCTTTTTCCTATATTATAATTATGTAGCCGGAGTATGCCCCCCCCCCCCCCATCCTCCGACCATCCAAATAAAAACAGATTTTTGCTGAAAACTCAGGTTCTACTTTGAGGGACTGTCCTTGTAATTTCAAGTCACATTCTATTTTTAAAAATTCAAACTGTTTCTTTGTCCGACCAAAAATGTTGTCTGGTTATTTATAATTTACAATTCTACTTAGTTGTCAGAATTTAACACTTCAAGCTAGAAAACGAGATTTCTTCCACATCATCGAACAGATTATGGTTTAAAAGGTTCCGCTGTGGATCTGAAATGCTTCTTATGAAATGAAGGGTAACTTGTAATTCCGTTTACAGTCTCATATATAGGTTGCCATAAACATTTAGAACTTTAATTGCCTTGTTTTGTAAATAAATCTGATTGTAGATTTCTAGAAAACAATCGAGAAAGTTTTGTCACATTTTAGTAATTTAGATTTTAACGGTACATATGTGACTCGTGAATTGCTGTAAAAACTTTATATAATAACTATAATAATATCTTTTATGGAAAACTAATTTCAGTTTTTAAACAGATACAAATTAAATCGATTTTGCTTAGTCCTAGTACATTTATTTGTTTGCACTTGTGCCGATACCAGGCACGATATGAGACCATTGATCTTATTTATTAATTTAATTTAAACAATTCAATAACGTTTATGGTTGTTAGTATATAAAGTTAACATTAACATTAACATTAACATTAACATTGACTTTAAACAATTGATGTTTATTTATATGTTAATATCAATTAACATAAACAATTGTTTGTTAATATTAACATTAATTAAATTTATTAAATCTCATATAGAGCCTCTAATGCTTGTGCCATTTGTGAAAAAGTGTCCATATTAACATGTCTTCCAAGATCAATTTTACTGAATTCAGGAAGTTTACAAGTTTTAAATTTATATCTTTGAAAAGTTTAGCAATGTTTTTAGGTTACATTTAATGACCTAATCTAGTCTAATTAGCCATAGAAGCTTCATTTTACTATTTCTAATTTATAGTAGTAATATTTGATAAAATAGATTTTGTTTATTCTTCACATTTTAGGAAAATAGTTGGATAATGGATATATATTAGTTATAAATTTAAATCTATTATGTAATTTGCATGTTAGTTCAATTTGTATATATTTACTCATTATTTTGATATAGCACATTATTGATAAGACGACATAATAACGGATTTTAATCTAGTTTTTAAACTTCATGTATATGTTTGTTATACATATTTGAAAGCTTAAAATAGTATGTAATAAATTAGATGTATTTAATAATAAAGTTATGAAATGTTTCAGAGAATATTGAAAATGCAAAAAGGTGGACGGGCGATTAATTTGAAAAAAGTCCAAGCAAGGTTTGTACTTAACACTGTAACTATGTATTATAAATAATTAACGTGGCATGGTACTTAATAAGGTAAATTTGATCTAGACCTTCATAGTTAACATTTGTCAAGGTATTAATTGGTTGAATTTTTTGTTTACGACAAAAATCATCATAGGTTTACATTTTTGAAGATTTCTTTTATTTAAAAAAAAAATATCTTAAAACAATCATCACAAAGCGCCCATCTTCTAAATTAATTGTGAACATGTTCTCTTTGTTTACATCGTAAAACAAAACAAAAAAAATTCGCGGATTTTCACAAAAAATTTCGCGGATTTTCAAAATTTTTAAAAATTTAATGAAGATCGAATTTTGATGGAGACAAATATTTGAAATTTTGATCATTCATTAACCTTCCCTACGGTCACGTGAGGTCCCACACAAAATTTGGGCCCGACCGGTTCAGCCGTTTTGACGATTATTGGATACAAACAAACAGACAGACAGGCCAAATTTATATATAGATTTATTATCAAATTATTGCTAAGTAATTGTGTTTATATTGAGACACGAATAGGTCGCAATTTATCTAAAAGAAATTCTGTGTCTGCACCTTTTGAGACATATTATAAAAACAAAATCATAAATAGTTCATGAGCTTTGATATGCAAAGAAATAACTAAAACAAGCATTAGCACGGAATAGGCAAGATAATAGATATCCGACTAATGCAACATTTATTCCGACACATTATTTATTACAAGCTTGCGAACCCAACTTTGCTTGCAAAATAAACTTTAGCTGTAAATGTCAACCCCTTCTACTTAAAGGTTTAAAAACAAACCAAGAATATCCGTGGTTCTACCGATTTACCCAATCGTAATTTGAAGCAAGTCGGTCAAGGAGTTCTTGATCTATGATCGCGTATGTTCACTGTTCAGGTAGAAAATGTCCGAAGAAGAAGCACTGAAAAGATCGTGCCCAGGCTGTACGATATGTACAGTATGTACAGTTTGCAGGAAAGCTGGGGATGTTAAAGGTACATACCACTAAAAGCTAACTAAGTATTCAAAATAAAAAGTTGGAGCAATTCAGCGATAAGCCTTACATAGAATGGACTTGTAGAATCGGGGAATTTCAAACGACTCAGACGAATTTTCATAGACTAGCTTAAAGGGACTATAAACGTAATTTCAAGTGACCCTACATGCAAGAAAGGGAATGTCCTATTTACAGCGGTCCCTTTTAACCCTTTGACTGATATTCGAGGATAGAGAACTCAGTGTTTTTATTTATGAAATAGTGTTCATATTGCTCAAAAACCGAAGTGTAGCCTAGTGTTCAGTGTGAACTCAATACGGCTGAAGTACAGTGGTGTTGTGAATCGGACACAACACTCTACAGTGGTGTTGTGAATCGGACACACCACTCTACAGTGGTGTTGTGAATTGGACACAACACCCTACAAGAAGCAGGTGACATTAGTTCCAAAACTAACACTTGGCCCATTTCTAACACTGAGTGATAGAAATGGGCACAAATTGAAATACTGGGTTTTTGGGATCCCGGCCCATATCCAGAGTAAAAGTCGATAACAAAAACTATAATCAACACTTTATTAAACATAACGAGGACAAAAATTCCCAATTTTAAACTTTTTTTTGAATCGAAATTACAATAGGAGTTCTTTTAAATCTTTTGACCGTTTTCAAGACAATGTTAGGTTTTCCAATTTCGAACATATCTTGAATTTGAAACATTGTCGCGTTTCAAGGCCAAACCCATTACCCCATTTTTGAGCATAATCCACAATTTAAAACAAAACTCACTTTCATAACTTACAAAATAAATCACTGAAAACAAAAAATATCCTATGAAGACTAAATTAACTTCTGAATTATATCTAGAATCAAAGTTTCCACATTTTATCTGTAAAATTAGAGAATATGGATAATTTATTTTCAAGCATTTTAAACAAACAGTTTCCCGTATTGCTAGTTAAATCTATAAGAACATATGATATTAATATTTTGATTTTTAAATGCTTTAATGATTTTTAAATTATAAAGAACTGTCTGTTATTAATTACTATTTTGTTTATATTTAACCTTTTCAAATAGTCTTGTTTTGTTTTAAAAGTGCGTAAATACTTGAAAATTGACATAGATATGAATTCCGGTAATTTTCTTAAAACCAGGAAACGCGACATGAGCTGAACCTGAAATCCGTTAATTGTCTCAAAATAGGGATATGTTCCGAAAATGAAATGAAGAATCATCAAGTAACAATTCTAACACCTTATTATTTGTTTAAAATTGACATTTATTGTTTCAATATATAGTTTTAGCCATTTTTATAAATATATGGTGTAATTTTATTCTACTCATCTTGGATTTAAAGATATATACTCTTGAAAAAGATAACTTTAAAGATTTGGCCCATTTCTAACACGCAGTGTTAGAAATGGGCCAAGTGTTAGTATTGGAACTAATATCCCCTGAGAAGAGGGTCACTTAAATTAATATTTCAGTCAATTTTTAACATTTTATGTAGCTACCATAATTTCACTATTTTTCAGACGTATTTTCCGGTCTGTATGAGATGACCCCTCTAGGTAGCTTCAGCTACTTTACCAGGCTTAGTACCGTCATTAACATTCAGGACGAGATTAAAGACTCTGTAAAGTGCAGATGTGGGAACCTAAACACACATAAGAATGAGAATATTCAATCAACAGACTGCAAGTGCTGGTTTAAAAATGCCGCAATCCATTCATCAGAAAGTAAATGCGGGAAAAGATTATGTACTGAGTGTGTACAGTATGTGAATCAGCTGGAGGAATTACAGCTTCAGATTTTTAAGATAGAAAACAAAATTTTCAATCTGTACACCAGGCTACAGCTTGAGGAGAAAGAGGAGATAGTTGAGGAAACCTTTGAGGACGTGATAGCTAGAGAGGATGAGAACGATAAAAGATCAAAGGCTAAAATCAAACCAAAGGGAGATAATATAATTAATACTAGTCACTAACTTTAATCCTAAATTGAATTATGATTATTTCAAATTTTGTTGTGAATTGTGCTTGTGTTTTATGTAGCAACATCAAAACAATTCGCCTCAGTATTTATGTACACTGTACAAACTTGAAATTGCTCACTTCAAAAGTGTGTTGCATAATTCATATGCATTGTTCATACTATATAGTATGCATTATATTGCATGATGCAATGTAAATTACTTTAAATTTATCTTGTACATTGTACATCGCACATCAACTTGTCGAACTTAATTCTTTTTACTTTGTCTAAATAAGTTATTTTTTATGGCGTTAAAATGTTTAATTTTAAACAGATATTATATGATTTTTCTAGAGGAAGATAAAAGAGTCAAAAGTTGAAAGAAATGTGACGAGAAGAAAGAAAAGGACGGGTCCTGCAAAATGTCCTATTTGTCAGGTTGTCTGCAAGACTGAAAGATTACTAGTCAAACATCAGTTTTCAGGTTTTTAGGATTTTTTTCACCAATCTATCAATCAACCAATAAAAATTATATGGTTTTGTTCTCTGAAAAGGGGGGGAAAAAATGATTTTTTTTCAGGGAAAATTAACGATTTTATGGATAAAAAGTATCAAAAAGAATGAAAAAAACTTGCCTTTTGATGTCCCATTTTTTCCCCCAACTCGTCAGAAATCATTTCCACCCCCCCTTGGGGGATGTAATTGAGAAAAGCATACACCCCTGTTATGCATTGACAACCACAGGGTGCCGATCCCAATAGGTATTGCAATTAATTAACAACTTTAGAGTCGTCTTTAACCCACGCGGTAAATACAATTGTATAACTGTTCCAGTTTTAATTTATTGATAACTTATAGTCTCGGGATCTTCAAACTGTAGTCTGCCATATTTGTATCTCTAAAATTAACTTATATTATATATTGAGAAATTTTTTTTCGTATTTTCATGGAATGAAAATCTTCTTAACATTTTAAAGTTCTTGTATATTTGAAATTAACAAACAAATTTTCCAAAATCAAAATTGATAAAAGAAATATTAACTTTTTTCTATTTTATTGGTTATTATTTGCATTTTCGTATTTTTTTTAATTATGTTACAGTGGTAGGCGATTATTTCAATACAATGAAGATGACTTTCGATTCCAATTTCGATATAAATCAAGCTGTTTAATAGCATTGAAGCACATAAACTATAGAAGTCAAGAGAAGCTATTAAATTAAAAAAGCTTCTTTTTGGTTATTTTATAACTTTTTAGTTCACGCTGTTGAATTAGCGATAGAGTGTTCTCTGTGTGATGAATCCTTCAGTTCGTTGACTTTACTCAAAAAGCATGAACAGGAAGAGTCAAAATATTTTTTTTCTGAAAAATAATCCTCCCACCCCCAGGATGTTGAGAACACACTTTTCTTTATCCGAAATAAATTTTGACTCTGAACTAGAGTTACCATCAAAGTCTAGTTCATATTTTTGTTAATTTCTCCTTTTATTCTTTAAAGACGGAAATACGCTAGTGATTTTTAGAGAGAAACCACAAATGAAAATTAACAGTTTAAATAAACAAAAACCCTGATATCTATTGCATGCTTAATCAGTCAAAACTTTCAAGGGTACCATTGTAAATCTTTGCATGGAGATTCACTTCATGAAATTTCCATTACAGTCCCTTTAACCCAACTGTCTAGAGAGGTGCTAGGAATGCATCTGAAGACGAGAAATTATGAGCCGGGAGTGGTTTGACACGTTTTTGTGAGTGTTAACTCGGGTTTAATCCTCCATTGAAATGGATTAAAAGGATTAAAAACATAATAAAACATCATGATTTACTGACGCGTTCTATTTGCTGGTAATCTAGTTCAGTCTTGTTTCCTTAGAACCCCCCCCCCCTGCATTTCATATTTCATATTATTAAGTTAACCTTTTAGAGATATTTACATAAATGAAATACAAAATTATTTTGACGATTGTATTAAGAAAAAAATCGCACTGTTAAAGTTTATAAATGTGTTGCTTATGCCAAAAAAATCTTTAAGATATGTGCAATTATACAATATATCTAATCTAATTTTAATGGGATTTTAAACTTAATTTTTAAGTGACCTCCATTTAAAGAGACAAATGTCCGATAAACAACGTTATTCTTAAAACCTTAATCTGGGCAATTCTAGCTTAAAAAGTGTTCAATTCTGATCATTTCTACATCATTTTCCTGCAGCAGCAACAAGCAAGTCACTTCTGTAGAGATACAACATTTGAAAATAATTAGTATTTAAATTCATAACATGGATATATGATGAATACTTGATCAGACCGTTGTACCGTTGTGAATCGGATACGCCACTCTGTCAATGAAGGGTTATTTGAAATTGCGTTTACAGACCCTTTTAAAAACTAAAAGCACGTAGTAGCACACTAATGTAAGCAAAACATCATTTTTATATATGTAAGTCCTTCTCAACTTAGATTTGTTAAACCCAGAAAAGAACATTCCCGTGGTTATATTATGTTCCTCAATAAATATCAGAGGCATATCGGTCGAGGGGTTCCTGAGTTATGATCGGACATACAAACCAACAAAGAGACCAACAGAGATTATTTATAACTTTATATAAACAGATCGAATGTTTATTTACAGGTCGAGGAGCGTAAAATATGTGAGGTGTGTAGTAAAGTTTGCCTAACTATTGGAAATCTGAATGTACACATGAGAACTCACTGCCTGGATAAACCGTATTCTTGTAAACTCTGTGATAAAACCTTCAAGTGGAATAGTAGTTTAAACACGCACATACAGTCAGCTCACAGCCAACAAGGATTTTTTAAGGAAATTAACTTCAGACTTTTTACTTATTATGATTTAACAAAGTAAACAAAAATTAAAAGTTGTTAAACCATTATTTAATTTTTAGCAATTGAGGGTTAATAATTAAAAAGCAACCCTGTTTCTCTCAAAATCAATTAACTGCCTGGCCATTCGTTTCATTTATTATAATTTGGTAGTTCAAAGTTTTTGTTTTTATGTGTTTGTCCAAAATGAAAAACTAAAAAATAAACTATTTCTAGTTTAGGAAAACATCAAATATACCTCATCTAGAAAAGAAAAGGCAAATAATTAAAAAAATTAAATGGATTTATTAAAAAGTTTTAACTTAAAGTTGAATTGTTCAGTGCACTGTATGCGGACGAATGTTCAAGGATAAAGCAAATCTCCGTAAACATGAATTCACACACTCCCTCGCCAAACCATTCTCCTGCTCCGTCTGTCTCAAGGGGTTTATCAGGAAGGATCTACATGCCAGGCATCAAGAACATTGCTCTTTATAAACACCATTGTGCTCTTATACGTACATGTGTTGACAAATGGCAAGCTAAACTAAGAGCTTTTATATGTGTTCGATCTCAAAGTCCAGAAAATATTAGATTCAATGTAAATTACCATGAAGTATTTATTATATGTAAATTTAAATTGATAACAAAAGTAACATTTGTTAACTTGTATCCACAGATTAAAAGAATTTATTGTGAAACCGAAAATTAAATGTGAATTTTCAGATTCAAAATGACGATTATTCTCGCTCTTTAGAACCTTTCTAAACACAGCATCAAGATGAGAAAGAGAAGGAAAAAGATTTCTCCGACAGTTCTGGAGATAAAATCCGAACCATGTGACCATGAATCTCTTGTAGAAAGTGAACCAAAGACATTGTTAAAAATTGAGAAAGAGGAATTTTCTGAAGATGGAAAAGAGAATATTAATCTTCTTCTAACAGAAGGAATCCTCGGGAACGGGAATCCTTGCAGTACAGATATTCCAGATTCCCTGCAGTTTCACGATTCCACATTTGCACATTCCATATTCTCATTGGAAATTCCTGCTGCTAAATCATTGTATTTTCCCCCTAACATAATAACTCCGGATAAATCTAGTTTTCAAAAAACCCAAAGTGTCCGTGAGATTCCGCCCCTGCTTCCTTTAACTCCACCCCCTGTAACTTCAGGCTGTGATAACTCCTCCCTGCACAGAATGAGGATGAAAATGAAACTACGGACTGATACAAGGATACATTTAAGATTTTGCATAGAGAAACCGTCCGACATGCCGGCAGAAATCTGGGATACAATTATCAAGCTCCAGTTATCTGTAGGTAGGAAGCAACCAGACGTAATAAAGTTTTTCACACATACAATTTTAGAAGAGTTAATAAATTAAAATCAAAGGGACTTTCGTCTGTCATTATTTATTTAAATATGGGCATTTCTTATTTACAACAGTTATCTGATCAATATAGTGTGATATCCTAGTTTATGTAGCTTGAAATGTATTTAATTCTGATAAATTGATAGATAAATATCAAATAGATACACTTAGTTGATCAGACAAAGCTTTAAATTCTGCCGTTGTGACTTGCTATTCGCTTCTATATGAAATAAGCAAAAGTAAGTTTTATTTCTAGAACGTTTTTACTTTCTTAATAATATTAAATGAATTATGACTCCTGATGCATGGTTTTTTGGAAACAAGATTTATAGTTTTCTGCATTATTTATAGAAATTAATTCATTTACGAGTATTTTACGAATTGAATTTTTATTGGTCATATGTCTTTGACCGGTTCTTAGATTCTTGTATTCTAGAGGATAAGCTTGAGGAAGGTTTGCTGCGTGTATATAATGAAAATGAGGTTGAAACAAAACGACATTTCTCCTGTTTTGGATGTTCTTTCAGAGCTGCCAGACTTAGTCAGATCTCTCAACATTTAGACCTTCAGGTACTATCCAGAGCAAGAAGAGGTCATTTTTCCCCCAATTTTTTCAGGGGTTTATTCGATGAATGTAGGAAAATAGATATATTTTTGGGGTGAACAATATGAAAAAGGATGAAAAATATTGCTTTGTGATATCCAATTTTTATTTGTTTTTCCGCAGATTTTTTAAAATTATTTTTTCCTCACACTCGTAGCAAGAATTCATTCACGAGTTATTTACCATGGATAGCGAGAGAAATAGTTGAGCCACATACCGCCGGTTCAACCAGTCAAGCCGAAGAGAAGTCTCGCAATTTAGTTAGTTCAGCTACTACTTTTATCAATAAATCAAGGGGTCAAACATTTTGATTGAAAATTAAGCTTAAAAAAAGAATTTGTTTTCAGAGGGTCAGCTTGGTTGAATATGAGTGCAAGCAATGCTTATTTGTAAACCCATCCAGGTAATTATATATAAACAAACAAACAAATATATATAATATATATAAACAAGCAAACAAACAGGAAGATTACCCGCCCACACTTTTCCATTGAGACCGTCAGGTTAAAAGTCGTGTCACTCGAATGAAACCTTTTGCAGTAGATACATCCATGTCTAGAGATATCATAACAACCAATTTTAAAATCTGCACTGCGTGTTAAGATGGTTAAAAATCACCTTTTTATTTTCGCGGATTTTCTCACTTTTTTACAAGAAATAAATCAACAATGTATCCGAATGCATTTAATGCCAGTTAGTTTGTTTGCTTGTCCGATGACCGCCGACATGTTCTTTAATAGCTTGGTATAAAAATACTACAATGTGTGGGTTGAATTCAGTTAAATTTTATTGAGAAAGCTTAATTTCCAGACATAGCTGGGTTTCCAAGCTATTTAATCAAATAAAATTGAGAATTTATTTAAGATGTGTATTAAACCAACATATGAAGAACCATCAGCTGGACCCGGATTACAGGAAGAGTATTAAAGGAGGTAATAATCATTTCAACACTTTCAGAATTTGAAATCTATATTTTGAAAATTTAAACGCATTTTTAAGGAGGAGTAAGTAATGTCGAATAATGTCAAAAGAGTTAAAAATAAATTTTGTTAAAATTTGTATAGATATAAACTGTTCTTGTTCTGTAAATTATGCTAAATATTGTTCTAAATATATTTATCATGTAAAATAAACCCAAACTAAAGAAATCTAAATGTGCTTCAGACTCTCAAACTAAGACAGATTATCGAACTATAGACAGATTATAAAACCTTGCTTGCCTTTGCGCATTTGAAAAATCCCGACCCCGACCCCCATTCATACCCCCCCCCCCCCCGAAAATAAGTTTCCCCGGGTGTCCGGTGTATGTTTGTTGTTATGTACAATGTAAAATGTACTGCACATCTAATTGCATACCTTTTAAACCTTTATTCCGTATCAGCGTATATACTAAAAATATAATAATGGACCAACCACCCCCAGGATGTTGAGAACACACTTTTCTTTATCCGAAATAAATTTTGACTCTGAACTAGAGTTACCATCAAAGTCTAGTTCTCTGTCCAGTATGTGGAAGATCCATAACAAAGGTTTGTAAACAAAAATTAAAAGTGAAGATTTTTTTTTTTTTTTTTTTTACTTGTAGACTTGTAGACTTGTAGTCTTGTAGTCTTGTAGACTTGTAGTCTTGTAGACTTGTAGACTTGTAGACTTGTAGACTTGTAGACTTGTAGACTTGTAGGCTTGTATACTTGTAGACGTGTATACTTGTAGACTTGTAGTCTTGTAGACTTGTAGTCTTGTAGACTTGTAGACTTGTATACTTGTAGACTTGTATACTTGTAGACTTGTAGTCTTGTAGACTTGTAGACTTGTAGACTTGTAGACTTGTAGACTTGTAGTCTTGTAGACTTGTAGTCTTGTAGACTTGTAGACTTGTAGACTTGTAGACTTGTAGACTTGTAGACTTTTGACTTTCATTATTTATATATTCTAGGTTTGTTCTGTACACATTGTAGATACAATGTAAGATGCAGGAGTTATCATGCACACAAGGAACTCATACATACACCCCTCATCCAGGCACACTTGCAGGACGAACATTTAATCCATTGGAGGGAGTGGTTTCATGGCAAATAGTGAGGAGTACATAAATCATTGGAGGGAGTGGTTTCATGGCAAATAGTGAGGAGTACTTAAATCATTGGAGGGAGTGGTTTCATGGCAAATAGTGAGGAGTACATAAATCATTGGAGGGAGTGGTTTCATGGCAAATAGTGAGAAGTACATAAATCATTGGAGGGAGTGGTTTCGTGGCAAATAGTTAGGATTACATAAATCATTGGAGGGAGTGGTTTCATGAAAAATAGTGAGGAGTACATAAATAATTGGAGGGAGTGGTTTTCATAGCAAATAGTGAAAAGTAAATACACCACGGGAAGGAGTGATTTCGTGGTTAATAGTAAGGAGTAAATATACTGCACTTGCGGGAGTGTTTCATGGTAAAAATATGGCATAATATATAATACTCCAATGTGAATGAAATGAGCCATAAAATGATGAATCAATTTTTGAGAGAGAAGTGATAAGTATTTTGTGTTCTCTTTCTACCTTAAAAATTATAAACTATTCCAAATAGAAAGCGTAATTAACTTAGCCAATCAATGTTCTATGGCGGTTACCGAACAACAATGTGCTGGTAAATTAATTTGTCTTGATTTGCCACAAATCTGTAAAAAATAATATGCTTTTTTTATTACGTATTGTTTTTTTTATACCAAGATGTGCCTTAAAGCAATATTGTTCTAAGTTTTCATTTTTTTTCTGAATGCTTTTACATGTAATGTTCTAGAAGTTTTTTTATACAAATTAAAATCGTTTAATGGAAACCGTTGAAGTATGATTGTATTACATACAAATAAGATATATATTTTTGATAAAAATAGTTCAATGAATTTTATGTTTTGATAAAAACTTTGTTGTTGTCAATAATACATCTCTCTTATGATATTAATTAACTCGAAAACTGGAACAGAAACTTAACATTCCATTCAAATATTTGTGATTAAAAATATGTACCTTAGAATATATATTTATTATTTCCACATTTATTAAAAGGAGTTTTCGCGAAAAATAGTAAGATGAACCATATATAAATTGTTAAGACCCACAACTTCGGATCGAGGCCTAGGCATCGAAAGAATTTATAGAATGTCGTTTTATAAATCTACTAATTATGGAATGTTCCAGATATTTCGTTTTTTTAATTGAATAGTTAATGTAATATGGAGCTCTTTAAACCTGTTCCCGCAGATTTCATAGCTATTTATTAATTCTTCCAAATACATTTAATAAAATTTTATATTTAAGTAAAACACCCATTTAAAAAAATTGTCAAAGCAATATTTTTGAATTCTCCGAAGTTCTAGGTTAATCTTTATCCGATCTGAGCTGGGAACTTCAGAATTGGATACTTTGAATCCCGATTGCTCAATCTGAAAATCCCATGCGGACACTTAAATTACTTATTAATCCGATCGCTTTCTTTCTCTATTTCTTTTCTCTCTTTCTTTTCTCTCTTTCGTTTCTCTCTTTCTTTCTTTCTTTTCTCTCTTTCTTTTCTCTCTTTCGTTTCTCTCTTTCTTTCTTTCTTTTCTCTCTTTCTTTTTCTCTCTGCCAGTTTCCGACCAAATAGAGTTTTCACCCAATAAATGGCGCGCAAAATTCTAACTTTCCCAGCTTCTCCGTTTGATTGTTCTGGTTTCTCCGAACCGCACTTTTGTTGATACAAACTTACTTAAATTATTTTGAAATTAACAATAAGAGAAGATGAAGCATTGATCTTGATATCAATTCTTAAAGTGTTAAGCTCTGTAAAGTTAATTTGATGTATTTTGTCTTCCACAAATCGAATACTGCGTAACAAAGCAGATCAGTGAACGGCTAAACCGCCCCTGATAACATGTTTTTTTTTAAGTTCACGGCCAATGTAAACATTTAGAAATTAAAATATTTGAATTCTGTGTCTATATGCTTGATCCGTTATACTAAACATCTGTTTCTTAAGAAATATTAAAGAGGTTAGAAAAAACATGTTTAAAATCTGAATTAAAGGGACTGTAAGCGTAATTTAAAGTGACCATTCATGCAAAGATGCCGATCGGGCATTGCTGTCTTTGCATAATTGACAATTTAGATTACGCTTTTAGTCCCTTAAAGTGTACTTATGTGATAATTTTGTATATTTGCCGATAATTTCTTTATCCTCGACGAATAATGATTTGGGAGAAAATCTAGTTTTTCGTGAACACTTCCTTTAATATGCTCTGAGATGAAACACTTGCCTGTAATTTATAAAGATATTGATATGTGCCTTTACAATATACAGTATTAATAATTGTTTTTTATGTAATGAGATATTAGAATTTGATCTTGAATTGAAATACATGTTTTTAATGCAAATTATTTTAAAATTTAATGCATTCATGTTATGTTACGTCTGGGGAAACTTCTGATTTAGAAATTCAGAATGCACTTTTTGGAAGTTAAAACAAATCCAAATACTGCATAGATGGATCGGTTTCAACCAGTCATTTTTCATATTTTGAGGATTAAAATTTAATTTAGTAAATGAAAAGTGCTTGCTCATTTCACTGCAAAAGTTTCTCATAACCAGTTTTACATGTTATTTGATTTTTGATTTGAAAGGATTTAAAAAAAGTTATCGGGGTTTGTTCTGAGAGTATTTATTCTATATGAAGTATGAGACACATTAAATTAAGGATGATCATTTTTGGTAAGAAAAAGAGAGTCTTAAAAAGAAAAAATAATTTACTAATTTTTGGGATTTTTTTATGAACCAGCTGCGTGCCATGGTGAGACGGAAGCTACCGACCTATAGCAGTGTTCACCGGGATGTAAAAATTAATTATTTTTAGGACAGAGTCCTTGTCTTTTTGCTTTTATAGTAATAGTTTACATAAAAAGATTTAAAACTTTTTAGACTTAACTAACTGTTAACCTCTTGCGTCCTACTTATCTCTGTGTTTGAGACGTGGACGTGTAAATTTTAAGATTTTATTTTAAAACAAATAAATACACGCGCAATTTCAGTCATAACTCTTGTACATGAAGTCAAGTTTAAAACTTGAAATTCTCAAGTTTTGCCATTTTAGATCGCACCCCATCATAGTGGGTTATCAATACTAATGACGAAATTGTTTGTTTGAGATGATTTTTTGTAATATCTATCTGAGATAAGAAGTATTGCAGGATGCGATTTTATTTTAAGTAACTTCAGAGGCTTTAGAAACTTGTCAGTTTTAAATTGTTATACCGTTGTGTATTATTGAAACAATCTGTTTAAAATCTAGACATTTATTACAGAACACAATTTTTATTTAGAATGCTTGTTGGAAGTTTGTTATTATTTTGTTTATTATTGTGTACTGCAGACGGAGATTCTTCGTGCGAGCATGCAACAACACCCAAGGAGCAGAAAGCATTAAAAACAAGGAATCAAGTTCTAAACAAATCATACAGGGTGTCTCACTAAAAGACGACTTGAAGGTTGTTGTTGATCTTAGTTGTTGTATCAAAAAAAAAACTTTGCACTTTTTGTAAAGCAAAAGCCGTTTAATTTTTTTTAAGCGACTTTTGTCTTTGTCGTCTCTGAGCTGTTTTAGAAACGACTATACAGATTATATTTTTCTGTAAGAAAATGAACCTGCATGAACCCCTTTAATTTAAAAAATATTAAATGGTCATTTTCAGTCAAATAGAAACACGTATTTATAGATTGAATTTAAATTCGTATTTTCTTTGATACACTAGATTCGAAATTGCTACTCAATATTTAGTTGAAATGATTGAAAAATTCTTGAATTATTCTTCTCATTGCTGTGGTCTTGTTTTTTAATTACTGCAACTGATAAAAGTTATTTACAATATTTCTGAAAATGTTAAAGCCAGAAAACCCGATGACATTTAAAATTTTTGTGTCCAGTGCACTACAGAACTCTTTATGTATTAAATTGAATCTTCCAAGATAATGGTTATGTACACTGTACATGCACAGAAATCTATTTGTATTTACTGGATGTCCTCCTAATATTTAATGCTTATGTACAGAAATATGTATGTACTGGATGTCCTAATTATTTAATGCTTATGTACACGGTACAAAAAACTTTATGTACTGGATGTCCTCCTAATTTATTTAATGCTTATGTACACTGTACAGAAATCTTTATGTACTGGATGTCCTCCTAATATTTAATGCTTTTGTGCACTGTACAGGAATCTGTATGTACTGGATGTTCTAATTTATTTAATGCTTATGTACATAGTACAGAAATCTGTATGTACTGGATGTTCTAATTTATTTAATGCTTATGTGCACTGTACAGGAATCTTTATGTACTGGATGTCCTCCAACATTTAATGGCCTCCCTTGTGCCTCCACTACACGATACAACGATATGACTAAGGTGCACGTCCAATTTAAATAAAATATATTTTATTAAGGGATACCTTTTTTCTATATGAGGAAGAGAGCTCAGTCTCTTTTATCTTCTACATTTGGCTGTGTTTAAAGAGTTTAAATGTAGAATACGCTTTATTCTAATTGAGTGAAAAATTTGGTATATTAGTTACAATAAAGTTTCTTAACAATCAATAAAAAAACTTAAAGTATTGGTATTTTAAAAATGTGATCTGCAAAATAAATTATGGTCCCACATTTTGATTTGTTTTCCAGATCTTCAGGGTTACCCACAAAGGATGGAACTCTAAAGACGACTTAAAACTGAAAATAAATAACAATCCCGTCAAAATTAAGTTTACAGTTGCAGAGCATCGTGAATATAAGAAAACGAACTATATGAATTCATTACGGTCGTTTCTGAAGTCTCATCCATTGTGACTAAACCTCTATAGTTCCCATGTTAAGATAGTGTTTAAATTTGGTGGAGATTTTGAGAATAATGTCTTAAATTAGAAAATAGTTTTAAAGAACTGTATAGGTAAGTTCAAGTGACCCTATATGTACACTGTACAGATAGGTATGTTCGATTCACAACGCTATCCTTAAAGTATTTTTCTGATCAATAACGAATGAGGTATCCAGTATTCATGTTTTTCTCTTTGAAAAATTACTATTTTCATTTGTTATTTCTCAAATCTAAAGGACAATTGTGTATTTCATGGAATTTATCATTCAGAAAAACTACGATACCAACAAGGTTATAATGCAGTTTACTGTCTCTGGGCGGTAATGTAAACACAAGACGGATGTCGAAGCCTGACATGGGATCCAACTTTCACATAAAAAATCAATGAAATATTCTGGTCATAGGAAACTATTATGTGAATTATCAAAATTATCAAAATTAAATGCTATTATCCTCCTCGGATATTAAACGAACACTGATGCATTTTTTATTGTTTACAAACACCGCCCAGAGAGAACTGGTTTCAATATGTACGCAGAATTTACGCAACTGCAATCAACTTTCCTTGCATTATAACCTTGGATACCCCATTATCAATAAAAAAGACTTTAAGGACCATTGTAAATCAGAAATATCACTTTTTAATGGAGGTTTATTAAAAAAAGGGTAGACTACGCTTGGATACAAACAAAATACTTTTTATAAGAACTTTGTTGCTCCTGAGCTTTATATCATAATACAGCTAATTTCTATGCACATAATACAATATACATATATACAGAATAATTATATATTTAAGGTTTCAATCATTTTGCTTTCAATAATATTATGTGATACAAATTCAAATTCACTATTACAAAATATTTCTGACTTTTATAAACGTTCTTCATAATTTTAAAGTTTTTTTAAAGTTTACAGGGTACCGTTGTGAATGGGGTATGGACCTCTTTAATTTTGGAGGGTCACATGAAATTACAACTATGCTGATGCAGTCTCTTTAACATATAATATATATCAACACTTCTCACTGTAGGGTCCGACCGCGCCTTTGCTGTTGTTATAAAAACGTCAAATCTCAACGTGCTTGTTTCTACCTTAAATTTCAAAGGAGTTTAAAGAAAATTCTAATTGATTTGACAACAACAGTGCACTGCAAACTAGACAGAAGGAGAAGGTCAAATTTGTGCGACATTTACTGCATAACTTTTTGACCTCGTAGCGCCTCTAGTAGGACACAAGCAAATTTATTTGTTCTTCCCTGTACCTCAACAAAAATAGGAGTTATGATTAAAAACATAAAATATTATGATCTTACGTGAAATTTACTTTAGTTTGGCGTTATTGGTTTTGTTTCTATTGGGTTGTTTTCACACATTGTTTGTTAAAGGGAGCTTGTGGATGTGGAGATGATATTTCATGTTGTAGGGAGCTTGTGGATGTGGAGATGATATTTCTTGTTGAAGGGAGCTTGTGGATATGGGGATGATATTTCTTGTTTAAGGGAGCTTATAGATGTGGGGATGATATTTCTTGTTGTAGGGAGCTTGTGGATGTGGGGATGATATTTCTTGTTGTGAAGGGAGCTTGTGGATGTGGAGATGATGTTTCTTGTTGTGAAGAGAGCTTGTGGATGTGGAGATGATATTTCTTGTTGGAGGGAGCTTGTGGATGTGCAGATGATATTTCTTGTTGTAGAGAGCTTGTGGATGTGGAGATGATATTTCTTGTTGAAGGGAGCTTGTGGATGTGGAGATGATATTTCTTATTGAAGGGAGCTTGTGGATGTGGAGATGATATTTCTTGTTGTAGGGAGCTTGTGGATGTGGGGATGATATTTCTTGTTGTAGGGAGCTTGTGGATGAGGGGATAATATATCCTGTTGTATGTAGGGAGCTTGTGGATGTGGGGATGAACCTAATCCTCCGGATTTCTGGACAAAATCGAAATATGTTTCCGCAGGTTAATCCAACTGAGTTCTGGTTACAAGCTAAAATTTTCTAGTTCCAATATCTTTGCAACCTGGTAGTGTAAACTTTTTATATTTTAAACTTAGACTATTTGATCTAAAAGAATTTATAGGTTGATTGAAATCAATAAGGTCTTCATCATGGGGTTATTAATCATAATCAGGAAGACCCGGAATTATTAGTTTACAGGCGACTTTACATAAATATCTCTGGCAATTATTAATGCTCTAAAAAGTCAGAAAACATTTCGGAACAGGCAGGACTAGAGCTATTTTGTGATTATTGTTTCATCAATCATATTTGTAAAATCAGGTCATGTAAAAACGTCTGATAAATTTTACATTAATTCAAGGTCTTTTTAGCTGATGGGACTGGAAAAAAATAGGGATTAAAAATCATAGTTTGTGACTAGAACTCAGTTATGTAATGATGGATACAAGTATAAAAGGATAAAACAATTGGATAAAAGGAGAGGTGCCATTTTTTTATCAAACTTTTTACTGAACAATAAGGATGAAAAGAAATGGGATTTTACCTTTCTATTTGTCTTTAGATTGAGCCAAAATATTTTCTTTTTTAGTAAAATTGGCATTGATTTCATATTCCTTATTAATTTTTTTTGGGGAATTATTTTACAAGTTTAGAAGGCGATAAGTAAAATTGCTATAATTGCTTTTTCGGTTTAAAAGTATTTTTGAAACTTGAGATGGATCAAAATAACAATTATATTGAAAATTAGAATACCCCAAATTGCCTTTCTACCATAAAAATAAGGCCTTTTAAGATAAAAAATAAAGAAAGTACTTAATTTTTTGTTATGTTAGTTTAACATGTTTTTCTGTGAACTATTTGTTAAAAAATTTCACAATACATAACGATAACACGTAAACAAACGATGGATTAAAAGAATTAATTAAATTTACAAAATAGGGAACGCAATGCTGATGGACCCTGAGGACCCCTTGAACTCCTGGTGTCCACAAAACTGTGGAAGATGTTTCCAACTGTGTTCAACTGGAGGAACTACTAATGTAAAACGTTTCCCTTCAAGAGCAAAGTTTACACAACTATAATTACACAAAACAACATGGATTTCAAGCCAGAATGTTTAAAACGTTCATTTGCGGGTAGTTATAGTCAATTTCGCAGATTTTCTCTTTTCTTCAACTAGGACTTCTACTTCAAGCAAGTTAAACGAACATTTTTTCCATAATTTAGTTTATTGTTTTGTGGGACAGGGTATGTATATTTAGGGCGTATCCCCTGAACCTGGAATCTGTATTGTTACCATGCTGGAGAATAGGTGTGGGGATGGTTACCTCGAGGATAATGGTGATTTTTTTTTATTATTTATTTACAGGTAGGATACCTTTCGCAAAAATTTTGTGAAATTTTTGCATGAAGCGCAAATTTGTTAATTTTCTTGGCTAAATTCATCAGTACATATTCATGCAGAAGACTAATGAACCACTGTGGTTCGTAAAACTCTAACAGTTTCACCTCCAAGGAACATTTTAACCGATTATAATATTTGCCGATGGGGTAGATGTCGGGTAAATATTCTGGTCTTTATATGTTCCACATCGGTTTGTACTGTACTGTACTGTACTGTACTGTACTGTACTGTACTGTTCTGTACTGTACTGTACTGTACTGTACTGTACTGTACTGTACTGCACTGTACTGTATTTTACTGTACTGTACTGTACTGTACTGTATTGTACAGTAGTGTACTGTACTGCCCAGGACCCTACCTGTGTGGACAGGAGTTATCTCCCTGGCGATGTATAGAGGATCCTGCAGCTTGCCAGGCAAATAAAGGTGATAAAGAGACTGTAGACGTAATTTCAAGTGACCTATTAAAAAGAGGGGCATCCGCGATTCACAACAGTACCCTTTAAACCATTATCTGATCTCAAGTTTCCAGCTCTTTATTCCTCTATAAATGGATCGAGTCACTTGAATTTACGTCTACAGTCCCTGTAATCAAATTGAATAATAAAGTAGTAATCACGCAGAGTGAGCCTTAAAATATTATATACAGTGAAACCCTTATTAACGAATACATCGAAAGAATTCTTCAAATGTCGTATTCTTCACTTTCTGATAAAATGGAATGTTGCAGATATTTAGTTTTTTTAATTAAATGATTATATGGAACTCTTTAAAACTGTTCCCGCATATTCATGGCTATTTATTTATTTTTGCTTCTACTGAAATTTACGTAATATAGTATAAAACTAATTGAAAAATTGTCAAGACGACATTTGATAAATTCTTCCGATGTATTCGTTATTAAGGGTTTCACTGTAGTAAAGTCATCAAATATTTTTAAATATAGATCCACTTCTAGGATAGATTTCAGAATTCTGTTATATGTCTAAAATATAATGTTTTATGTCTTATAAAATATTATGTTTTAAATCTGTTTTTACTAAAATACTATGTTTTATGTCTAAAATATGTTTAAGATATCAAATTTTTTTGTCTTAAATATTACGTTTTTGTCTAAAATTTTATATTTATGTCTAAATTTTGTACTTTTGTCTAAAATATCATGTCTAAAATTTTATACTTATGCCTAAAATAATTTATTTATGTCTAAATTATTATGTGTGTATCAGCTACGAATATGTTTGGGTATCCGGCACACTTTGATCTTCAGGATGCTAACCTCCAGGTACTAATATATCAGGGTTGGACAAACTAAATCAAGACGGCATTGCATTTCTTAGATAGGACCTTAATTAAAAAAGAACATCTCATAGATAGGATCCATGAGAAATATAAAGAATTGTCCAAAATTGTTGTAATAGTAGACAAATCAGATTGTCCTTCAAATTTCCATTGCATTTTTTTTATGTCTTGAGTCCGAATTTAATGAATTTGAGCCGCGTCTCAAATCCCCCAAAACCGGTTTCAATTGAGCGCCGGCTTAAATCTTGAAAGATTGAATACGATTTTAAGTGGAACCAACCATATTTCTGCCACGGCTTAAATTTAAGCCGCAGCTCAAATTCTTTAAATTCGGCTTTTGGACACATAAATTATTGAATATTATACATTTTAAATACACTAGTGACCAAAAACTAAATCTAAACTTTTAATCGAATTCTAGGTTATTTTTTCAGAATTCCAGGTTATTATTTAAATTATTCTCCGGGAAGGATTTAATGAGGATTATTAAAACTTTTTCCTTGTTCCCTTGTTCAAAGTTAAATACTTGGATCAAGATGCGTTCTCAGGGCTATTGAGGTTCAGACCTTCCCCCTGAATTAGTGAAATCTATTGTTTTAGAGGAGTCTTCAGGTTCCACGAGTGTAAGTCCCCCCCCTTTAAGAAAATATATTTCTTTATATTAAGACATGTTGGATTTTAACCTATTTTAACACTAAATTATAGCCTATAAACCATTGCTCAGTAAAAATGCATGTTTCCATTTATAATCACAGTTCTTACAACCTATGGTTTATGTGGTTTTTTATTACATATGTTTTGGGGCCTACTGTAAACTCCGCTTCATGTTGAAGTACCAGATTGACTTTAAGGACTCCGGGGTAACTATGTCATAAGACTATAAAGTATAAACGGATGAAACGGGACGGTATACCAAATGGATCATCTCTTTCTTGTGAGATTTGTATGCAATTTTCGACAACACGTTGTCGCTCCGGACAACAATTAATTTGAAAAGTAAATACAATTAAATAGAGGTGTTTATGTAGGTTACGAATGGTCTTGGTTGGGATAATGTAGAAGTAACATTTGTGGAGGTTTCTTGTGCACAAGGAGACTTCGGAGACTGGAATACAGATTGTTATTGTCCTCATGCACTGTAAATATTGAATAAATTTCATGATCCCTGTACGCCTTTTTCCATGTATTTCCTGTATCCTTGTATCCCTAGCTGTGCACCTTTATTCCTGTATCCCTGTATCCCTGTACCCCTAAATGTCTTTACCCTTCTACCCCTGAAAACTTTATCCCCTGTGTCACACTGTTTCTCTTAAACATTGTATCACTGTAATCCTGTATCCTGAAATCCTGCACCACATTCTATATATATTCCTGAATACCAATGTATGCCAGTATCACAGTTACCCTGTGTTCAGGGATCCATGTGCCCCTGTATCCGGAATCCCTGTATCCCTGCAGTCCCTGTATCCCCGTATCCCTGTATTCCTGTATCCCTGTATCCCTGAATTCACGTATCCCTGTATTCATGTATCCCTGTATCACTGTATCCCTGTATCCCTGCATCCCTGTATCCATGTATTCCTGTATCCCTGTATCCCTGTATTCCCGTATTTCTGTATCCCTGTATCCCTGTATCCCTGTATCTCTGTAACCTTGTATCCCTGTATTCCTGTATCCCTGTATCCCTGTATCCCTGTATCTCTGTATCCCTGTATCCATGTATTCCTGTACCTCTGTATCCCTGTATCCCTGTATCCCTGTATCTCTGTATCCCTGTATCCCTGTATTCCTGTATCCCTGTATCCCTGTATCCTTTTATCCCTGTATCCCTGTATCTCTGTATCCCTGTATCCCTGTACCTCTGTATCCCTGTACCCATGTATCCCTGTATCCCTGTATCCCTGTATCCCTGTATCCCTGTATCCCTGTATCCCTGTATCCCTGTATCTCTGTATCCCTGTATCCCTGTATTTCTGTATCCCTGTATCCTTGTATCCCTGTATTCCTGTATCCCTGTATCTCTGTATCCCTGTATCCTTGTATCCCTGTATCCCTGTATCCCTGTATCCCTGTATCCCTGAATGTTTGACCAGTAGATTAAATAAATGATTGAATAATATTACAGAGGATTATTGCAAGGGAGGAGAAGGGGTAAAGGGGTTCAAGTGTTGTCCAAGGGAAATGAAAGGAAAGAAATAAGGGGTGTGAAGGGAAGGGAGAGGGATTAAATGACAATTAAAGGGGTTGTTCTCATATTTTAAAATAGCTCAATTTGGCTATAACGAAATAAAAATTGTCAATTAAAATTGCAATTTTTCTGGGCCTGCCCTCTGATACATGTTTGAGTGGAAAGATTTCCTCTCTCCACTTTCTAGACTGTACACTATGCATGGTGAATGAAAGATGAGAACCCAGACTACACAGACACATACACTCTACCTGGGTAGGCTGAGCAGGCCTATAGTGTCCTGGCACGACATGCTACGGTTCCATGTAATGGTTTTTGACTTACATGTAACGGCCACTTGTTGCATTCAGGGGTTAAATTTTACAACTTTTAAAGAAATACTCCAACTTTAAACATATAACATAAAGTTTATGAATATTGTCTATTTTTAAAGATTTTGCATTTCCTATTAAAAGGATCCTAAAATATCCCTGAATACAGATGTCTCCTGATTGGTCGTGTACAGTAATTGTACACAATAGAACATGCTGTAGAAAATATCGCAAATTATAGGTGTTAATCGATCTCTGTAACTCTTTTCTCTGGATGAAAATTAATGAAAGGAAGGTACACAGATTAATAACAACACAAATAGAACACTAGATGTGGTCTTTTCAAGATTTAGGGTTTTTCGTTCAGATTGAGGCAGGGCCCAATGGAGTTACGCGCAGTCTGCGTTTAACAGGCTCTCTCTGTGTCTTATTCAACGCAGCATGCGCGTAACTCCTTTTGGCTTCTGCCTCAGATCAGGGTTATTGTGAACGAAAAACCTCTAAATCTTGAAAAAAACGACATCTAGTGTTCTATCTGTGTTGTTTTTAGTCTATGGGAAGGTAAATCAGGAATAAAAATAGAAAAATACTTCTTCATTGTAGAATGTATAAGGGGTGCACGTTTAAAAGATAAAGAATGAAACTTCAGAGACGTACGTCACTGTACGGAATTTTATTGTTTCTTTACTTATATCCAACTGTAAACTTGTTTAGTTTTTTATCAAAGCATTAATTAAGCCGTTAGATATTTGAGGCAGTAGGCTTAAATCAAACTTGGAATCATCAAGGTCGTCTTTACAGTATCAGTCTGTCTGCGTATTTCTGTTTCTTATTTTCTGCACATATTGTTAACGTATTCTTGAATATACTTTTTTTCTATGTTTATTTATATTGATATTACAAAGAGCTACAATAAACAATATTACTGGTATATCATTACAGATTTTAAGATATAATATAAAATGTAGATTACGACTCCATCTAATTCTTAATTAAACTATACCATACTATAAGGTATTGTGTCTATTAGACTTTACTTCACTTCTTTAAAATTCTGATTTATTTTCACTATTATAATTTGAACTGTGTTTTTCAAGGATGCCTAGAATTGGTCTTTTTATAACTGTATTTATGTTGCCTAGAATTGCTCTTGCCAAGGTTTCCTAAAACTACGCTCAGATGTGTCAAGGCTGCCTAGGCTTGTAAGTGTACAAGGTTTAACTGCAATGAGCCATAGATGTTCAAGGTTGCCTAAAATTGTTCTAGGCTACCGATAACAGCATGAAGGTTTTCAAGGTTTCCGTGAACTGCATTGAGGTTTGTCAAGGCTGCCTAAAACTATATGAAGGCGTGTCAAAGCTGCCTAGAACTGAACGAAGGTGTGTCAAGGCTGCCTAGAACTGAACGAAAGTGTGTCAAGGTCTGCCTAGAACTGCGCGAATGTGTGTCAAGGCTACCTAGAAATGCATGGAGGTGTGTCAAGGCTGTCTTTAACTCCATGGAGGTGTGTCAAGGTTGCCTAGAACTGCATGTGGAGGTGTGTCAAGATTGCCTAGAACTACATGAAGGTGTGTCAAGGTTGCCTAGCACTGCATAAAGGTGTTTCAAGGCTGTCTAGCAATTCTTGTAGTTTTTCCAGAACTGCATGAGCTGTTAGTATTCTATTACCAGCCTGGCCCCTTGGATTGATATCCACACATACTTGTTTGATGAACCAAGTTCTGGTTCATTCCTGAAATAAGAACATTTTTTATCTTTTTTCCTAAAATCTATTTATTTCTATTTAATCAGGAGAATATCGTTGTTTTTCTCTTTCTGTCAATTTTTTCCCTTGTCTTTGCCGTACATATTCACAAGGGACTTATTTAGAGAAACCACAATGGAAAATGATACATTTTCAGATAGAAAAGGAATTCAGTCTTAGGCACAAACTCTGATTTTCTAATCCCTATATCTTTGTAGCCCGATGTGGTAAACCTTAGATATTTCAAACTATGAATTCTCAAATATTAAATAATCAAAGTTTGAAATATCAAAAGTTTACACCATCTAGTTGCTAAGATATAGGGATTAGAAAATTTGAGCTTGTGGCAAAGACTCAATTCCTTTGCGCAGACAATGGTATCCTTTGTTTATCAAACAAGTAATAACAAAAGTCACTCGAAATAACTCCAAAAGTCCTTTAACGTCAAATACTGTTTGGAGAGGGGGGTTTGAAGAAACGTTTGTGTATTTTTGTTTTTACCTGAGTGCCTGGCAGCATGTGCATACCCCATATGCATGAGAGGGGGAAGGGGTTGTGAAGAGTCAGGTATACCATGTTCTCCTCCTAGTGTTGTACTCTCAGGGAGCGTATATTCTAAACAGATCAATAGTTCAGGAATTATCACTTTGGAGTAAACCATCTTTTTCATGGATTTATTTGGGTTTCCTTTGGATTCAAAGAACCTTTTTTGTTTGGATTAAACTGGCAAAATTTTTGTTTCCGGGATCAAGCAATTTTTAGGATAAAAACTGCTTTTATCTTGATTCAGATAGTGTTTTTTAAAATGTATTTCTTTGGTTTTTCAGATCATCCTAGACTTCTGGTTTTCACTGCAAAGGAATTGAGTCTTTGCCACAAACCCTGATTTTCTAATCCCTATATCTTTGTAAACCAATGTATGTTGACTTATATATTTGAATCTATGAATTCTGTTAGATATAATGATCATAGTTTGAAATATCAAAGGTTTACGCCATCAGGTTGCAAAGATACAAAGATTAGAAAATTTTAGTTTGTGATAAAGACTTAACTTTTTAGCTGGACGAGGTTAACTCAGTTTGAATATTTCCGTCGTCAACATTTGATTATTTTATTTGCATACCTGACTTGACAGACTGGTGGCTTTGGCTCGGTTGGGTTTGGTTACACTGATCATCTGAATCTGATCCAGAGCAAGGTTTACCGTCCTTAACAACAAAATATAAGGTTGGAAAACTCAGAATGTTGGAAAAAAATTTCAAAAACAAATTTTCAAAGAATTAAAGAAATTAGCGCTGATTATAAATTAAATATTTTTATAAAAAAAAATACTACATAATGTACCACTGTTTTGGTATGTAGACTTGGGAAAAACTATTAAATATGTATTCATAATAATTTAACAAATTAAACGTCGTCTTTTATTATACCTTGACAAGAACAGGAACACTGATACGTCTAGGTGATGTGCCACCAGGTTCGGTCATAAGCTTCTCCTTAGCCTGGCGTTTACACTTGTACCGGTGATTTTGGAACCAGATCTTAACCTGAAAAGATGAAAAATCTATTTTGATTAAAAACAATGAAATCATTGTTGTATCACCTAATTATACAAAATTGATAAATATGTTTTTTTGTAGAATAAAATAAAATAAAATAAAATGTATTATAATTCTTTCTCTTGTATAAATATTATGATGATATTGTTATTAGTATTTTCCCCTTTCCCTTTTACAATAGGTACTTCAAAGTACATTAACCGTTGTTTACAATATAGTATAGAACAGTAAACTGTACACCCAGAATTATACACACACATTATTAAAAGTTGAAACCAAGGATATAATGCAAGGAAAGTTATTTCAGAGCAGTACGCATCTTTTTTACTGCAGTGTACTGTCACTGGGTGGTAATGTAAACACAAGACGGATGTTAAAGCCTGACATGGGATCCATCTTTCACATAAATAATCAATGAAATATTCTGGTCATATGAAACTATTATGTGAATTATCAAAATTATCAAAATTCAATGCGTTTAACCTCCTAGGATACTAAACGAACACTGATGCATCTATTCTTGTTTACAAATTCCGTCCAGAGAGAACTGGTTTCAATATGTACGCAGAGTATACGCAACTGCAATTAACTTTCCTTGCATTACATTCTTGGTTGAAACAAAGACAACCGCCGTACCGTCCGTTTATCCTCTACAGGGTGTCCCAATTAACATGGGAATCATGAGAGACGCCCTGAATATCGTCTTTGAATTCCGATAGTTGATAATTGGCATAAAGTGCATCAAAAAAGATTTAACGAATAATGAGCTTTCCAAACTGTAGTCTACTTTCTTTGTATCTTTAGAATTGATACTACAGAATCATATTTACGAAATAATTGCGCTTGGAACAAAGACGATATAAAAGTCGACTTTAAATTCCTATGTTTATTGGGATATACTGTATGTACAAATTAATCAACATAGTTGCCACGAGAAAGGCCCGGTGGTACATTAAATGTACCGGAGTTTGCTAGTACATATTACACACATTTACAGCACAGTATGCACATGTCAGCTGTGTATTACTTGTGTAAAAATATCAATTCAATGCAAATGTTTAAATATTTTTTCTTTCTTTGTGCAAATAAAGCCATGAGTAGTTTCCCTGTGACATTCTAGACGGTATTGGTGTTTGTCTGTGTTTGTGTTTGTATTGTGTTTTTGTCAGGGTTTGTTTGTTAGCTGTCAGTTCATGGTTACCAACTCTCTTTTCTCTTTCACACCCAACCTTCTTTCTCTCTTTCCCCTTCAAACCCTCCAATCACTTTCTTCAGAACCTTCTTTTACTTTTTTTCCGCTTTCTCTTCAAAACCTACATTTTTCTCCCTCCCTCCCCAAACCTTCATTCCTTTCATTTTCTCTTTCTCTTTTTAGCCCATCTTCTTTTCGTTTCCCGTGTACCTTTCTCATTTATCCTAAGCTCCTTTCCCCTTTTCTTTATACTTACTTACTAATCTTTTCTTTAGAAAACCTTCTTTCCATTTTCCATACTCATATTCATTACCTTTCCTCTTTCTTCTTTTTCTTTCCTTTCATATAAAACCTTTCTTTATTTTTATAGATCCTATACTTCGCACTCTTTAACTTTATTAATCAGCTCTACTTCTCCTCCTCCATCCCTTCCTTCTATTTTAAGTCACGCACTCTAAATTACGAAATAAACTAATTTTGGCAGCAAAAGTTGGATAAATCGCTTAAATTCAGTCAAAAATTGCTTATTTGACATCAAAAGTTGGATTAATGCCAAATAAGCGTCGCCAAATCGTTTATTTGGAAACAACAGTTCGATAACTGCCAAATCAGTGATTTTTTCAAATATAAGCGATTTTTGTCGCTAATTTGGCAGCCATCCAACGTTTGCTGCCAAATAAGCGATTTATTTGATTTCGTAATTTTGAGCGCGCTTTCCTCGTTTCTTCTAGATATCCCCTTTTCCCTAGAATTTAACGTATTGCAACCAAGTCTCAAGTGTCCTTTGTCCCCTGTAGCTGTATCTGTGTATACTGTATAGAGACTGTATTAGAAGGTTTAGTTTAGAATATAGAAATGTAGATTAGGTTTTTACAGCTTCGTATGTCTGTCTGTTTTCAGTTATAATAATGCAAAGATTTTCTACTGCGTCTTAAAGGGATTGCACACACATTTTCAAGTGACTGTCATTTCACAACACTACCCTTTAAACCTATGACTGAGCTATTCCGGTTTATTTTTATCTGAAAATAGATAATTTTTTCGCGGATTTCTGCAACAGGAGAGAATTAAATGAATTATAAGAATTAATTACATTCCTAGATAAAAAAACATTGTTTTCACTCTAGTTGTTGCTTAGATGAAGCTTTAAATGGCACCGTTATGTATAAAACATGACCCTCTAAAACTGGAAAGTCACTCCTAAATTATATCTACAGCCCCTTTCAACAAATAGGATAATTATTTAGTCACAATTTCGTTGTTTATTCATGCAAAACTTGGCTTGATTCTGATCTATTTAGAAGTTCTTAATTTTCTCCGTTAATGCAAAATATGTGACACATTATCTGGTTCCTGGTATTGAGTATCCCATGTTATGGCAGGAACAGACCTATCAATTGGTTTCGGCTCCTTCCAACAATTATGCTCGGAGTTTGTATCAGAATGTAAATATTCTGTTCTAGACACCGTCACAAACCCTCCCTCATTTATATTTATCATTATATTCCAATTCAATTTAGACATAAGGAAAAGGGATGTAAAATTACTGTTACGACTTTGTGACCTAGTATATATATGCTCTAGTTTTGAGTTTAAGCCCAAGTACGAGGGGAAACTAAAAAATATTAGAAATTTAAATCTTTTTTGTTCAGTACAATAGTATACCATGTACAATATATATTGTACATAGGTAAATTGTTGTACCCAAGGATTAGGTACACTGTACATACACTAGAACTAGGTGTGAAGTGTAAACCACCAAGATTGTACACATAGGTTCAGATTACAGGCTAAACACCATTCATGCAGTTCAGATCACATTTCAGGCACATCAGCGGCTATCTATCTATCCATCTATATATTATGTATGCCCCCTGGTATGCTCTATTCAAACACCTGTACGCTTAGTATCCACAAAAGGTGAAATTTAAAGGATTATATTTCCAAGTTAAAGGGAAAGTGCAAAGATTTACAAAATAAATCCAAAAACTCATTTTAATTTTTTTTTATGTTTCTATAAAAGATTGAAGATAACCTGGAATTCTTTTTAAAGATTAAATTACGTTTTCTGCATTAGCTGCACAGGATTTGCTTATTTTTCCCAAATCATTTAATAGGTTCTCATAAGATTATTTTAAAATCAAAAGAACAAATTCAACCGTCAAACCCTGTAATAACCAATTTGATGAGAAGTGATTGTCGTCTTCTTTTCTTTTTAAATTTAAAATAGCGCCAAGGACCTTTGTAATTTATAAATATTGTTTCTATAAAAATTATTGTCTGCCTTGATCAACCTATATTGTTTCCTTTCTTTGTATCTCGATCTATATATATATATACATAATCATTTGTTATTCATCTTCTATCTATCTATCTATCTATCTAATCCTTGAATAAACACATTATATTGGTATTACTAAACCCTATACATATAGTATATCCATATTCAGCAGTGAACGCCGTATATATATATATAAAGATAAATATCTTCACCTATATCCCTTTTCCCTACCCCGGCCCCCCTATAGCAAAAAAATTATGCATGGTTCCATTACTGACAAGTTTGAAAAACTGCAATTTTTATTGTTGTATCAAAGCCTTGTTTTTATCTGTTTTATAAACATCCTGTAAGATGGATAGGACTGGATAAGTTCTACCTGTGTTACGTGTAGGGGTAAGATGGATAAGACTGGTCTCTACCTGTGTAGGCGTAAGATGTATAAGACTGGCCTCTACCTGTGTAGGTATAAGATGTATAAGACTGGCCTCTACCTGTGTAGGTGTAAGATGTATAAGACTGGCTAAGTTCTACCTGTGTAGGGGTAAGATGGATAAGACTGGCTAAGTTCTACCTGTGTAGGGGTAAGATGGATAAGACTGGCTAAGTGCTCTCTTTCTGGTGCTGAGAGATATTTCTGTTGTTTAAACCTTCTCTCCAACTCATAAACCTGAACAAGATTAAATCATAAACCTGAACAAGATTAAATCATAAACCTGAACAAGATTAAATCATAAACCTGAACAAGATTAAATTATTATTTTAAAAAAGATATTTTTTATTTGTTTACAAAAAGAATTTTAAAATTAAAAAATGGTTTCAAGATTTCATCTTAAACATTTAGAAGACCTATCGTTGTAATTTCAAGGAACCCTTCATTTAAAGTGGGTCATGTCCAATTCACAATGGTACTTTTAAAACCTTATGTTGATAAAGTTTTTAAATTATATCAATTATATTTTTAATAATTTTGTTATCATTTTTCTTCATTGGAAATGTTTATTGAGTTGACCAAGTCATTTTTCAAGAGAAACCACAATTGAAAATAATCAAATTTCAAATGTTAAAAAATATTTTATCTTAAATCAGAATTTGATAAATATCTAGGAGTCTATTTGACCGCGGATTATTTGGTTGATTAATTTCTAATTTTGTATTCTTTACAGCACAGTGTGGTGTACACTGTAAACAGAGTGTGAAATAGACATTAATCCCCCATAACCCCTGGACAGAATCCCCCCACGACTAGAATCCCCCTCTCTTGTATACATGAAGGACTGGGGAATCCTTGCCAAAGGCCACGCCCTAAACATCCTCAGCACACCTCTTACTCCGCCCTTTGGCTATTCTCACACAATATTACACACTTCTTACACAAGCTAACACACATCGCATGCAATATTGTTTACTCCTTCCTACACAATATTACACACACAATTACAAACCTCTCACATAGGCTTATACGCAACGCACACAATATTACGCACACAAAATCACACAAATCACGAACAATATTCCACAATTCTTACACAAAATTACACAATATTCCAAAATTTTCACACAATATTACACAATTCTCATAAATATTATACAATTCTCGCACAATATTACACAATTCTCATAAATATTACACATTTCTCACACATTATTACACAATCCTCACACAATATTCCACAATTCTCACACAATATTACACAATCCTCACACAATATTACATAATCCTCACAAAATTTTCCACAATTCTCACACGATATTACACAATTCTCACACAATATTACACAATCCTCACACAATATTACACAATCCTCACACAATATTCCACAATTCTCACACAATATTCCACAATTCTCACACAGCATCGTCTTCAATTTTTAAAAGTTAATAAATAATTTATTTTCAATATGTACAAGAACGGTGATAACTTTGTAAATTTTGATTTAGTTTTCGTAACATCAAAATTCGACCGAATCACCAGGGTTTTGATAACGTTTCACTTTATAATGAAATTGAAATGAATTTTATATGATTTTTTAATTTTACGGTTTTTAATATAATTGGATTTTTGGTGCATACGTTATAGTTTTCTAATCATTATATTTTTCCAACAGTTCATATATACGTCATAGACCTTTGATATTTCAACTATGCGTTCTGTTAGATCCAACAGTTCATATATACGTCATAGACCTTTGATATTTCAACTATGCGTTCTGTTAGATCCAACAGTAAAAATATGCGAGGTATACATCATCAGTTAGCAAAGATATAGGGATTAGAAAATTTGAATTTTTTTATTTCCTTTGCAGGAATATATTTCTTAACAGGGACTGTAAGCGTAATTTCTATTTATAGAGTTATATTACATGTCCAGTTTACATCGATACTTTAAAAAGCATCATCAAAGTTGAATAAGTTTTGCACATTTTTCTCTTTTAAAAATTAATAATTTTCATTTGCGGGTTTTAAATAAAAGTGACTTGCGGATTTCTGCTTTGAGAAACAACAGAGTTCATTTTTCTAAGTTATTGTTTAGATAATGATTTACTGGGAACATTTTGAAGTTTTAGATTGAAAACCTCAAGAATGTAATGCAAGGAAAGTTAATTGCAGTTGCGTATACTCTGCGTACATATTGAAACCAGTTCTCTCTGGGCGGAATTTGTAAACAAGAATAGATGCATCTGTGTTCGTTCAGTATCCGAGGAGGTTAAAAGCATTAAATTTTGATAATTTTGATAATTCACATAATAGTTTCCTATGACCAGAATATTTCATTGATTAGGCTTCGACATCCGTCTTGTGTTTACATTACCGCCCAGTGACAGTACACGGCAGTACAAAAGATGCGTACACCTCTGAAATAACTTTCCTTGCATTAAATCCTTTGAAAACCTTATGTATTCAATGTATTCAAAATTGGTCTTGTTAACTTATAAAGAAAGATCGTTATCAAGATTCATTTGAAAACATGATTTAAAATCCTGATTTCAAAAATAGTTTAGAAAACAGAACACCTTTGCCCAATTTCTGATTATTTTTTAAACGCCGTTTCTGGGCCGGGAGCACACTGTAAAAATGTGTGCGTAAGGCTAGTTTATATATAAGATGTACTGCACGCGACCTTGTTTACAAAACAGTAAATATTTGCTGGTGTGAGTATATGTTTGGTAAACAGTTTATATTTGTGTATATAACAGCTTAGATCAGTATACTAATGAGACGTATTTATAAATGGATGTGAGAAAATTCTGGAATTTCTCAATCAATTTTAAAAACTAAATTATGAATTAACACTTTTTTACTTTTTTCTTCATCTTCATATTTCAAAGGAAAATATTTTTGCAACCCAATGCCGTATACCTTAGATATTTCAAACTATGATTTATGTTAGATCAAATAAACTAAGTTTGAAATATCAAAGATTTACACCATCAGCTTACAAAGATATAGGGATTAGAAAACTAAATTTTTAGCAACGACTCAATTCCATTTCAATAAAGAACCATTTGATAGAAAAAAGGGGTTATTTTTATATATAGTTTATGGCCTATGACACCCTTAACATTTTTGCTCAATTTGATTTTTTTTAAATGTATGTAAATTTACAAAACAATAATGACATTCTTCACATATTTCAAAAGAATGAAAGACATATGAAGAATATAATGATGACTTACAAAATCTTTTAAAATATGATTGATGTTCAATCCAGCCAAGTGAGTTTGTTCTTAACAGATCTAATTTGTCTGCCAGACTAAACAAAAAGGCAGACAAGGTATCTGAGGACAGGTGCCGCCATTCCGCGATCACCCGCCGCCATCTTTTTCCAAGATGGCGGACCGGAAAGAATGCCGCTGAAAATATTCCCGGATTTTCAATATTTGTTGTAAAAGTTTTAATATCTGATGTTGGAGTGTAGCGTTAAAATAATTACAAGTGGAATTATAGTTATATTAAATATTAAGATGGTAAAAATTTGATATTTTTTAATAAATATTTGATATTAAAAATATTAAACATATTTTGTGTCACAAGAAGAACCACGAAGCACCTCAGTTTTATCTGAGGTATTTGTATTCTTTTTATCAAAATTGAAGAAATGGAGAGATATTCTTTAGGTCTATTTGGTTCAAAAATAGTTGCAACTCCAAGAGTTTGATGCCCTCTTTTTAGTGAATGAGGTTCAAAACTTCAAATATTTTGTAATATTAAACTAAGAACAACTCTGTTATTTAAAGTTCGATGAAAAAGAGAAATCCAATCATTTAACGTGTAATTTGCATCAGATTTTTTAAATTTTGAATTTTGTATGTTTAGGTTTTAATTCATTAAATATCTAAAATGCAATTGTAATAAATATCAAAAAGGTTTAAACCAACAGTGCACTTCAGTCAGATATAAAATTATGAATTTTTCCTTGAAAATTATATTTTTGTGTACAATTTAATTTAAAATTATGTTACTTCCGTTTCATCTGTTCTTTTTTTAATAAAAAAAATTAAAATCAGAGAGCCATGGATTTTGAAACATTAAATTTAGAGTTTTCTTATTTTCTTGCAATACTTTTTTTTATCAAAATATGTACTTATAATATTAAAATATGTAAGATGTATTAAGTTTTGTTGGATTTAATTGAGGATAAACACTAAATAAAACTGTAAAAATATGTAAGATGTATTACTTTTTATATTAAATATGTAAGATGTATTTAAGCTTTGTTGGATTTAATTGAGGATAAACACTAAATAAAACTGTGAAATATGTAAGATGTATTAAGTTTAAATGAGAATAAACACTACATAAAACTGTAAAATAAGTAAAAATCTAATTTATTTTTGATGTTATAAAGCAATTAAGTATATTTTACCAATAGAAAATCAATTTTCTAAGGTCATGGGAGCTGTGTTAGGTACTTTACCAATGGTATTTTCCCAAGCAACAACTTCCCAATGGTATTTTCACAAGCTACAACTTCCCAAGGGTATTTTCCCAAGCTACAACTTCCCAAGTTTGTCAGCCGCAGCGCTCGGTCCCCTAGCCCAACCTAACTGCAGCGCTGGAACCCCATTGTAAGGCCTAACTTAATCTTTGAGAAGTTTCCGATTGGGAAATTGCACATTTGGGAAGTTGTCACTTGATAAGTCGCCCTTGGAAAAATGCCTTTGTGTAAATACCTAACACCGTGTTAAATACACAATTGTTGTGTTTCATGTTCATTAAATCATAACTTGAGTCTGACAGATTTCTTCCAACTGTTCCACTGTACTAGTATTTGTACCACTCCTGTATACCGAGTCTTTAAGCGCCTGATCCAATCAGGGCTCAGTCGTGTGTTTGTTGTTTATTCTGAACCAATAGAAATAATTTTGCGGTAACATCTTTCTTTCTATCTATCTTATTATCCAATAAAGGTTATGAATCCTTTAATCGGCGCTATCAGTAAATGGAAATATTTGTTTCTACTGAAACTTTAGTGGCATTAACTGTTAGAACTTATTATATATATTGATTATTGATAGTAGCAGAGCTGAAATATAGGGTATGCTTTATCAATGCAATCTTTACAATCTCCTACATCCATCCTATACACCATGGGAACTCAGGGAGGGAGATGAAGGGAGAAGAGGGTGAGGGGGGGGGAGGGTGGAGGGGAGGGGATGGGGAGAAGGGCGGAGGGTGAAGAAAAAGATTGACTGAATGATAAAACTGAATAAAAGAATGCAAGGTATAAATGCTAACTCAGGTCTATTGATTAAATACGGAGGAAGATTTGGTGTCAGAAATTATTGACATGTTTGTTTTTGGAACAACTTGTACATTTTCACTAAAATTCCTCTCTTATTATGAAACTAATGCTTTTTTATATTTACTGTGACACCCTTTAAGATTGTTTAGAAGTATGCAGGAAAACTTTAAACATGAAGTGCAGGAAATGACAAGCAGTAGATAAATATTATTAAATGAAGATATGTAGATAGAAGGATAGATGATAGATGGATAGGTAGATAGAAGCTTAGATAGATAGAAGGATAGATAGATAGAAGGATATGCCTCACAAGCATGTGAAGTATGATAAAAACACTTATAGTGTCCTTCCGTCCGCATAAATATCACTCCTGTATGCCAAGTCCATTAGCGCCTGATCCAATCAGGGTTCAGTCACATGTTTGTTGTCTATTCTGAACCAATAGAAATAGTATGGCGGTAACATGTATCTTTCTATTAGAGTAATGAATCCTGCAATTTCTATCTGAAATAAAATCCAGAGGACTGCTTTAATTTAATTTGTTGTTTTTTTCTTTTTCTGCTTTTCTTTAATTTGATCAATTCTGTACTGTCTCTCAATTACACAAAAGAGGATGAAATGTATGCAACATTATTGATACAACTTTGTGATCTCGTAGCTCTGCTAGTTTTGATTTTACGTATGAGAAAAGCGTATACGTAATAAATACAGTAATAAACCCCATATCTTGTAACCTGAAAATACCGGTATCGTTATAATCACCTCACCGTATTATCGGACTTATTATCTTAAACTGATACATTATACCAAAATATAGTTTAGTTGGATATGAGTCTTTGTTTTATTACGTTTAGACATATTTAGTTCTCGTGTAGAGAATATAGAGTTCGTGATCGAGATGTATCTGAATTGCTACAGACTTAAAAGTACAGAGAGAGTTGTATCTGGATTGCTACAGACTTAAAAGTACAGAGAGAGTTGTATCTGGATTAATACAGACAAAAGTATTAGTTCTCGTGTAGAGAGTAAAGAGTTTGAGAGTGAGTTGTATCTAGATTAATACAGACTTAAGAATACAGAGAGATTTGTATCCGGATTGATACAGACTAAAGCATTAGTTCTCCTGTGGAGAGTATTGAGTTCGAGAGCGAGTTGTATCTGGATTGATATACACTTAAGAATACAGAGCAAGTCGTATCTGGATTGATATATACTTAAGAATACAGGGAGAGTTGTATCTGGAATGACACATGCTTAAGAATACAGAGCGATTAGTATCTGGATTGATTCATGCTTAAGAAAACAGAGCGAGTTGTATCTAGATTGATACATACTTAAGAATACAGGGAGATTCTGTCTGGATTGATACATACTTAAGATTACAGGGAGAGTTGTATCTGGATTGATATACACTAAAGTACTAATGAAGTTAGGCATTTATTACAAATATATATAAATATTTTTGTCCTTTTCAAAACGATTGATTCAATGAGAAAAGTTTTTATTTCAGACAATGTAGGATCCCGATATAAATGAAAGGAATTGTCACAAACTCAAATTTTAAAATCCATATTTCTTAGCAACCTGGTGGTGTAAACCTTTGATATTTCAAACTCAGATTATTCGACCCAACATAACTCATAGTTTGAAATATCTAAGGTCTAAGACATTAGGTTGCAAATAGGGATTAGGATCTCAGAGGGAGACAAAGGGAGAAAGTCAAATTCATGGGACTTTGCGACTTCGTAGGTCCTCCCGTTTTCACGAAAAACTATGAAACAAGGGAATTTATCCATTTATATCAGAAATTCAAATGTTTTTGTTTTTATCATTAGCTCTTTAATAGTTTAATAGCAATTTAGTTTAGTTTGACGTGGGCCGCGTAGTTTTGCTTTGCCGTTCAATTCCATCAATAAAAAGAAATGAAATGAGATTTTCCAACTCAAACACTTGACGCTTTCCTCGCTTTAAACAAACATTGAATATTTTTACAAATAACATTAGAAAATAATATCAAGGGATATAATAAAAAAGAAATCAATGAAAACTCGGAAAAATATGATTCTTTCAATCCTTCCGGCCACAAATGATGTCGATTCAAAAAAGATTTCCAGGTTTACTTAGAAAATTGCTTGTTTTTTGGATTCATTTGAAATGCACCTGATATATCTACAACGATATATAAACCACTATAGGTAGGATAAAGACGATCCACTGCGAATCCGTCAAAATTTGGTTTCAAACAATACGGGGCATTGTGGTACACGGGGTAAATATGGCGGACTGGTATGCGAGTAATTTGTTTAAATGCGGTGCAGTCTGGATTGAATAGAACCCTGCTGGGTTTCTACTAACAAGGCTGGGAATGAAAGATATCTCTATACAATTACTTGATCTGAACCCCTGATAATCCAGGGGGGGGGGCGAGTACAAATATGTGAAACATGTCTTGTCAACATGGGATATTTTTAAAAGTAAGAACATGTTTGAACAACCTGTAATTCAAACTTTGAAGCTTTCAGTTTCAAGTATCCTATAAAGTGACAAAGTTATGTTTAAACACCCCCCCCCCNACAAGATTTAGATAACATAACAATTTTAAAAAACGTCCCTACGGTCCCATCTCGCCCCCCCCCCTCTCCATTCCAATTAAAATCAACAATACACGTAATACGCCCCTGCAATATTCCTCCCAATTTAACTACAGCCCGGCCTACCGCTTCATAATTCCCCGCTAGCTAGCCGGGAAAAGAAATTCCCCCCCCCTTTATGGGAAAAGTATTTACACTTTTTTCCAACCTGCACACTAGATAGGACAGTGGGAGCTAGGACAATAAAAACTTTTATTTCAATATTTTCAGCTCGACTGGTTTCATGAGAGTGCTTCAATATTTGATTTAAAAATGAGATTTTTCAGATAAAAAAATCCATTTTTCAACACAATGCACATTGCATTGCGGGAAGAAGAATTGTGTAATAATGGACAAACTATAAATGAATATTTTTCTTCCTTTGAACTAAAAAACTAGAAAAATCTAGTATTATTCAGTAGATGAATATATTCCAGATACCAGGTAGATAGGCAATTTCTTTTTTAGAAATTGTTTTGAACTGAGAACATTTGTGTTTGATATCATTTTCCCGATCACTTGATCTCAATATCCACTGTGGACACTTTTAATCTTTTAATAATTGCTTAATCTCTTCATTTCAGTCATTCAGTCATTTCAGTCAGGGTACAATTACTCGGCGAATATCGAATAAAGATTAAATTAATCTGCAGATCAAGCATTGATCTCGATATTCAAAATACTGAGTTCCCAACTCTGCCGTTCTGGATATATACCACTTTTATTTATCAATTACAATCTCAGGTCCTTCAATCCTATATTTCAAATAATAATATATTAATACTGAAGATAATCTGCACTGACCTGAGCCTGGGTGAAAAGAACTCTTCTCTTCCGCCTCTGTGAGAGCGGGAACTGAAGATGCTGCTTAGAGTCCATCCCGCATGTGGATAAGGACCCCATCTGACCCGTCATGGACCCCATGGAACCCCCTGGACCCCGCATCAGGCTTGTAACTACAAACAGTGGGATAATTATTATTATTATTATTATTATTATTATTATTATTTTTATTATTAATTATTATTATTATTATTATTATTATTATTATTATTATTATTATTATTATCATTATTATTATTCCCATCTCTCTATGTAGAGTTTGCCAATGTCCCCCTCCCCCTGTAAACTCATGTCAACATATGCATTATAATGGATACTTCTAAGTAATGTGTACACAGTACAGTCTACTCCCTTAAATATTTAAACTAACATCTATACATCTTCTGTATTCTTCAAGGATTAATGTTAACCCTAATCCTTGTCTCCTTGTCACCCTCCCCCCCCCATCCCATAGTAGTGAGTATTAGATAATCAATATTAAAGCCATAATAGAAATGTTTTTTGAGAGTTTTAAGATCGGAAAAATAACCATAAGGTCAATCATGTTGAATGTTCAAGAGATTTAAAGATGATTTGATATCATGCCAAATATTTTGCGCATTTTCTGTTTTTGTCGTCTTCGTTCTATAAACTTACAGTATTCTGAGGCAAATCTAGGATCTGTTGTAGAGGAAGAATACCATCCTGTTCCAGGACTTCTCATATCTCCATAGTGAGCTAGTTCACCAGTCTAAACAGTTAGAATTTATACATACCATACGTACATGATATGTTTTTTTGTGTGTACAGTATCGCGAATGACATTTTCTAACGTAAAGACATGAATTTTAGAAGACACGGTATTCATCTGGATTCTGCAATATGGATGCAGGGTTACCCACAAAGAATGAGACTTCAGAAATGAATGCACTGAATTTTATATGTATTTTTTTCTAACACACATAGTTAAGCAATTAATTCTGTACTTATGCACTTTCCTCAACCTTTATAACAAGAAATGATTAAGTTTAAATTATGTGCCATATATAATCTATAGCCCTGTATAAAAGGCAGGATGATATTTCCGTCATAACTCCATGGTTGCATGGCTCTGTGTTACAGTTTAAGACTGGAATTTTAAAATATTTACACTATAATGCCATCAATCTTTGGTTACAGTATAAACAACACAAAGATGTGCATGCAAATAAAAACAAACAAATGGTTTAATCTCAAATCTAAACAATTTTTCTTAATGCTTCAGTTTCGCGGATTTCTGTACCAAAAAGAACTCTAATTATAGACAGTTTGTGCAAATGGTCCACAGACGAAGCCTCATTATTATAACTTCCTGGTACCGGATCCGGAAAAATATTCAAGGTAAAAAATCATTTTAACTAAAATATGTAGAAAAAAGTATTGGTTTACTGCATGCAGTCTGTTTTGACTGATCCGATAGATCGGTAAAAATACCCTCATCTCTTATCTGATATTAGCAAACTTTTTGATCAAGCTCTGGATCCGGATTCAGTTTTTCACAAATGTTTGCAATTATAATTTTAAGACACCCTACCCTACATAATTCTAGGGAAATTTATATTTTTGATACATTTTTTTAGCAAATCATAATTTCTTGCTCCAAAATAAATTTCCCACAAAAACTGGATTGGTTGAACCCTTGCCCCAGAAATAACCCAGAAATACCTGGCAGTATCCGGCTCCCAATTGTACCAGATATAACCCAGAAATACATGGCAGTATCCGGCTCCCCATTGTCCCAGATATAACACAGAAATACCTGGTAGTATCCGGGACCCATTGTCCCAGATATAACATGGCAGTATCCGGCTCCCCATTGTCCCAGATATAACCCAGAAATACATGGCAGTATCCGGCTCCCCATTGTCCCAGATATAACCCAGAAATACCTGGCAGTATCCGGCTCCCCATTGTCCCAGATATAACCCAGAAATACCTGGCGGCGCCAGTATCCGGCTCCCCATTGTCCCAGATATAACCCAGAAATACCTGGCACACATAGATTCAGCCTCCTTATAAAAAGTCTCATCAATTTTTAAGACTGGGCTGACTTTGAAGTATCGCAACGCCCTAAGCTTAGATTTTACCGCTCTAACTCACTTATGCTTTTTTGTAGCCCTTTACATGTACATTTTAGCACTATAAAGCACTTCTTGTTAGATTTGGTTTTTTAGAAGTAAATGGCAAAATTCTCAACGATTTTTGTTTGAGAGCGTGAGACCATTAAATCGCAGTGGGCAGTATCCGGCTCCCCATTGTCCCAGATATAACCCAGAAATACCTGGCAGTATCCGGCACCCCATTGTCCCAGATATAACCCAGAAATACCTGGCAGTATCCGGCTCCGTATGCAGAAGGAAGCTGTGACATGTGCATGTGGGAGTAAGTCGGAGTTCCACCAGTGAACCTGATCAAATTCAATCATGTCAAGCAAAGTATAATTTAGTTTTTTTTCAGAAGAAGTAAGTAATGGTTAGATAGAAACTGACTACTAGCATTCAGCTCTTTTCCCTACATATGTCTTTGGAACCTGATGGTGTCCTATAATTTTGCGATCTGATGGTGTAAACCTTTTATGTTTTTGACTACTTTATCTAGCATAACCATATTTTATAGTATCAAAGGTTTACGACATCAGGGACAAGATTTAATTAATGTTAAACTACGTTAACATAGTTCAACTGGTTTAACTTATCTAAACTATCAAACTACTTTTTTACTAAATCAGGTTTCTGAATCTAAGGATTAGGAAATTAGAGTGCGAGGCGAGTAATTTATCGATTTTTGATGGTCGAACTTTTGTATGTTTAGTTTACCCTGTCATAGCTGCTGTAGGAGCAGGTCTGGGATACCCTGAGTATAGAAGAGAAGTAGGAGAAGGAGGAGATGGTGGAGTTGAACAGTTCATACTTCTTCTACACACAGAACATATTCGTTATCCGTACCAAGAAAATAAAAAATGCTTTCTTATTTTGAAATTCTAAAAAAAAACCAAAGTTTTTAACCTACACAATACACATAGCTGTACACACAAGGTTAAAAAGTTTATCCATTTAGTTGAATGTTAATCGATTGATGTCAAATTCGATTTACCCCTTTTTATTTTTCGTTATGTTTAAAAGGTATAAAAATCTGATTAGATAAAGATTATGTATCCCTGCAAGGTTCCTCTAGTATATCAGTTACCAGGAACGGTGTAGCGAGTTCTTTGTATTCCCTTGAATACGAACCCTGAAGTTCTCGAGAAAATGTTCCAGATTCCTTGTACTGTTCCTTGTTGTACACTTCCTTATTGTACTGTTCCTTGTTGTACGACTGGGGATGAATGCTGTACCGTAATTGTGATTCCTGGACGCCAAAAAATATAAAAAAATTAGATATTTTCTTTTCATATTCATATTTTACACTCAAGTAAAATTGTGATAGTTAAAAATGATTTTTTATTGTTATTTTATTATATTTTCCTTTTTTGAATAGTTTATCTCCTCTGCTTGCATTTCAGGATTGAGTTCATTGTCTTGTATCAGCATAAAGGTGTCAACACCAAGCTATTTCAGGAAATCTCTTTCCTTAAATATCTTTATAAAATATATATTTACATTATAAGAGATCCGTTTTTAGATAAGCTTATTTGTCGATTAAAAATAAAAATGATAAGCCATTGAATAGTTATTATTGCATATAATGCTTATAATTATTAATAGATGCATTTTAAAGATAGCCCCAATAAAGCAATTTAAAAAGAAAGTTTTTTAAGTTGACATTCAAACGGATTTATTTTATTTTCATTTTCTCTAAATTCTAAGATGTTGTTGTTGTCTTTATATACCTGTTCTAGCCTTGGAGTGGGTTTCAGATTCAAGATATTTTTAAACTTAACCCAAGTCCAGGGAAAAGAAAGTTCTCAGAAACCTTTAAAGTGTTCTGTATTTAAACACTCAAATTCTTCAAGGTTTTGACTCATCAGCTATCCCTGGTTCTTCAGCTGTCGATAGTTTGGTTAAAAAATCTTGAAAATCCGCAAAGTGCAGTTTGTGGACTCTTCCAAGGCTGGAGAACAAAGCTTGGAATAGTTTTTGATATCACTTGAGCTACAATGAGTCACTACTTGTCTACTGACAGAGAGCCACTAAATGGTGGCTAGAGTGCTCTGAGAGCGCTCTTTCCCCAACCCAGAGCCCGCAATTACGATCCTTAAGGGCTCTCCTTTAGAGTCCTTCATATCACAAGGGTTTGGGGGGTCACGTGACCCGGCCTGCACCTGCCTCCTCTCAGCCCGCCATCCAACCCGCGTGTTTTCTTCGTCCAAAACCAGCCAACAGGAGCACTCCGTTCCATCCGCCAACCAATAAGAAGTTTGGACTAACTAACCTCGGGCCAATAGGAAGTAAGGTTTGCTGGAAAGCTTAACTACTCGTGGTTTATTTAATGATGAATGTGGTAAAAACTGAAATGAACAAGAATCTGAGTTTCTTCAGAATTTCGTTTACCTTCCTGGTTCAACCAGGGGTTGGGTAGGGGGGGGGGGCGCGGAAGGAGAGGGAGGGGGGAGTTAAATTGAAGGAGGTCGAGAATGATTTGGGACGAAACATATTTTCTTGTCACATTTTGTCCTCTTCAGTATGAATTGAATAATTCTACAGTTTTGGAAAACATTTTCGATCCTATTCCCTTTTGCATTTTGAACAAATAGAAATTATAATTGGGTTATCACATTGTAAATATATATTTAAATATATAGAATAGATATATGTTTTATTTTGTATATCTATATAAATAATATTATCATTACTATTATCTAAATAAATCTATATTATTATCTAAATTATCTAAATCGTATATATATATATATATATATATATATATATATATATATATATATATATATAGATATATATATTATATATATATGTTGCCACGCGATAATTTTTTTTTTTTATATTTTTTTCCACGGGCAAAGCCGGGCCCTTTAGCTAGTTATATCTATTACATTATTATATTATATTACAAACATAGTTCATGTTTCAGCAAATTTTATATTTTGTATTGTCCAAGTTGTTAAAAACAAAAACAACAGAGAAATCAGGAACCCATGTATTGTATATTACATATATTTTTATATATGTGTAAATATATTTCCATTTTATGCAAACATATATAAATTCTTGTTAGAAAACAAGTAATCTTTGTTTATTTGTTCTTCTACCAATATTCGATGCTAAATGATTTTTTTATTGAAGTAGAAATAAATGATTAATTCTGTACACATAAATCATACGTGCATACATTTTTCATTACCTACTGTTTTTAGAAAGGGGACAGTTGTCCGAACATTTGAACATTAGCTAAAAGGGACAGTTTAAAGAAAGTAATGGAATAAAGGAAAGTCATGTTCAAGGGCCAATATTTATGATTGATAATTAGTGGAAATGGATTTTTTTCATATTTATTCTTATCTTATTGTGTTTTAAGTATTATTGTATTAAATTCTTTTTAATCACATGACCCCAGCTTGGATAAGTTTTTAAAAGTTTTGAAAATTTACGAAAAGACAGAGAAGTTTTGAAGTTTTATTGGTTTGCTATGTACATATGTATATTTGTAACCTAGTAATGTATATATTGTATATATGAGGCTGAATGGTTGAGAATATGTAGAGTATAGTATTGAGTATTGAGAGGAAGGGTTCAATGTTTATATTTCATGTTTGTTCAGCCATCCATCCTTTAGTTCATCCCCCACCAACCCTACCCCTCTCCCTCGATCTCCTCCTTTCTATATAGTCCAACCCTACCACCCCCTCGATCTCCTCCATCCTAGTCCAACCCTACCCCTCTCCCTCGATCTCCTCCTTTCTATATAGTCCAACCGTACCACTCCCTCAATCTCCTGCACTCTACTTCAACCCTACCACTCCCTCTATCTCCTGCATCCTACTTCAACCCTACCACTCCCTCTATCTCCTCTCCACTAGTTCAACCCTACCACCCTACCCTTTATCTCCTCCCTCCTAATCCAACCCTACCACTCCCTCTATCTCCTCCATCCTACTTCAACCCTACCACTCCATCGAGCTCCTCCCTTCTAGTTTAACCCAACTACTCCCAAGATCTCCTCCCTCCTAGTTCAAACCAAATACTCCCACGATCTCCTCTCTCCTAGTTCAATCCTACTACTTCCCCGATCTCCTCTCTCCACTTTATCCCCTCTGTTACTATTCTTTCCACTCCCCAATGCATCCATTCCCCCCTGCTACCCCGTTCTTCTCTTTAACTACTCTATCTGCATTAGTAAATACTTGAGAAATATCTATACTATTATATGTACTGCATTGTTTACATTTCTCAATCATATGATGCAAAAATAACTTTTTATATTCCAACCAGAAACAGAAGTTTATATTTTTTAACAAATATTTTCGGATTTTTGGTAATTTACATTTTTGTTTAACAACTTCTTATCAACAGTTATACAATACATTTCGTTTTTTCATTTATTTGCATCTTTAAATATATCCCCCCCCCCCCCCAACCCCGCAATAATTGTCATTTATTGCCGTTTGAAATTATGTTTTTTATTTTACATTATGTTTTTTTTATTCTAAAAACTTTTTTTTTTAATTTCATCAATTGAAACAGAAAAATCAATAATAATTTTCATTGCTCTTTTTTTTATAAAGTAAACTCAGAAAAAGAAGCTACAATTACAAATAAAAATAAAAATAAATGATCTCAATAAATATAAGCCTAGTTCTATAAGAAAACACCTGTTAAGCATGTAATCAATATTGTGTGTACCCTGTTATACAATAAATGGTTTATTAAAGATTAAAGGCGGAACTAATTTCAAATCCTGTTAATCCTATTAGAGAAACAACTTAACATGTGTGTTACAGGGTCCACTGTGAACTAGACAGACGGAGAAGGTCACAACTTTGTGACCTCGTAGCTCCTCTAGTTCTCACTTTAACCAGAAGTATGAGACTAGCAAATTAATCCTGTTATATATAGAATAAAAATATAATTAAAGCATTTTTTGATTTTCTCAATAGATTTTCTAAAAGAAGAAATCAATTGAAAACACATTACACACCTGAATGGTTTTTAACGGAACTAAGAATAAAGTTAAAGGTATAGAAAGAGAGTAATAAAAATCAATATTATTATAATTTAAGCTTTTGAAATTGGTTTAGATTGGTTCGTATTCTGTATTCTGCATGCAGAAAGGGTGTGGCCTGTAGGGTAGACTGTATTATTCTGTATTGGAGGGTGTAAGGTGGTCTGTATTCTGGTTTGCAGAGTTTAGGGTGCATGGTCTGTATTCTGCATTTCAGGGTGTGGCAATAGTTTTATGCATAGTTCTCAAAAAATTTAGTTTTATATTCCCTACCCAACTCTTAGCTCCCACACCCCTGTTTGTTTATCCCTCCTTTCTTGAATGATAGCTCACGCCCCTGTTTACCCCTCTCACAACCCTCTCACAGCCCTCTCACAGCCCCGCTTACCCCTCCCGATCCCTCATTTGTTTTTTACTCCTTTTTACCATTTTCTCAGATCTTCTTTAGATGATGCATCTTAGGGGAGGGGGATATACGTCTTCCTTTCAACCACTCCCTGTCAAAACTCTATCTCTGTAGAATTGATCAAATTTTAGGATTATTTAGCTTCATTTTTTCCAGTGCATTTTTTCTATAATTTCCTGCCGCTTTATTACCCGCCCTTGCATACCCATTTCCAACTGTTTCATCATATTCTTCCCAATTTACAACTTTTTCAACACTTTTTTGTCACGCTATTATGTATCTAAGAGTTTTAAAGCTTTTCGAGAGTCATTCGAAGATTCTTATTCTTAATCCCTTCTCAGTCACACCGGACTAACCAGAGTTAGAGGCATTCGGTTTCTTCTATTTGAAAACATACGCGTTTTGGTTTATAATTCAACAACCTTTAAACTTACGGATTTGATTGTTATATACTTATTATTCAAAATGCATATGCGGACAAAAAAGTTTATAAGAAAAAAGGCTAAAAAATGATGTTTAATAGAACAAATTGTGATCGAAAGTCACAGTTTTCTGGAATATTGACAGAACCGTTAAATCCACGTGCAGTCATTCATTCCTTTTCTTATTGAAACCCTCTTTCCACTCAAGACCTCATTATTTCATTCGATACCTCATTTTTTCATTAGATACCTCATTTTTTCATTGGAGACCTCATTTTTTCATTATAGACCTCTTTTTTTTATTCGAAACATCTTTTTTTCATTCGAAATCTCTTTTTTTCATTCGAAACCTCATTTTTTCATTTGAGACCTCTTTTTTCATTCGAAACCTCTTATTTTCATTCGAAACCTCTTTTTTTCATTCGAAACCTCTTTTTTTCATTGGAGACCTCTTTTTCCATTCAAGACCTCTTTTTTATACGAGACCTTTTTTTCTTCGAGACCTCTTTTTTATTCGATACCTCTTTTTTCATTCGAGACCTCTTTTTTCATTCGAGACCTCTTTTTTCATTCGTGACCTCTTTCTTTCATTTGAAGCCTCTTTTTTTCATTCGAGACTTCTTTTTTCATTCGAGACCTCTTTTTTTCATTCGGGCCCTTTTTTATTCGAGACCTCTTTTTCATTTGAGACCTCTTTTTTCATTCCTTACCTCTTTCTTTCATTCGTGACCTCTTTCTTTCATTCGAAACCTCTTTTTTTCATTCGAGACCTCTTTTTTCATTCGAGACCTCTTTTTACATACAAGACCTTTTTTTATCCGAGGCCTCTTTTTTCATTCGAGACCTCTTTTTCATTCGAGACCTCTTTTTTCATTCGTTACCTCTTTCTTTTATTCTAAACCTCTTTTTTTCATTCGAGACCTCTTTTTCATTTCGAGACCTTTTTTCATTCGAGACCTCTTTTTTTCATTCGAGACCTCTTTTTCATTTGCAACCTCTTTTTTCCATTCTAGACCTCCTTTTTCATTCGAGACCTCTTTTTAATTGAGACCTCTTTATTCCATTTAAGACCACTCTTTTCCATTCAAGATCTCTTTTATTCATTTGAGACCTTTTTTCATTCGTGACCTCTTTTTTCATTCGAGACCTCTTTTTTCATTCGAGGCCTCTTTCTCCCTTTAAGCCGGCAATGAAAAAAATGCCACTATGCATTTAAGAGAGCAAA